CGATGACCTTTTTGCCTTGACTCGCAGCTTGATCGATCACTGATTTCCAGGCCTTGTCAAGCACATAATCTGGACCGTTCAGAATATTCGCAACTAAGACGCTGACCTTGTCGGAATTGTATGACAACAGTCGCACCCACGCAGCCGAGTCTGCGTTTGGGTTGATATACGACGCGATGGCGATCTGCTGGCCGGCGTCCGGTCCTGAACCTCCTGGGTCTTCTGAGCCTCCCGAACTACTAGGATCTTTGATCCAACCGATCGAATCTGCTGCGGTTATAGCAATGGCCCATTTGACCGCCATTTTGTTATATCCTTCATCATTTGGAAGTAACCCGTCAGCCAAATCCCCAGTCGTGACCCCAGAAGGCATGTCTACAATCATAACATGTTGGCCACTCACGGCGCGTTGTGCCATGAATTCCGCGACAGCCTTGTTAAAAGGCTTGATCAGAGATGCAGTTCCGCCATTTGAGGATGGAATGATCCTCGAAACGATAATTGTAGCATCAGGACAAGCAGCAACCAACTTTCCAACGAGCGAGTCGAGACGCTGAGGAGCGGAAGCTGGATCCACTGAGAGGCTCAAGTCATATGTGCCGGCGTGGAGTAGAATGACATTGGGTCGCTGTGTATACGCGCTCGTAAAAGTTGCAATCTGGTCAATGGTTGCTCCGTTATGGCCTTCATGAGCATTGTCGGCCATATTTCCAGTTTTCATAGATCCGATCATCTCAACGGCATTATTCGCACCCTCAAGTATATTCAATAGATCTTTCCGGTACCCGTTGCCGTCGGAGCTCTGAACGCCACTTGTAATCGAGTCTATGAATGAGGTCAGGTTATAGCAGCATGAAAGGGAGAGGAAGAAATATACCACCAAGTGGAAGTATTCTAAGCTTCTTGTTTTTCAGCCAACCACTAGGGGTGTAATCGCCAGCAGCAAAGGCGATTGCTTCGGCTTCCGAAATCTCGTCGTAACTGGAATGGCCAAATTAGCTCTTGACCTGATCCACTAGTCTTGAGACGATTTTCACTTACTCTGGGTTGTCGAACTCGGCAGGAAGTGGATCGGATCCGTCGTCTTCGAAGTAATCTACAGCATCGTCCTCTGGTGCAGTCGCAGTGATAGAAGCAGAATCGGGGTCTCCGTAAAACTGTCTATACCACATGGCAGTTGCGTACCAGGCATAGTTGTCCGCTATAGCAGACGGTCAGCAGCTTGACCTCCTGTTTAGGTGTGGGGTATTTCAGTACCGTTCAAGTAAGCATAGTCAGGATAGTCGCGTGCTAGGGCTTCTACCAGTTTTGGCCCATACACCTTTTTTCCAGAAGGACCCACGGGATTCTGGTTCAAATCTTTTACGACATCTGCGATGCATTAGATTTGAGTCCCCAGAAGAAATTTTCCTTCTGAACTCACGAAGTTTTCGACCCTCAATGACCGCCAAGTGGGACATTTCATGAAAGAAAGTGTGTGCTCTAGTCCTCATCCAGGTCAAATCTTTCGTCTTGTCGGGGGTTTTGTCTAGCTCGGCTTTCCTTTCATCCAACGAGGGTTGGATAAAGTAAGATGCACAAAAAACAATCTGTGACTTTCCTTTGTAGTTGACAGCATAGGCACGAGTTTTCATACCATTTTCCATTTTGGCGCATGAAGAACCCCCCGTGTTAGGTTGATCTACTTCACAATATACCTCTATGCGCCTTCCACCGAACCAGTCCTTGAAAGAGGTGTTAGCTAGATACTAAAAGCAGGTAACAGAAGCACCCCAGGTGACTGTCTGTGGCGGCTTAGGATTCGAATGGGTTCTCTTACAAAGGGGTACCAAGGATACCAAAGTGCTGATTGCTGGATAATGGCTATGACGGGACGGTTAGTCCTTGTAGAGCTCTTAGTTTTGCAGCACTTACTGTAGATAAGATCCCTCTTGGCTCTAGATTTGTCGTCTTTGCCAACGGCCAAGAAGCGATTCTCCATCGGTCCAGGATCCAGCTCTATGAGCTGTTCGTCAACAACCACTGTCAGAAATGGGTTTAGAAGGCCAGTCATTCGCAACATGTCATGATATCCTTGTTTGACGATATCCTTTCCTTTGGATTTCCCGTCTTTGTACATTTTGTCGCACCCTCCATACTTGTTGATGTTGTTACGCCTATGAAGAGTCGCATTGTGCGAGAAGGTAGGGCGATCCTGGACTCTGATAGTTCCCTGTGTCCGAGGTTGATTTTGGGTTTCAACCTTTGGAAGTCCCGACGCGGAAGAGATCCATATGCCCAAGGTAAGCAGTGAGAGTAGTATATAATTCATCGTGAGTTAGCTACGATGAGAACAAATGCATGTCAAACTATAGATTTCATGGCGAATAGGGACATCTTATATTGGTTATTGTGTATTATAGTCATTTGGACACCAGCAGTAGCAATCATCGGTGCTCGTCTACACTTACGTATGATTATGAATTCTTCACAGATTTTTCCGCCTAGATGTTGGATATTACACCAATGGATCTTGAACGTTACATCCTCTTACCTACTAAATATTGGACGTTTATGGTTACCGACCCGAAAGATGCTACTGTCCTGTACGTACAACAGTTGATATAGGGAGCAATAAGGTTGGTTGTAGAATACATCGTACCCTCAGCCAAGGAGCTGCAGGTACCTCGTAAAAAAGGGCCTACTCGCTTTGACAGTTTCCTTGTAGATTCTGTTCTGTCCAATAGTTCATAGGGCTGTTGTTGGTACTCTCGCGTAAAGTAGGGGCTGGGCCCGATTCGCGAATAAGCTTACACTCTGTCCTAATCAACCTTATGCTTATTCCGTGTGAATCTTTCACCCCTCGAAAATTTAACCCTATCGTGATGTCAACATGTTTGAGAGAAGAAGAAACGCTGTTCTCTCGTTTCTTGGATTCGGCGCTTTTTTGATACTCGCCGTCTCCTTACGGCCTTACACTGCAACCTTTTTCCACAGTCACCCAGTAGATGAAGATTTTCATCATGGTTTGTGTCATGTCACCGTGTTAGATTCTATTCATACCTGACTTTCGTTTAGTCATTGGCATCCACCTTGGCCAGAGTTATTCCCAAGTGGGAGTCTTTCGAAATGAAACATTTGAGGTTATTACCGACGACAAAGGTCGCAGTAACTTGCCATGCTATGTCGCATTCCTAGATGTCGACGCTCCTCTGGTTGGATTCGATGCCAAGGAACAGGCTTCCAGCAACCCTCAAATCACTGTATACGATGCAAGGTAAGTTCGAAATCCCTAAAGTGTATTAGCAGAATGCTAATACGGCTACTAGGCGTTTATTTGGGCGCAACTTCTTAGATCCCGAAGTCCAGCAAGCTGTTAAGGAGCTGCCATACGCTATTGTGAACCAAGGCGGCGAACCTTTGATTATGATACACACAAGCCATGGAAATGTAATCAAGACGCCACATGAGATATCGGGTTTGATCGTAGCAAAACTTAAGGATATGGCAGAAAGATATTTAAATGAAACTGTCAAAGATGCTGTTATTACTGTCCCATCAAACTTCAACGACGCCAAGAGACAGGAAACAAAAGAAGCTGCCGAACTTGCAGGACTGAATGTACTACGCATCCTCGACGAAACAACATCTACTGGCATTGCTTACGAAGTAGATACTAAGGGTTGCCTCAGAACCAAGTGGAGATATGATTGCACATACTTAGTGTATAATATTGGAGACAAGCACTCTGAAATTTCTCTTTTACATATAGAAAAGGGAGTCTTCGAAATTTGGGGAACAGTCAGCGATCAGAATTTTGGATGGAGTGACCTCGAGATTATCCCTACGGTCCTAGACCAGGTTGTGTTATATATGGCAAGCATGCAGCCATCGCAAAAGGTGTCTAAGTTAGTTGAACGAGTTCTCAAGGAAGCAAAAATACAGAAAGGAGATGTCGATGGTATCATTGTCGTTAGCGAAGACTCACACGTCGCGAAAACACAAGAAGTTCTCGAAGCATATTTCGAAGGAAAAGAGACACTAGCTCCATCCGGTTTCCGCTACGATCAATCCATCGTACGTGGAGCAGCAATGCAAGGTTACCTGATAACAGGACAAGAAGGATGTACCCTTTCCTTTCCAGATAGTCTATTAGCTCTTGGGCTTGAGATCAGCACAGGGACATTTATGCCTGTTATCCGCCAAGGTACTGTTATCCCACTCCGCAATAAAATTCGAGTATCGACCGCTACCGATAATCAGGGGGAGGTCGTTCTTAGGATTTTTGAGGGCCAGCGTGAGGTTGCTGCCAAGAACCGGTTACTCGGCACGATTAAACTTGTAGGACTCCCCAGGCAAGTGAATGGGCCGGAGATTGAGATATCGTTCGAAGTAGACGCAGACGAACTTTTAACAGTAAGTGCGGTTGTGGGAGAGGGTTTGGCTAGTGGAGAATTGACGGTTCAGCTTGGTCGATGGCGATATACGGATGAGCAACTTGATGAGATTCTCAGAGACGCGGAGAGGTATCGCGAAGAGGACTTGCAGTCATTGGCCAAATTCCCACTTTTGATAGAAGATAGTGTTATGGTGCGAGACGGTGGTGATTGATTTGAAACTATACACTATTATGTCAACTTATCCGATTATGATCGGGTGTGGGTATATACATTTACCCTTAAACAAAATGTGAAATCTCTTTTTTACTGAAAATGATAAACGAAATACAACATTCTTGGTCAACTTCATTAAATAAATATCGGCGTTCGACTGCAACTTACCTTAAGCCGAGGTATCCCCCTCATGTCTATTCCGAGCATGTGGACAACATTCACCTCGCAACCTAATGGAATATTTGTGTATACGAAAACTGCTTGAAAAAACGCAAAGCCAACTCTAAAATGAGCTTAGAAGACATATTTAAATCGGCTGTGAGAGATCGTGACATACCTGGAGCTGTTCTTGTGGCAAGCAATGCGCGAGGTAGGTGACGTAGGTCAACAGACCGAGTAATACTTTTTACCATGTCTGATCTACATTCAGGAGATTTTTACTATGAGAACGCTTTTGGCTTGCGATCCCTCAAGGATGGCCGCAGCGATCCATTGACGGTCAATGATGTATTCTTCATGGCATCCTGCACTAAGCTCATGACCGCAATCGCTGTTTTGCAGTGTGTTGAGCGAGGTCAATTTACTCTAGACGAAGATGTTACTCGGCTATTACCCGAGTTGAAAGGTATTGAGATTCTCAAGGGGTTCGAAAAGAGTACCGGAAAGCCTATCATGGTGAAGCCTAAAAAAGCACTCACTCTTAGGTTTGTGATATTTCCTAAAGTACACGATAGTGCTAAAACAACTGGGTTATAGATTGATGCTATCACATTCTTCGGGTTTGGCTTATGATGTATTCAATCCGAGCTTACAAAAGTGGAGACGTTCAAGAGGAGAAAAGGCACAGTTTACTGCAGGTTCTTTAATATATCGATGTACGACCCCGCTGGTGTTTGAACCCGGCGAGGAATTTGCCTACGGAAGTAAGTCTAAGTCATTTGCATTGCAGAACTCACAAGGATTGTTTGCTAATGTATGATAGCTGGCTACGAGTGGGCTGGCATGATGATAGAACGGCAAGCATACCGCCACCTGGTAACTAAATGAACCTTTGCTCATTCTATCATAGTGCAAACGAACTCACGTTAGGCGAATACATGAAACAGAAAATTTGGATCCCACTAGGTATTAAGGGAATGACTTTCCACCTCGGAGAAGAACAGGCTTTATTGAATTCGATGGTTGATATGAGCATGAGACTCGGCGGCGAGAACACATTTGGAACTCCAAAGCATCCTCATGCAAAAGTAGCCTGGAGCAAGGACAAGGTCTGGGCAAATAACATGAAAGATGATTCTGGAGGTGCTGGAGTGAGCGTAAGTTGCTTCCATGGCCTGTCCTACTGCTATTTTTAAAATTTCCAAAGTGACAAGAAACATGCTAAATTATACCAGGGTCGAACAACAGACTACATCAAGATACTGCACAGTATTACAGTCGGTGATGGTAAGTTGCTGAAAGGAGTTTCTCTAGATGAGATGTTCAAACCACAACTTAGCTCGTCATCCCAAGCATATCTGATGAAGCTCTTGAGAGTTCCAGAACTTAACGACAGCATGGGTCTTTCTATGCCAATGGGAACAAGGCTTGATCACGGGCTTGCTGGAATGTTGTGCCTCGAAGATATAGAAGGCCGTCGAAGAAGTGGTACAATGTTCTGGTCTGGACTGCCAAACCTTTTTTGGTTTTCCGATAGGAAAGGAGGCATGTGTGGTATGTATGCCAGCCAAGTTATCCCAGCAGGCGATCCAAAAAGTACATTGCTGTTCGCTCAATTTGAAACTGCCATGTATGATAGAGCCAAGGCGTCAGAGAGGTCAAAGAAAGAACGACTTTAGTCACGTCTTGTGGGAGAAGCTCGTAGCATGCAGTGGTATATCAACAGATGATTACATATTCACTGCACATTTTCTAGATGCTTCAAAACTCCTGTTGTTCCAGAAAAAGGTGTGTTATTACTGGCATACTCGTCTCTCTGCCTGAATATAATTCGGCGTTCGCTAATCAACCCAAAAACTGAACGCCGTTAGCGGTTCCAGAAATTTTCTTTTCAGACCGTATGCAGTTGATATTCAACGCCACATTAAAGGGACGCGTGAGCGGTGCTACCTTATGAGAACTCAACTCGTTAATACTTATAGAGGTTCGATCTCGAATAAAGTCTTTCTTTGAACAAAATTTACTTTTCTATCAATCATCGACAACTTTGATTTCCTCCATACCGATTCATCAAAATAAAAATGCGCGTCCTCTTATTTGGTGGGACAGGAAGACTTGGATCCCGATGCATACAAGCTCATCTCGCTCATGGTCATGTTCTCACCGTCTATGTACGAAACACTGATAAATTGAAAACCATGGTCACACCTGCCGTCATAAACAGCCTCGAAGCAGTTGTAGCAGGTGACGCCACCGATTCCGTAGCAATCAAAAAAGCCATCGAAGAACATAATATCGAAGCTATTGTCGATGTTGCAGGCAATCAAGTGCTTCCATGGAAAGAGTTCGTACTTTCTAAAATTGCTAAAGCTGTCACCGATGCTGCTGTTGCCGTCGGGAAAGAAAGAGGCAAGCCAATCAGGGTATGGCTCATCACTTGGCCTGGCGAGTTAAAACTTTCTGGTTCCGAAAATGCTCTTGAGGATTTGTATGTTTTCCAGTCCCGTTATTTGAAAATGGCTGATCAATTAGTTCCAGTTTTCCCATGGCTGCAGCACAGCATGTCGCAACCGCCGAGGTCGTTAAAGCTATCCCCGTCTCAGATCTAAAGTGGTCCCTGCTTTGCGTGGCCTGGATGTACGATGCTCCTCCAAAGCAAAATGCACTTGATCTTCTGCCAAGTCCAAGACATCATACCTTGACCGTCCAGTCAAGTGTCCTACCGGGTTGGAAATGGAGTTTTTTAAGCAATTTGCCATACGTTGGCGGCTTTTTCAAGAGATTCGAGGTGTGGTTGAATACCATTCTTGAGTACGGAGCTTATTATGAGGATGTTGCCGATTTGTTGGCTGAGGACTTGGAGAGTGGTGATGATTCGCGAGTTGGCAAATTAGTGGGATATAAACAGATGGGCGCAAAAAGCACTTGAGCTTTTCTATTTCTATTTCGGTTGGGTGTTACTGAGTTATTGCTGAATAATATGAAGCGTTTGGCTTTATGGTACCATGGTGACATTTAAGTGCAAGATGTGCAAGATACTTTGGTCGGTGGGTGTAATATTTTCTCGTATCTTGCTCTGTCCATTAGTATAATAATTCAGGATGTTTTTAACAAAACAAGAACGAACCTAGCTTTATGATAATTGCTTAGTATCATCTTCTCAGTTTATATGGAGTAGACTCCTAGCAACTTTTATACCAGAATACTGAATAAAACCGCTCATTTCTTCAATCAGCTTCCATTGATTGCAAAATATACCGAGCAAATGACTCGCTTAACACAAAGACTATTTCATAATCAGTTGAGATGAGACTTCCGCTTAGGTATATAGTAACTCGAGTACTAGTGGCATAAGAGGGAAGCGTTTGAGTGGTAGTAGCAACAGTAGCAACTTATTATACATCTGACTATTTTGAGGACATCTAGTTGAGCGAGATTTCTTTCAGACCTCAATATGTTTGGAATAAACGTGGGAGAGTTAGTACAAATCTGGTAGTAAAGCGTCTTGTTTGTTTAGAACAATAGCTCACTCAGTCAGGAGTGACTAGAGTGCGTGATACAAAGTCTTTTGATGCAAAATCAGAATGAGCCTGGTGAGATTGAGAGTGGAATTTTGGTATTCCTCCTAGGCTGAAGTTAGTAAGTCGGACAGACCTATACTGCAAAACTGCAAAACTGCAAATCGAACGCCAGCAATTCTTAATTCTGATTCTGGAGTTCAATCATCTGGTTTCCGTCTCATTTCGACAAGTGAAGCAGCCAGACACTTTTGAACACGGGTAGATGTTTTTAGATTGGGGAGTAATTCGTGAAAGGACGAAACAAATTTTGATGTCCTATTTGTTGTTATGTAAATTCTAGAGCAGACATAGCAGTGAAGTGCCTTTATGAAAATAAGAAAGAAATAAGTACAGTTTCTTAAGAGTAATCTGTAGATCTTTTGTGCTAGATTATCTTTTTGACAAGTTTGACTTGACAAAAATTCGTAAGGCTATCGTCACTAGCCAATGAAGGTTCTGAAATCCTGGGGGTAATACTAGCATCGTTTGGCGTTGTGTCGATCGTAAATGATTATTTAGTGAGTGGTGACAACAACATAGTGTGAAAATTAGTAATGTTGCGTGAATGTAACGTAACAAAGTTTTCAATAGATGGTATAGAAGTATAGAAGTGAACCCCTGAGAGGTTGATGTAAGCGAAAAATCCCCTTATAAAGCAAACAGATCCACTCATCAGTTAATCACCTATCAACTGACGTTTTTACTCAACATTTTCGCAGGCTCACAGTAGTTTTGCTTTCAATATAACCCCGGCTTATTCTAGGTACCATTGGGTAACCCGGCAAGCTATTGTCAGTTGCTGCTCGTATTGTTTAGTTCTCGGAACGCCTTTCCCAGCAGGAATTTACCTGCGGCTGGAAGACGTAAAAGTGCTTCCTTTACATCGATCTACGGAAATTATGTACTCGCTAAACGCTAGACCCGAAGGATGAGTTCATCATCCGATTCAAGCAATCTCCCCGCTTTCTTTATAGTGACAGACTCTCGATGAGGAGGTTAGCCGGAAGAAGGCTTTTCAATACACACTTTTGGCCGACAACGGAAAGAAGAAAATGTGCAATCATCTTGCATTTAATTCAGCTCCGTGGATATCGGCATGCTTTGATTAACTAGCAGCAAAACAAAGCATCCGTTTGGCCTCGGCTCGCCCTTCCCTCACTCCCCGTACAGACCGCCTTCTCGGGTCCAGTAAGAAAGCTGTTGACCAATCCTCCCTGTCCCTACCACCACCCACAACTTAGGTTAACGGTTGACTGTTTGCAATCCATACTCAGCTGAATCCGAGCAGAGCTTACCGCCGCATACACTGCAGCTGTTATCTTGTCCTTCTGCAGCTACTACGTGTTGTCAATCCCTCGCAGGACCTTTCACCAAACTTTGTTCAATAGCTAATGCTACCACATCATGCTGCAGAACATACATTATACGGCATGGTCGGTGGCAACTACACTTTTTGTCATGAACCATCGCAATCGATGGACCTGCATACACACTTAAATCCATATTGTATACGAGAACGTCTCGTAACGCCAACCGCAATTCATAATGTGTCACCTGCACAATTTGAGCCACAGAGAATGCGTTGGCCTAATTTGGATGGTGAGAGTGTTTACCTGAAACACGTATATGCACGAATCGGGAAATCTGATATGAGTTTGCATCACAAACCTGCGGGGATGGACCATGTTATTTAGTTGTACACCACTATGGACTCGTGCTTGAAGCCGCAAAAGAACACACCAATTATTGATTCGTGGATTTCGAAAATAGTAGTGTGAAATGATTCAAGTGGAAATATAATTTTATGATTAGAGTCGGAGACTAGCTGGTTGATGATCCAGCTGCACTAGGCCCTAAATTCCAAATTTCCGGCTTAGCACTGCAGATTCATTAGCAGATGTTCAACTTCGCTGACCCTTCCAGCTCTACACCTTGGCTTACTCTATACTGTCGTTTTGACTTACTTAGCTATCTTCCGGCTTCCACGTACATCAGAAGATCACCACTACCAAGGTATCACGAGTTCCGAGTACGTCTGGTACAACCAACAACCTGCAACCCGACGGCGCTCACTCACTCACGGTACCTTCTCGCATCCAGCCAAACGGGAGGGGCACAATCAAAGGCACGACAGCTGTACGTGGTTGCGCGGCACAGAGCTTGTACAACATTCGAAGGAAAGTGTTCTCGAAGCATGGCTTTCCATTTGTGGCGGATTAACCTGCCTATTGCGGGATTCGCTGACATGTTCTGAGTCCCTACAACCTACTCGGAGAACGTGCCATGTGACCGACTGCCCATATCTCCAACCAAGCATTTGATAATTCCTTAATCCAGATCGTCTAGCAATTCGCTTCCACAAAAGCACTGTAGAAATTGACTTGGTCTAATCTACTTATTAAATTCTCCGGAATTCGTCAACGCGGCACGTGCAAGCTGTAAGTTACATGTTAATCTTTTATCGAAACATGCGAGTTTTGCGAGAGACGAAACGACGCCACTGCGAGAATGACCGTTTTAGGACGGCTACCCACGCGACAAAGACCGCTTCTGGGTGTGGGAATGAGCTTCCCGCTCCCGCGTTGCGAATCTCTTGATGTGGTTCCTCACGGACGTTTGGTTGCCGGGAGATTTGAGCTGGAAGGATCCTCCGTTTCGTCATGCAGAAAACCCGGCACATCAATTCCCAACAGCTGTCCTTTGGCGTACTCGGTGAGAATCCGGAAAGGATCGTGCTGTCGGACCGAGTCTGAATTGAGAATATGTATGAAAGTAAAGATGTGGCTTATGCATGGTGATGGTACAATTAAATCACGGAGACGTGCTTGTGAGGAAAAGTAAACAAAGCTGCAAACAAACAATGATCAAATTTCCCCTCACCCCACCTCTAATCTCACTATCTCCAATCTCTAATCAGACCTGAAACTCGTTCGTGCAGTTCTTGCTCCGCTTACCCCTCCATTTGGCACCGCTATTATGGATGTTGCCGTATGATATTGCCAAATCAAGAAGGCTAAGTCAGGGATGCTACCTTGGTCCCATGTGAGAAAAGGTTGATTGACAAGATGACTAGGGTATAGTGGAAATTGGGTGGAAGTCGGCGCGCGATCCAGAATTTATACCCTGCTTACTATAAGATGGAAGCTGGTATACGTCAAGGCTTGGAGCTGGGTATCGATCAAACGTCCGCGAAAGGGCTGACACTTCTATTCCTTTGGGTTCATGTGAGGAATCATTCCAGAAAATATTTAATTCTTACTTCTCAGTTATGAAAGCATATTTTCTACATAATATCTATGTTGCGACTGGTCAGGTATGAATTTTTAAGATAAACCTCCGAAAAGGCGCGATCAAGAATCCAGCTCTTCCTCACCCAGATCTTATCACATGCGCCCCGTTCTCACATTCCGCAAGCCAAATACTCGTCACCTTTTAGGATCTTGGAAGCGGAGATTTGTCAATGGGACATCACGATGATCAAACTGGGGCACAAGGATAGCTGAATGATCAGGATTCGCGTACCCTAGAGAAAATCAAAAAGCTTCGCGGCGAGGTTTCCGCTTTAGGCGGAGATAGATTGTGGAACTTCCAACTTCCGATATGATTTTAGTAAACCTAGTTGTGTGAAAGTATATGTTGGGAAATATCGGTGGAAGGATCCTATCCTTCGACGGAAATCGTAGAACTCTGAGATAGCAGGCGATTCTCTTTATAGAAACCCATGCCATTGTGAATGACACGACGCTAGTAAGAAGGGCCTCAGTCGGCCTGTTCTTTAATCGGCGAGGAATCGACAACCCAACATCGGCGGCTCAAGAAAGATTTGTTCGAAGAGTTTATTCGGTGAAAACGTCGCACTCTGCAGGTCTGTCGCGGAGCGGGAAAATGTAGTCACTGAGAAGAAAGTAAATTTTCCCCCACCGTAGATATCATATTATGCGTCTGAGATGGCACAAGGAGCCAGTGCTTGTGTTGACTGTTGTGTTGCTGATTTGACCAGCAGTCTGGCTTTTGTAATAGGCATATCCGGCCAAGGCAAGAATATGAAACTGGTACATGTACAGATTCCTTCACCCACTTCCAAATCGACTGATGCCTCATCTCGGATGTATCCATTGACACCCAGAGCCTATTGCCATTTCGCCGATACCAAAATCCTCATCAAGAAAATCCTTAAACCCCCGGTGAACCAATATATATACAAGTTGGAATGAAATAGCGCAATAAGCAGCGCGAGCGGAAGTCGTATGGATATGGTCGTCAAAGACGAAGTACGCCATTACCCGTATCAAACGGTTTAGCCATACTGAAGTAGCCGGTATGTATTGCACCAAGTGCAAATAACATAGACCACGAATCCTTCTATCAGGATCCAGTTAACATATGTGCAACCAAGTCTCATGGTTCTATAGAATACATATTGTACATCCCCAATGCATGAAGTAAAGGTATGAATTTGCTCTGCGTGCTACGCAGATACTGGCACAGCCATTCCAGCAACTAATATGGGTATCTTAAAAGTTTCATCAATCAAAATGAAAATGGGCTGCGGAAAAGAAGAGCTGAACAAAAGCAAATTGAATCAGTCTTGTTGATATTGGTTTAATTGAACGATTCCGAGGTGCTCGGGTTCTTGTTGAGGTCGAGAGCCCTGGAGGTTGCTGGTGCTTAGTCATCGTGCAACAAGGGCCAACCAGGACCCTTGAAATCCGAACTCTTTCTGAAACTCGTCTAATCTCGTACATCATCTCGCTTGAGTGCTTTCGGTCTTCGTAAATTTTCGTCTTCGGGTGTCGTGTGTTTCTCTCCCATCTCCGGCGCAGCCGCATAATGAGGGTCATGTTGTTGATGTGATTGGGATTGCTGGTGGAATTGAGATTGTGGCCGCGAGTCGCTTTGCTCTAGAATGGATGATACTGGGTTTGCCCCTCCTGAACGACGTCGCGGTTGCGTAGATGCTGTTTGTGCCTGAGCCTGCTCGAACTGTCGTGGTGAACTCATACTGTGGGTTCCAAAACTACTTTCGCCGTGTTGATGCCGACTTCCAGGACGACCGTAGGGTTCGTAACCTCTACTGGACAGGTCACTCCTCTGCCTTGAGTGACCACGACGTCTGCCCGAGGGAGTGTTGGAGACAGACGGACCAGTCTGAGAAAAAGGGGGGGAGGTGTATGGAGGCTGAGATGTTGGAGGGGGCCCTGTAGCTTTGCGTTTCTTTGGCGATGAGGTGGGGTCTGAAGTACCCATTAGTTGGACATCCATTGAGAGAGGAACACTAATGACGCTTGCCTGAAGGGGTAGTTGGCTGATTACCACTACTTGTTCCTGCTTGCGAGGTGGGTGGCTGCCAGTGATGAAAATATATAGAGGGCGAAGCTTGTGTCTCCTGCTGTTGCGCTAATTGCGAGTGTTGTAGAGGATGGCCTGGTTGACCTGGTACAATTTGCATGCTAGGACCTGGCGGTGGTGGTTGTATATGCATTTCTCCCGTATTCAGCCGAGGAAGATGAGTTGTTGGTGGTGGCCGCACAATTGTAGCTTGTACTTGAGCATTTTGCCTTGATCGAGATGCTGGTGATAATTGATAACTTGGAAGAAATCCACCTGATTGTTGTTGTCCAGGAGGGCCAATCGGTGTGGACGGAAGAGTTGTTGGAGCCGGATGCGACTGGCTCCCAATCGAGTGAGCGTGAGGACGTCCTTCCTGTCGTTGAGCTTGCTCTGGCGACGTGTGCTGTGAGGCTAGAAGCTGAGGATGCTGTTGGTGCTGATGTTGCAACTGGTGGCTCTGAGCCATGTAATGCTGAGCCCATTCGAGACTAGCATTTGGTAGATTGCCCCCTCCCATACCTGCAAATACCATCGGAATCATGTATGGAGGTATCCCTCCACTCAGCGAGTCTCGCAGCATGCCCTGCTCGATCTTCCGTTGTTCTAGGCGTAATGCTTCTTGCCGTGTTTTTTCTTCTTCCTGCTTCCTCTTGTCTTCTTCTGCTTTAGCATGAAGCCAATTCTTCATTGATTCTTCTGCGCCTTGCCATTGCTGTGGTGGGGCTGGTAATGGTCCCATAGGCTGATTTAGAGATGCTTGGTTTAATGTGGACTGTCCTATACTGGCAGATTGATGTGAAGGTTGAGGCAACGTCATTGCTGCCGGTGGTGGCAAGCCTCTATGTGGTGTCGACATTGGTTGTACGGAAGACTGAGAGTTCTGGAGGGGAGGAAACGAATGGCCCACAGCAGTAACAGGTTGTGCTAACTTCGACGATGTAATGTTCGGCGAAAAACGAGAGGTGGAAGGTGGCGTTGGAGGACTATACTCATGAAAGGACCTGTAGCCTTGATGTCCGGGCTGCTTGATAGTGAGCAACATGTCGAAGTAAAAAAAGTTGAAAGTTAGGAGAGCAACATGAAGCAGCAGGTACAAGTAACATTTGAACAAGAATCGGCAAAGCGTCGTAAGGAATGGTGGATGACTGGGACGGGAACACTCTTAAGTTAACGGCAAAGCACCCCACATGTGGGTAACACTCATCTCCAAGCAGGTACCGTGCATGGAAATGAAGTTCGTTGTATGGCAGCCATCATAGCAAGCCGAAAGTCTAGATCAAACACAAGGGTAGCGACAAGCTTGATATCGGATGAGTCTGGTACTTGTAAATCTCAGAGTTGGTACTAACTGCCAAAGACCTGGTACCATGACTTGCCCTAATAGTGTGGACGATCTGCTTAGAGACATATGTGATGGTGTGAGGAGAGAAGACCTAATATGGCCAAACCATCCACTATTAAGTGGTCGAGATCGGCCAAGATGTGCCCAGGTTAAGTAAGAGGGGTGGGATTGAACGAGAAACGAGCCACTCACAAACTTGGAAGCCCAAAACCGATTGTAAAATATGTGGGTGATCAAGACGAAGATTTTCTCCGATGGATGTGATGAATGTTTTTCCGTTCAATGGTCGTCTTGTGAAGGAAACAGGGTACCGGTCATTCATATTACAACCGCACAGAATACGCATGTATCCATATTCGTACGTATTTGATCCGACAGGCGCACTTTACGGCGGTTCTCGAGGGCCGTTTCAGGGAGTAAAGTGTCTAGAGTATGCAACTTTTACCGCTGAGGAGAATCAGGCATGTGGGTGACAGTGGTTTGAGGTAGCAGCATGTTGAATATCCAGAAGCAGAAAATGAAGTGCAAACAGCTGATAGCGGAAGCCCCTGCTGCTCAGTGACAAGACGTGGGTCTCTTCCGAAATATCAGGACCCAGCAATTAAAGAGAGTGATGAAGATGGCATGGCTTGCGTTGTGTATGTAATAATCAGGAGCAGCAGACTGCCAGACGGGCGAAATATTCCCAGGTGGCCTAGTAAAGTATAAGCGAATCGCGACAGGGGCTCCAGCTTGGATGGCTTGCGACTGGGAACCGGAGACTTGGACTGCCAGGAGTAAGCAAGCGAAGAACTAGAGCTGAATCGGGTAGTACCAACTTGGAAGGCTTTCGATGGGCTGAAGCCGTTCATCATCTCACTGGTTCTGCCTTCCCGTGTGGATGTCAGTCTCGTACCGTGTGTGGCGTCGACAGCCAAGCAGAGGGAAGCTCCTGGGTCGTCCAGCGAGGGGTCGACTGCTTGATACAGACTGTCTTGCGCCAGAATGATTGGATGGCCGCTGGAAGGCTTCATACAGCCTGCGTATGTTCTTTTGTTCCTTGGACAATCACAACAATCACTTTGTGATCATCACCGAGGCGATTATGACTCGAGTGACCCGGTGCGGTGGACCGGCGATGAAAAGGAAACCACCTGGGTCCAGACTTTGAGCCTCGAGGGATATGATTATAAAGCTCAATTTGGACGTCCTGCCTCCTTCCCCAACGCCTTTCTCCGCTTACTCGTCCTTTTACACGGAGGTGGGGACGACGTGGAGTGTGAACACCGCTGCGCTCTTCGGTGTTGATTACCTTGCCCTGCACTGGCACAACATATGGTATGACACCGTCCTTTGTACGGTGTATGAGTTTCTTACAAGACAGCAGTAAGCGTTCACTGGCGGGAGTGAAGTAAAATCACTATTCGGTGCTGCAGACTGATACGTATAAAGCTGCGAGATGAAGGTGGGATGCTACCGGCAGACATGCAAGGATGCACGTTGAACTCACCACCAACGTTCAATCAGTTCGAACAGCTGTCAAGTAGCTCGTCCGTACTCTTAGCACAATTCCCAACCTAAAGTGTGGCGTTTTGAAGTCCTCACCTTAACGGAGCACCTCAGCCACGCAGAACCCCCGGCCATCAGGATCTCCCACTCTAGGCCTAGCTGGATCTTAATTTCTCTGATGAAACCACAAGGCGATCGCAGGGTGCCAGGGTGTGAGACTTCCTTGCACACTTGTGCCGCGAAACAGGCTTGCGAACGGACGTTATGGAGTGAGCAAACGTGGGCGGATCGCGGGCCCCAACAGCAGAAATTCAGAATACGGAGGTCACGATGTTTACTAGCTTAAATTAATAAAATACATTGCGTTTCGTCACCTTTCGTGTAGTATGTACAGTAATACTCTATTTATGTTCTTAATCTAACCTAGTTGTTGCTGATAAGTATCTTCGTATTCTAAATTATATTGCTAAAATTCTACCACTTATTTGTTCACGGCGGGGAAATCTGAAAATATACGCTTTTCTCGCATTCTCCTGTTTGTGTGTTTTCCACCTGGGATCTTAATTAAAGTCGTATTGTGAGAAGAAGGGAAAGCACGTGCGGCTCTTGATTCTCAAGTATCTGCTTCTCTATCGACACCAAGAGTAAGTACAAAGGTTCGGGAAGAGTTCCGCAAAGTGCCAGGTAGTCAGTATTATTCTCAACAATACTTTATCATTGATGATCAACTACTCGTTGTCAGGCTGAAAACAAACTATGCATAGCTACCGAGCCTTACTACATTATTGGTGCCGCCAACCATCGTCATCTTGCTTGATTATTATGTTTAGGGAGATGCAGAACACTTTCAAAAATAACGCATCTAAGTTAACTGACCATCAGCTTTTTGTGATAGATCCAGGAGTTGATAACTTGATAAGCAGGTGGTGGAACCAGCCAGGTGCAGGTGTTCCAAGACGGGAGACGGATAATAACCGAAGCACCATCAGCAGTTGGTGAACTTCCAGGCGGGAACCTTCCCTGGAGACAAGTTTTTCATTTTTACTATTTCCAAACTCATTCCCAAATACTAAACATTCGCAAAAGGCATCTGGCATTGATTTGCTGCGCAATACCATGCAGTCTGAGCAGTTACCGATCTTAATATTCTTGTCGGCTGTCCGAAAGCACCCGGTGAAACGGTTTGAGATCATCGTCCCAGCAAATTCCAACGAAGTTACGACTACACTACGACATGGGACATGTATCATTCAGCTGCGCCGTCAAATATCGAGTTTTGTCCGGCTTCTAAGAAGATCCGAGGACATGGAGACCATGCCGTGCTGATGATTCGCTTTCGCGAAGGACCTGTTTCTCGAGCCGCCTTGTTCACCTGAGATGAAAGGAACTGCAGACCTGGGTCTAGAAATACGCCAACCGTACTGTTTCTCCAAGGACTACCAGTTTCGCCGCATGTCTCGATTCGGTGACATTCTCAAGTGGGAAAGTTGGCAGGTTAACTACCCTTTCGAGGAGGTTAAGCGCCGTCCGCCTGGTATTGGCCGCAGGTTTTCAACACTATCGTTTTCAGCGAGTTGACTCGAATTAACCACAAAGTTCCAAAGAATTCTATAGTTTCTGAGACCTGCCCACACTAATAGCTACACGGAGTTGAAATTTTCGATACTTACATTAGTTAAGTCTTCCAGCGAGTGTCCACTCTCACAATTGGTCTAATCTCATACACAAGGATTCCTGAGCACATGTTCACGTGAAGGACGATAATTAAGATATAAATTCAATTCATAGCAACTATGCTGGGGTGGTATTTGAAAATAATACCGGCAATCCCTGAAGAAAAACTTGTATAATTCGACGATCATCTCAGTTACAGCTTTACGAAGATACTGTGCAGCTGTTGAAGTGTTAGACCTTCACGAAAGTCTAGTGAGAGGTTGAATGCCAAAACAACCTCGCTTGAGGTGGATTTCTCAACTGAACGGCAGGTTTTACCTAGCTACCATTGCCTAATTGAGAATCTGGTTTTCCAAGTATGGCCAACATGCAGAACCGGGTAAGCAAGCGGCTTCTTGATCGACAGCGGATTGTTCTACTAAAAACGAGCCCGGGTCACTATCGGGTTAAACTACTTCCAAGTAAAAACACGTAAACCGCGGTTTTGCGGCCGAACTCATCAAGAAACCCAATTCTTGTTTTCTAGCTGATGCTGTAGGATTCCGATCTGCAAGTCACTTTTCAGTCTAGACTTCGATGATGTGAATTACGGCTTGAAACGGCCTGTAAGTTGTCTCTTCTAGCCTAGCGCAACGGCACCGGTTAGATAGTCCGCGACCGCTCCAGCAGTAGGGTCGGTAAATCTCCAGAAAAAGTAGTGATCAACAGCATTTCGAGATTTTAACTTCCGTTTGCCGCGAGGTTGCATTCGCTCGCGTGGCCTGGCAGGGCAAATCACGATCATGATCTGCTTCAGCCACTTGTCCTCTTGGTGTGGCGATTCTTCCGTTTGAATTGCGCGTGCTCTCGCGACATAGCACCGGACGCGTATAAGATCGCCATTACCATCGTAGCGACCGAAAGGTAATAATGTCTTGTAGGGTGACTCTTACCGAGTCTACTGCAACCCTGGCCTTCTAGTGGATGTTTTCGCCTCAGTCAGGATGGAAGAATTGCGGGCACGCACATGGCTAAGTTGCATGAATAACCGACCGAAACCTTCTTCTTTGACCAAAATGGAAAGGATGTGTACTTTAAAGTAGGAATCCGAAAGCCATAGAATGACTGGCATAATTGGAAAGTTGGTGTTTGCCATGTGGTACTCCGAGTACGATGCGGAAGTCGCTTGTCCTTAGACACACCCACAGGCAGTACTGGCAGGTAGATCATCAGTACATGCAGCACTTTCCAATTAGAGCTTAGAATCTCGCTCTACTAAAGCACTTCTGCTGAATAGTCAATATGGACCAGAATCTTCTCTCTGCCTTTCGCAGTTCAGATGACCGACACGACGATTATTGTACGCGTCTGAAAAGTTTGCAGAAGCCATTGAAGCACTAAGTAAGCCAGTACCCGCCATCAAAAACCAATAACGTGGGCAAGGCAGCTTCCGCTTTTTCGACGTTGGGGGTCTAAATTGAGCGGTTGACATAGCTCTATCCACTGGTCTGAGATGAACATGGAATTTAGACACGGCATTTTCGTGCCTTGGAAAAGCTACACTGCAGAAGACATTGCGAAATATTACGCTACTGCAGACACGGTGGTCAATGAAACGCGTTCGGTACAGAACTAGATTTCTGAAAGCTCTAAAGCTGCAAGTACTTTTGAAAGATGCGGTTTCATTGACTTGAAGTAGATGTGAGAAAGCAGTGCAAGACTTGATTAAGACTCAGGAATCAATACATGATCTTGGTAAGCAGGAACGCGAAGCTTGGTTTAAATCCGTACAGCAAAAAGAACGCTGAACTCCTTGGGCAACACGTTCTTTTTAAGTATTAATCTCTCACATGATTTTGGCTCTTTTCGCGATCGAATTGTTTTGAGTCGCGCGTTCCAAAGGTAGGAGAAGACTTGTTTTCACTGCCTCTAGAGGTTCGAGATCTCTCGATTCGACACTATAGTGAGCGATTCTTCCTCCAAGTCTAGGGGCAGCATTCCTGTCCGTTGCTCACCTCGAATCGAATCCCAGATCTAGATCAACAGAGCTAAGAAAGTGCTCGATAATGTAGACGTGTTGAGACATGTTTGTCGCTCGTCCGTGACTTGAGCAGAAAGTGTACATGAAAAATGAAATAGAGATAAATACGTTTGAAAGGATCTACTGATCTAACTTATATGCGGCAAGCCAACTAATCAGAGTGTGTATACCAAAGTTGTGTTCTAATACGGCTTCTTGACAACCCGTTTTCCATATATAAATCACGCATTCCGCTAGTAGATACGAAGACAACGAACGGCATTTGATTATGGACTTCAGCAGTGCTGCTAAACCTATACCGTGTTAGTGGCTCAATTGTATTAGTTAGTGAGAGTATAAAGAGAATTGGTCAGAATTTCGAGGTTGCACAAAAATACAACTTCTGTCGTCAAAGTCCAGAAAAATATCAAGCTGCGTGAGGACCCCGCCCATCATTTGAAACCCTCACAAGGGGCCTCCGTATTTTCCGTTTGGTTGCTTCCAAGTCGAAGACAATGTCGCGTGATAATATCCCGTCGATCATGTCTGTGGGCCAAGATTATAACTACATCAACAGATCTGATCCTTCTCCCATCTTATCCAGCTGGAAGTTCACATCAGCCATGTGGAGAAGATAAAGTTTTGCCTACCTGGATTATGTATCACTGAAGGATACTCCATGAATTTCAGGGCATTTTCATTACTGGAAAGTCAAAGTCGAATTCTTGAATTTCCGTGCAGAAATACGTCTTTGATATGATCCTGTCGCAGAATCTCGATTGTTTCTTCTAGGAGGGTCAAACTAGAGAGTCGTTTTCACGGAAACATCTACCACGATCTAATCACACAACTTACCAATATACCGCAGAATTCAACCGTGCTACTAAAATGAGTCGAATATAAATAAATTGTATGTCTAACTTGATTAATATTCTCTAGATCAGTTATCTAGATGATGATCAAGTGTAAGGCGATGAGCCCCTATGAACGTGATGATGATGTTGTAACGGAGTTCTTGGATCGAATGTGCTAACTTTTGATAATTGCTAAGGTGTTGAGACATGGTGCTGGTGAAAGGTAGATAGAAACTTTTAGCTGAACTCATAGGTGTATGGAATTTCATAATCTGGAGGGAAAACGTATCATGTCTTAAAAGTGTGTTGTTGATGTGAATATAGACGGCGAAACATGAGCGACGAAGAGGTCTGGGGAAGCCCTCAATAAGCCGGTAAAGGTTATGCCAACGAACATGCTTCTTTCAAGCGACTAAACAAAGCCCGTGTAAATGTTGTGTCATCTCCGCTTGACATGAAGAACTTCGAATTTAGGAGGTTTCCAGCCTGGGTTGCTATCCAAGAATTTCCTCCATGCAGGATACCCTTGTGCTGCAACGGTCTTGAAGCTATCGGCGAAGCATTGCTGGAATACTTCAGGGCGTACTGCTTTGTTAAGGAAATTGGCGAAATGGAGCCTCTTCGCCGGAACCTTATCCAGAAAGTACCTTTGAGGGCTTTTCGCATTGTACAATAGTGAAGTATCAACAGTAACGATGATGTTAACGAGGTTGGGAAGCCGCCTCAGGGCATCCAGTAAGGGAAAATTGTATTTGACTGGCCCAGCCCATGGAGGACTCATGTAATAATGACACATGTCATGGGTTCTTTCGGCCCGGATGGCGAAGCGTTGCAATGGCATGGCTTTGTTGATAGCCCTCAGCGCTTTCAGGAGGTCGTAGCGTGTAGCATTGTCAATAAAGTATATTGTATCTTGCTCATTAATATACAAACGCTCCTCTTGAGAGATTGAACCGTCTTGAGACAGTGGGCCGTTAAGATTAATGCGTTTTCCAATCTGTTTGTAAAATCGTAGAGCTTCGTTTCGTGACTCGCGGTTGATCTGCAAGACTGTGGGTACGGGGCCTGCGTAGAGCTCATAAAATACCTGGACAGTACTTTCGTTCCCTTTGGTTTTCCATGAAGCAGGTATCAAACGGGGTGATTCCGAGGCATATTTCCATATTTTCAAACGGAGCTCGATAGGGAGTTGGGTGAAAAGCTTGAAATTTCGTATCTTTGTTTTTCTCCCTACCGCTTTGGGAGATTTAGACTTGATAGAAGAGGGTAATGATGTACTGTGCTTTTGAATTGAAACTTTATGACGTTGCTGCAAGGTCTTTGTCGTGCGCGAACATTTCTTTGGTGATCGAGTGGCAGTCATGATGACGGTTTCCACGGAACCTGTGTGTCGTTGGGATGGGTTGGAAGTTGGATAGACTCGTAGCCGGAGATGAGAACAGATCTGAATGCGAAAGGTATGACAAGTTGTGAGGCTAGACAATTTTCTGAGGATATAAATTTGTAGATGATTTGACTGTTGCAATTTGAGGCGGACGGTTTTCGATCTTGTTGAAAGTGAAGCCCAGAAACCAGCAGGAGTTGTTTGACCAGTGTCAAAACATAAAACCCAGCTTGGCCGGCCAGTGAAGTAATGATAGAAGTGTTGGTCTTGTTTATAGCTTCGGTTCGTATGAAAGTAGAGTTCAATCGTGGAGCTGTGCTATTGTCGAGTTGTTGATTACTTTAACGAAAAGAACAATAATTCTGGCGCAAGTGAAAGATACAGCTTCCAGAGTTCTTCGTCGGTGATATCAGACCCGAGAGTGAATACTGGGTGGGTCTTTTAGATTGTTGGTTAAAATCCAGAAATGTGCGCGTGGAAAAATGCTGACCTTGACTTTTGAAGAAGGATGATTGAGTATAGTAATACCTTCAGATCTTGGTGTATGTTTCGAGGGCTTTGGAAGAAAGGAAAGCTTCAGAATAAGGGTGAGAGCCTGTTAACAAAACCCGCTAAAATAACGGAGAACATAACTTGGCCTTCAACATAAATCACAGCACTGTTTGGTACCTGGACAATCGGGGAATAAATCGCTGTTAGAGCTAAGAGCTATTTTTACTAATCAGCCGATTTTCTTTGAAAGGTTTTGTAGAAGAATTATTAGATATATTACCCCAACTATGCGTATATATACGCACGTGTCTGCCGTGGGTGTGATAGTGTCATAAATCATGTATCCACGTCGTCATCCAGATGTATGTTTTGGTGAAGAAGAGAGCGCAAATAGAACATGTAAGATATAGGAGACGTTATTGATTTCCAAATATAAACCTGTCGATCGTCAGGATTTAAATAGTACTTACAAATCATGGATAATCGCTATTCTTGAATCGGTTGACGAGTTCGAGAAGTCACCCATCTATTGTTCGTATGTTTAATGTTTGTCTAGAGTAAGCGTTTCGTTCTCATCGTACTGCACGACAAACATCTACAATAAATTCTACATAATTAGAGACCTCTACACCTAGAATTGTCAAGGCTTCCGGTAGGTAAGGTAAGCGGCAATCGAAACGCGATAGTTCTTCGATGAAGTTAATCAAATATCGCATATTTCGTCTACTAGTTTTAGAAATATAACTTGCTCTACTTATGTCCAAGTCTAGTCTTTTGGGAGAACGTATCCAATCTAAGTTGAGTTTAAGACAATAAAGTTGTCAGGGGATTCTACCACTTGAATTGTCCTGTACGAGCAAGGGTAGTATTTTAATTTCTGTACACCACCAACACGTAGCGACGTTGGAGCGGAGGGGTATAAAGACAGTGACCTCTCAAAGTCTCAATCTGCCTGCAATAATGACCAACCTCTTCGCTGCAGAAGGATTCGTCCGGCACAATCGCCAAGTATTTACTAAAACATCTGTCCATCAACAAGCATCTTCATCATCAACATTTCCCAGCAATCACGTTACACCAAGCACGATAATCATCTGTTCATGGATGTCAGCAGAGCCTCGTCATATTAAGCGCTACCTGTCCAGCTACGCTCCATTGTATCCTCAATCGCATATTCTTCTTGTGCTCTGCCCTAAAAGCCCTATCATCTTTTACTCCCGCAAAGCGCAGCAGATACAGTTATTACCTGGCGTGAGGTTTTTGGTTGCTGATGAGAGGAAAAAATTCCTTGTTCATATATTCTCGGGTGGTGGAGCAATTAGTTAATGTAACTTGGCAATTGCCTATCGTATGTACACATTCCTTCTTGTTAAGAGCTTTGCCGTCATTGATTCCTCCGTTAAACGCAGCTCTGAGATCTTCTCATCACTTCTCATCGCCTGTGGTCTCTTTTTTTCTTTTCCACCTTTGTTTTAGGATAATGATGAAGGAGTCACTGACTCAAAGGTTTTTGACCAGGTGATTGTGCAATTCAGCTACAAGGACACTTTGGTGACAATGGCTTACTTCCAATACAAAATCTGGTAATGGACAGTACGCCAGCGAGAAGAACAGACTGGAGAACTGCGGACGCATGGGTCTATGTCCTTCCTTCTTTCTTAAAAGATCCATTTATTACGTACCTTGCAAGACATTTTTTTGTTGTCGATATGGCGATGTGCCTTGGCCGCGACGAAAAGAGGAGACCCGTTTGAGAAAGCTTGGAGAGAGTTGAATGATACAAATGTGATTAGAAAAGAAAGCGTACGATTGTACATTTACTCGACAGATGACAGGTTGATTTGGTATAAGGACATTTTGTTGCATATGGAACTGGCAGCGGAGAGAGGTTTTAGCGTGAGAAGCGAGAACTTCACGCCAAGTGGGCATGTTGCCCATGTTTTAGCAGACAGGCAAAAATACTGGGATGTCATTCAAAAACTTTGGGACACAAACAGGGGTTCCGAGTAGATGGAATATGCGCTCTTTAATCTCAAGAAAACTTTGGGTACCCTGGAGTAGAAGAAAGAACAGCTTTGAAGGATAAGCTAATGAATAGTTCACGTCACGTCTCAAGTACGACAAAGAGTAGTAAAGTGAGTAGAAGGAGTCGTAGAAAGAAAAGAGAGAAGTGATTCTTGTAAATCGGTAGTGACATTTGAGCGACTAGGTTCATCTTTGTAATGCGGCTGTTGTCCGATCAGTCCAATCGTGATACTGTTATATTCCGACGCAATTAGCGAACTCCGACTCCCTTGCTATATGCTCAATTTAAGATAAAGAAAAGTTTCCTACTCAATGACCCGTGAGCTTTTCTGCCTCCGAATATTGCGAGACTTGAAGTTCAACCATACCATAGCCCCTGATTTAGGTTGCATCTAAATCACTGTCCAAATGCACCACTTGGTTTTGGTCCTGTAATACCCAGCTTCTGCTTCTTGATTCTCGGCAAGACCCCAATAAGGAGAAGTATCGATGAAACCAACACAGCCCAAAGCTTGATATCCAATACGTTCTTATTATAATCGGTCTGAGTAGCTGCGCAAACTGTTGCAAGCATCGTAGTAAGAATAACATATCCGCTGATACGATGATATTTGTATAGTGACTTTGCATTGTCCACGCTGCCATATAGCTGTGGAAAGAAGTAGGCGGTAAAGCCGACTAAAGCTTGAATTGCGAGTAGAATATATGTGATCAGACCGAGAATAGCGTGGGCAGACACGAAGTGAGTACCGTTATGAGCGATCTTGTTGTACTCGATTACAACAAGGCCAGCAATCAAGGCATCGATTGCAATATTATTGATGGTGAAATGTGCGATCGTTCCTTGTCGTTTCTGCTGCGGGGTGTGCGTGGGTTGGAGAATGAGGATGCCCTGGGTGAGGGCGAGAAGTCCAGCAGAGTTTAGAAGAGGGTGCGCAGAGAAGAGTATTAGGTCGTTGAGGAAGACATTGGCCCAGACAGACGCTACAAGCAGAAGGATTCCCGCCTGCGCGACCACTGCTGTTCCTACCACAGAGTTAGTGAGAGGCCATACCATATAGAGATTTAAAGCGAGAAGTACCAAGATAGAGATTATGGTATAGAGGCTTTCCTTCCTCCTGCGATGCGTCTCCACGACGCCCGAGCAAAGGTTCGTCTTCAGCATACCCCTCCGGCGAATGACCGTTTGTGTCGGGGATATTCTGTGGAATACCAGTTGCGGATGCCATGATGCGGATGTGAATGGTTTTATTCGGGAGATGCCTTGAACTGCTCTGTCGACGAGGAGCAAACGATAGAGGTGAGTATAAGGGTAGGCTGTCCTAGGCAGATGGATGTCGTCTTGTTACATTTTAAGTGCGGCAGAGCTAGTTGTACGGCTGGTGCCCACCTCAATGCTCACAAAAGCAAGCCCCTCCATGACGCTTGCAGGCATAGGTCCCACCAATCCCCTCGTCCATATGGGTAATCAAATACATGGGAGGATGAAATAGATTGCGCCATCCTGCGACCTGAGCAACAATCAAATATCGTTTCCCCAAATCGAGTGTTTGCAGTATGATTCTGTATCACGTCTGCAGATCATGATATTGTGCGAGCCCAGGTGCAACCAGAGTTTGTCCTAGTCCTCACTTACATTCTGTCGAGGGTGATTGGCTCGCCTTTGGCTGCTTTTCATTCGTGCGTTCAAGATCAAAGGTGGGGTTTGCTATCAAGTGGAAATGCTGTCTCTTGCGGAATCGGCCGACGTTTTGGACGTCTATTACTCGATAGGACCTACACAGCAGATGCTCGTGAAAATTTCTCGATTATAAAGATCTGGGAGAATCTCACTTCTCCGCTGCATCCCGAAGAACCATCATCTAGCCACCATGTCGGTAGAATCAGAATACAAGCTTGATAATGTGGCCGCAACTTCGGTTCCATCCGACCAGATTGATGCAACCTTCAAATCATCTACCATTGGTAAGTCCCTTCATTTATCGTTTTGAAGTGGTACAAAATGCACTGGATTTGGGACATCAAATGGTGGTGTGACCTGTACTACCCTATACTGGGCAATGGATTTTGACGATCAAATGGCTTCACCGTGCCTTCAAATTGTGCTATTGAAGACATCCGTACTGACAATCATCAGATTTGATATCTGGCACTCTGGGCGGCAAAGTCCTCTCTTGTTCAGATGAGTGGTTTGCGGAGGCAGCGAACCTGCTCACCCCAACTCCGCCAATTCGTCAACCAGGTAAAATGGTCTACTCGGGTGCGTGGTACGATGGCTGGGAAACCCGCCGTCACAACACTGCCCCTTTTGATTACGTCGTGATCCGCTTGGGTGTGGCTTCAGGAACCGTAGAAGGTATTGAGGTTGATACTGCTTTTTTCTCTGGTAATCATGCGCCAGCCATTTCCGTGGAAGGAGTATTCAGCTCGAGTGACGAGGAGGTTGTTGGTTGGAAAGGAGACCGTGGGAAGTGGGAGCCCATTCTTGGTCTTCAAGAGTGTGGACCTTCTCAGAGATTTGGCTGGAAGTTGACGAATCCAACAAAGAAACCTTACACCCATGTTCGTTTGAACATGTATCCAGATGGTGGAATCGCTCGGTTCAGATTATTCGGCCATGCGGTTCCGGTATTTCCAGAGGACAAGGAAGCAATCTTTGATCTTGCTGCCGCACAGAATGGCGGAGTTGCTATCTCTTGCAGCGATCAACACTTTGGTGTCATTGCAAATCTAATCTTACCAGGAAGAGGGAAGGACATGGGTGATGGATGGGAGACCTCAAGATCTCGAGGCAAAGACCATGTTGATTGGGCCGTCATCAAGCTGGGAGCAAAAGGGAAGATCCAGAATCTAGTTGTCGACACCGCTTTCTTTAGAGGGAACTTCCCCCAAAAGGCAAAAGTTGAAGCAATAGATTGGTCCGGCGAGGGAGAACCTGGAGCACTCGCTGCGGATTGGGTCGAGGTTGTGGCTGCTAGCAAATGCAGTCCAGACAAGGAGCATGAGTTTGAATCTTTGATCAAAGACAAGACTTTCACTCACGTCAAATTGGTTATGATACCCGATGGAGGAGTTAAACGTATTCGTGTCCTCGGAAAGAGAAGCGAATAATAAGTTAATATAATTGATTTCATCCTGCAACACCGCCGCGAGGATTCTGTGTGACATTGACACGTTTGAATTTGCCAAATAGCTACGGAATTATATATCACAAATAACAAATTTTATGTCAAATTTCAGTCCTTTTGATCCCTCGTCCCTCACACGTGATTGGCGTCATTGCAGCTTGATACAAGTAGACGTTAATGCAGCACCAGTGAAGCCAACAGATGTACCCCATAATTCGGTAGCAGCCGTTGCCAGCGGCCTCCTCTGCAGCAAGTGAACGATGGATTTCTTCTGTTGTTCTGTCAAGTTTTCGCAGATTGAGATTTAAGGTTCCTATTCAGTGACCTTGATTGAGTGTGAGTGTTTGCGGCTGTGCATGGACCCTCGTCACGTATCGAATTAACAGTTGATATCTCCGAGTTGAAGGAATTCATGCAACACCAACAACCAGACTTTCTGAAATACACCCGGAACATCTTCAATTCCAAGAGAAAATAATCGGCTACACATGCATACCCGTACATGAGTGCGGGCTACATGCAGTCCTCGACCAGCGATGGATATTGGGCTTGATGGCGGGGATATTGGAGGGTTTGGCGACGATGGGGGATTTGAGGATCAACCACCAAAGAAGTCCAGGACCCTCCCGGATGACCTGCCAAAGTCTCTAGACGATAGGAAAAGTGTCCCGTCGCATTTCACACAGGAAACCGAGATGTATGATGCCTGGCAAGGTGAGGCGAGATATCTGGCATGTCTCTGAAACGAACTGACACCGTAAAGGGCAATCGCAGTTCTTAACGACTCCTTCCCTTGCGAAACCTCTCCAATTCAACAGTCTATCGCTAGAAGACAACGACTACGATGATGACCTTACCAACCAAAAGATTAGCGACAGCGACACGAGACTAATGGAAATGCTTGCTGCGCAGGCGGCACACCGAGATGGAACTGCAAGTGAGGATGAGAACGCTGTGGCCTCTGATGAGAAGTTGACGGAACCCGAGAAGAAAGACACACTACAAAAGGCTTTGAATATGGCAGCGAGTAACGGCGATGTTGAGAGAATACTGAGAATACTGAACGGGAAAGCTAAGGACTTTGTTGATATTGATGCGCCGGACGAAGAGGGGACAGCCCCTCTAATATATGCTAGTTGCTTTGTGGGTGATATCGCGACAGTATCTCTGCAATTTGCTGACGGTAATTAGGGCCACGAAGCCGTAGTGACTGCTCTTCTCGATGCCGGCGCACATGTGGATAATCAAGACCGAAATCAATGGAGTGCTCTTATGTGGGCTATGACGAACCGACACAAGGGCATTGCAAAATCGCTTTTGGATCATGGCGCTTCTCCAGAGGTCAAATCTTCGTCTGGACGGACAGCATTCGATTTCGTTGCACCAGATAGCGAAATATCGGGCTATCTACATGATAGCGGGTATAACATTGGTAGTGCAGGTGTCACGGATGATTTCTACAATCCAGGATTTTCTCAGGATCGCTTTGAGGAGGAAATGGCTGAGAACGAAATGAGGAGACGGATGATGATGGAAAGTGCTAGGGACCTGGAAGTAGATTTGGGAAATGTTGGAATCGATGATCAACCAGAGGTAACGGTATAAACAACCAATACGGGAACTAAGATTAACATAGAACAGTCTCCTGAAGAATTAGAAGACGAAGGACAGGAGTTCGATTGGACGAGGTGTCTCCACGACCAGATGTTCGTTTTCCAAGAGAACGAGCTTGACCGTATCTTGGACATTATTATTACAAATATGACACCGCAGCGATCCCCATCACAAAAGCCCGTCCCGGCAAACATGATATTTCTCAGTGCCCGATACGCTCATTATCATGCGGATGCTAATCTGCTCGGCAACCTACTCATAACGGCCATGGACAAAATCAACGACGTTGTAGAAAAGAACCAATGGGATATGACGATTCTTGCATTCTGGATTTCCAACGCCACTTTGCTGTTGCACTACTTGAAAAAAGACGCTGGATTGTCGGGCTCGACCTCGGACTTTCAGTTACAGCTTGCTGAACTGATCAATGAAATCTTCATCCTCATAATAAGGGACGCGGAGCGGAGAATGGACAAAGTTTTAGATTCGGCAATGTTAGAGCACGAGACCATACCTGGGTTTGAAGATATAGCTTTCCAACATGAATGGAAAATATTTAAAAGAAAGAACCAGGTGAAGGAAGAGCCTGTCGAAAAAAGGTTCCGGCCTCCTTCGCCAAAAGCAAGGGCCAAACCATCACCGCGAAACATCACCTCTCTACTATCGTCGACTCTATTCGTTTTGGATCTGTATGATATACATTCTGTTATCACTGCTCAAATTTTGGCTCAACTGTTATACTGGCTCGGAGCAGAACTGTTCAATCGCATCATGTCAAATCGTAAATATCTCGCAAGAACTAAGGCTATGCAGATACGCATGAACATTTCCAGTTTAGAGGAATGGGCAAGAACCAACAATCGGCAGCCGGAGCACTATGAGCATGGTTCGATGACATCAAGTGGGGAAACAACGATAGATGCGACACGGAGACATCTCGCACCACTTATTCAATTGCTGCAATGGCTCCAGTGTTTCTCATCACTCGGGAACGACGACTTGGAGGCCTTGGTCGGCACGCTTCAACAGCTTACCCGACTCTCATGGCAGCAGCTTATTCATGCTGTGAAGCATTATCGACCAGAGGTCGGTGAGAAAGGCCTGCCGAAAAGTGCCATGAAGTATCTCAACAGTATGCAACGAGAGACACAACTTCGTAAGACACAGAAGAAAAATGCTGCAGTATCACAAAACACAACCCCTATTCAGAAGACTGGCAACAGCCAGCCGCCGAACCCTTCCGATGCGAATGGGAAGCCGACGAAGGATCCGGCCCATGACGAAAATTCACCCGATGATGAATACGACGCACCAGAAAATCTGCTTTTGGACCCCGCTCTGATGCTCCCATTCTCTCTTCCTACGAGTACGGATATGCTCATCAGCTATGGTGCTGGATTTGGCGGGGTCAACCGGGAACGTGAGCGAAAATACATACCCACTATCCCTCCTGAGTTCCTGGCGAAACTAGATTTAAGTGGCGGCCGTGCACATAGTACGTTTGAAGAGCGCGATTGGGACAATGAGGACGAATGAATATGACTTCCTGGGATGAGTATGGAGTCAACGTCAGCGAGATTTGGGAACAAAAGGAAAGAAGCATTTGGAAGCATTGCGTGGCGTTTAGGGCAGACTTCCCCCCGAGTTAGATGGAGGCAAAGAGGTTTCTTTTGATGATTGTTTATCACAATTTCAGTCAATGATAGTATAGTGTATGTGAAACCAATAAATGTTATTGAAAGCTTCAATTTGGGTAGTGCTTGGACGTCTGTCAAGGGACTCCCAGGCTCAATGCGGAGTTTTCGACTCCCGCCAGCTACGGTATCTGGAGAACCTGGTTCTGGTCCACACTGTTTCTCCACAAACGATCGGAGGCTGGAGGTCTCAAGAATGATCGACTTATCCCCAGCGACTCGGAACACCTTTGTAAACATCAACAGTGGCTCAACGTCCAGCCAGCCAACCGACTGTGCAACGCGAGGAGACCGCTATAACAAAGGTAAGGTAGTAAGTAGCTCTACAGCAGCAAAATCATTCTCTTCTCATGCAAGCACGTTTCTCACCCGTGACACTTGCACCACCGCCAAACCGAACAGCGCATATCACGACCTTCTCCCACCCCAGCCATGCACCGTGAAGTGTCCATGTATACCCCCATCTGCCTCGAAGGTAAAGTATTGGCCGTCAATGTCAACGGTCACGTCTTCGAGCGGCTCGTCAGGTGCACTACAGATGCACTAACAGGCTCCACGTGGTGATTGGGTTCGAGGAAGTTCGTCTGAAGTGTCCGAGTGTGGATGGCATGACACGTTCATGATTTAGTCTAGACGTGTTGCGTTCTTTAGTGCTGGCAATGTAATTGAGCTGTGACTAGCTGTTGCGTCTAGCCCTGAAATCCAAGTTGTCATGAGGAGGACGAGACTCAACCAACACGGGAAATAGGCTTTAGGAGAATATCTCCCACCCCAGAGCTGATCGTGGATCGTGGGATGTCTGTGCGAGAGATGGGGGGCATTGGAGCAGCTTTTTCTGTCATTTTAACAGGGGAGGAAATGCCTGCCGTACCTGCGCTCAGATCGACGGGGACGGCTGGGAGGGAGATTTTACCAGGGAGGCAGCACAGCACAGGCAAAAGGGAAAAGGAGAGACCAACAACGCCTGGCGCACTCGGAGTCGATGCTCATTTGGGCGTCGACTCGTCGAGTGGTGGATGCACCAACACTGACCTGCATCGAGAGTGCGCTGGGGGCGTCGTTGGCTGCAGTCGTGTTGCGGGCAGCGGAAGCCGCGATGGACAGGCGGTTGGGTTGCAGCGAGCAGCTTTGGGTGAGAGTGACACGGTGACACTACCGACACTGCAAAAGTCCCACGCAAAACATCAACGAACCAATTTCCTTTTCTTACAACTGCCACCAGTGTCTCCCAAGAGTCGAGAGGCCAATCTTGAATGTTTGTTTTTGAATTTCACCTCTCGAAGCTCCAACATCTCCCACACCTTCGCCGCTCGAATTTATTGCAACATTTCTCATCGCCATCCCCAACCGGAAAGTCAATAAACTTCCTATCTCGACCGTTCGCACGCCAATTTTACCACCGACTGCCGACGGACCCAGCACCGCAATCCACCATTTAATCCACCCTTGAGCCGCTACTCCAGTGACTCCACGCCGGAAGAGAGCATTTCGGACGAGACACTCGCGCACACCAACCCTGCGCTCTAAGATTTGGGCCCAAAACGCTCGCTCGTGAGTCGTGAAAGAGATGGCACCCGAAAGGGTAGCAAGTCTTCTCCGTTCGCGATCGATGAAATCATCTCTTCCTTCTCCTCCACGCGCACTTCCACCACCTACCCTCCTGTCGAAAGTCTGCTCGAGCGATGGTGGCTTGATTGTTCTTCGGTACGAAGAGGCCATTGCTGCGAAACCGCCTATCGCTGTCACGGTCGCACCACCGCGTCTCCCTCCCCAGGATACCCATCCCGCGTTGCGCACTCGATCAGAGACCGTTCAAGACGACAAGAAGAGAGATTCGGGCTTGGCAGCCACCACGTCGTCCAAGTCGACGGAAGGAAGCGTTACGACGGAAGAGGACAATGTGTTGGGATTTACAGGAATATCGATAGATTTCAATAAAATCATGGCGACGGCCGTCCAGGCGCAACCGGTCGCATCGCAAATCGAGGACGCGCCGAATCCTCTTGCATCGCCCACCACACCCACGACAGGAAAGACCGCGGCGCAGACAGGAAATTTCTGGAGGAGACAGAGTTCGAAGAAGGGTTCGTCGGAACCTACGATTCCCACGACACCAGTGAGGGAAGATAAGACCAGCGACGAGGAATTCTCGCCCATAACCACACCTATACCGACAGAGAGTTTGTTAGACGAAGATTTCCTAAATCAATTGAGCTTCTCGAAGCGAGGAAGTATTATGCTAGGAGGAAAAAAGGCAGTGAATGGACATTTACGCCAAAACGGCGGTCGAAGGTATGCTGTTCTGTTCTTTACAATTGATTCCAGCTAATTCAATGCGCCAGACAACCCAGTTTCTCAATGCTAGCCACTCCGTCTGTCAAGCTGTTGCCGGACGATATCGAGAAGGAGTCGCAAAAGGTGAGATCTATGTACGAGCAAGATTACGACTGGCGGGAAGGAGGCATATCTCTTGGATTGGATGCTCAAATTGCGCAAATCAAAGCAGAAGTAGTACCTATGCCGTAAGTGATCTTGTGTGGCAAATCTTCCTCTTTACTAATGGTTACAGATCTATCAGTCAATCAACCCCAAACATACAAGCATTATACGCGCGTCCCGACAGTGATTTCTCAGCTCGGAGCGATAGAACAACACATGAACGCGCTGGAGGGATCGAAGATTGGGAGGACGTCAATGGGAAAGATGTCGACAGATATGGGTTCATAAATCTGCGTCGGAATTCAAGACCAGGAACGCCAGAGCCACGGCCGCCGCAAAGAGTATCTACTATCCTGATGATGGCATCTGAAACCCCGAGGAAGAGACGATTCGGCAGGTCATCATCTGTCGCTTCCAGGCCCGCGAAAGCAAACTTTCTTCATGGGCCGAACAGAAAGGTCTCTGCTAGGTCATTAAACACTCAGGAATCAACCAATTCGGGCCGGAGTAGTAGTAGGTCGCAATTCCGTGCGGCTGCCAACCGACTTCCAGGCAACAAAGACAGACGTTGGATGGAAGAAGCAGGTGATATGCTCACTCTACCACCTGGACTAGCTGATATCGCTGAGGACGAAGAAGGTGGGAAGGCTGTGGAAGGCATGAAGAAGAAAGAGTTTGAACGAACTGAGAAGTGGAGGAAGATGGCCAAAATTGTCAAGACTGGCAAGGATGGAGAGGGCATGGAATTTCAGTTCGATACACGAAGCCCAAAGCTTATAGAGAGAACCTGGAAGGGTATTCCGGATCGATGGAGAGCGGCTGCGTGGCATTCGTTTCTGATGACATCTGCGAAGAAGCGCGGAGGCTACGTACCTGACGAGGACATTAAGGCTGCGTTTTACAAACTACTAAAGCAAAGCTCTGCGGATGATGTTCAGATTGATCTTGACGTTCCCAGGACCATCAACAGCCACATCATGTTCAGGAAAAGGTATCGAGGCGGGCAACGACTGCTATTTCGTGTACTCCACGCTCTATCTTTATATTTCCCGGAGACTGGTTATGTTCAAGGCATGGCATCTTTGGCAGCTACTTTGCTGTGTTACTATGACGAGGAGATGGCTTTTGTCATGTTAGCGAGGATGTGGACATTACGAGGACTTAACAAGCTCTATGAGCATGGGTTTCCTGGGCTGATGGCTGCGCTGGATGAGTTTCAGAAGTCATGGTTGAAGGGCCGTGAAGTGACGAAGAAGCTTGTAAGTCCACTTTTTCGGACCTGTTATGCAGAAACTAATGATATCTAGGATGAACTTCTCATCGAGCCAACTGCCTACGGAACGCGCTGGTATCTCACACTATTCAACTACTCGATTCCCTTCCCAGCCCAACTTCGCGTCTGGGATGTTTTCATGCTACTCGGCGACTCGGACCCCTCAATACCCGTGACTGGGGAACGGCCCTTTGCAGGCGGTCTCGACATCTTACACGCCACTTCCGCCGCTCTCATCGACGGCACTCGCGAAATCCTCCTCGACAGCGACTTCGAAAACGCCATGAAAATCCTCACCAGCTGGATCCCCGTCAAAGACGAGGAGTTACTTATGAAAGTCACGAAAGCGGAATGGAAATTATCGCGCAAGCGAAAACATTAATACCTAATCAACAACAACTAATACGACGTAATCTTCTCAACACGCCCTCGCCTATCCGGAGTGTGTCTAATACTTTGTTTCCTTTGTCATTGCACATGGAGTGGTGGCTAATCACATTTGGGGGTTTTTTTCTTTTGGAGGAAAAAGGCGCATTATACCCCTTTCGGACGGCCCTCGCTCTATACCTTTATTTTGATTTGTCCTTTTTTGGCGGTTTTCGATACCTGTACTGTTTATATTGCGATATCTTGGCATGAGGTTAAGACCTAGACCTACACACTTAGTTAATTTTTTGGAGGGAAGAGAAAGATTGTCAGACGGTGAGATGGGGGGAGATGAGTGATGGAGAATCATGGTGTTGTGTTTTGGGCCAGAAGAGAAATGAGATGGGATGGCCAAGGATGGATAGCAAAAGTAAATTCGAAACCGATCGTACAGGAAAAGATGGGGGTTCGAAGAATGCTAGATTAATATGATACCTTTGTTTACCCCTTATTTTTGATACATCTTGATGACGCTGTGATTCTGTTTTTCTTGCGAGGATTCGGCACACACTGTGACGTAAGGTATCATGGACTCGTAGTAGTTCTTCCCGTTCTTTAGCGTGAGCTTTCTAGCTGCGAAAATCAGGTAACAGGCGGATTTCCAAGTTCCCACAGCCTCATGGATGATGGATAAGTGGACTGCGCCGCCGTATGCATTGGACAAAACGGATGATGATGGATAACTCGTTCTGAATGCTCAATGAAGATATACAGGTGCAGTCAGAGAGACGAGTTAGACGAAACCTAGTGTTCTAACATTGCAGCTTTTAATCCCATATTTAGATTATCTGTAGATAACGATAACAGCAGACCACCTTTAATGGCCATGTTATAATACAAGCAGGTAATAAACCAAACCACTTGCTGGCTGACCAATTTCCATACGCATATAATACCATTTCAAGACGCCCCAATCCAAATCTCCCATCACCAAATCTCACACACAGGTTCCTTACTCGCACACTTGAAACTCTCTTTGAAATCCCTCGAATTAGCCATCGTTCCCAAAATCCTAGCCCACTTTGGAGCATGCGGATCCGAGTAGATTCTCGAGATGGCTGTCTCCTTGCGACTCTTTCCGCACCACCACCCAGCGTAGCCAACAAAGAAAAGTTGTTCTTGGGAGAAATGTTCAAGACCAGGAAGGTCTTGGTTCGGGGTCTCAGCTTGACGTTTCTTCCAGGCGGCGAAGGCGGCAGTGACGCCACCTGCATCTGCTATGTTCTCACCGAGTGTGAGACGGCCGTTGACGTGTAAGGGTTTATCATCTGGCCCTGGAACGGAAAATTGAGAATATTGATCAACGAAACATTCCGCGCGTTCTTTGAAGGCGTCAACGGTGCTGTTGGTCCACCAATCTGTATAGTTGCCGTTCTGGTCGTAGTGACGACCTGTCGAATCGAAAGCGTGGGACAGCTCGTGGCCAGAGACAGACCCAAATGCACCGTAGCTGAGATATTGTGGCACATTGACATCAAAGACTGGAAATTGCATAATGCCTGCTGGGAAAACAATTTCGTTGCCAGGAGGATTGTAGTATGCGTTGACGGTTGGTACTGTCATACCCCACTCATCACGGTCGACAGGTTTTCCCAAGGCTGACCAGCCACGAGCGACGTCGAACCGACTCACGGAGAGCGTATTTTCAAAGAAAGTTGTTGGGGTGATATTTACACTACTATAATATTGCTGGAGACTTGGGGGATCCATGATATCTGGACTCTTTATAATGTTAGTGTTAATTTGCCAGGCTCGGAAAAGGGGCTTACTTTGGTTGGATAGCCAATCTTTTGGACAATCTTGTGAACCTTATCAATAGCAAGCTTGATCACACTCTTATCCATCCAGGTGGTCACTTTAAGTTTCTCGATAAACTGATCCTTAATATCAGAGACAACCTGGTCACCAAACACTTTAGCATCCTTGGAGAAAGCCTTTTCGACGAAGAAGCGACTCAAGATCCAGCCTAAATCTTCATCGACATTCGCGACACAAGTGCGCCATCTCTCAGGGGCCGAATCGGCCTCCTAAACATTGTCAGTAACATGTAAGCAGGCCAGCTTAACCGCGTGATCCTTACCTTGCCTTGCAGCTCATTTAAGAATCGTTTGTAAGGCTTCAGTTCATCTGCCTCAACATAGGAGGCAAATGCTTGGATCGTTTTCCAGACAAAATATGTTTGTAAAGTCTCCTTAGATGTCTCTGATAAAATATCTGTAAGATTCGCCATATAGCTTGGAGACATGACAATGATCCGTTCCGTCTTGACGTCCGCCGGCTCTAATCTACCAATGAGACTAGCAAGGTGGATTTCGGGGGTAAGCTTGTCTGCATTCTGAAGGCTCATCGGATTGTAGTATTTAGTAACATCATCTCTATCTTCCGCATCCGGGGAAGCAGCGGCGAGTTTCTTTTCGAATTCCACAAGATCGTGCGCGAACTTTTCAGTTTGATTTGAAGGGTGGAGAAGATCAATGACAGCAGCGGTAGCAGCCTCGTATTTCTTCACCACAGCATCATCAGAGTAGTAATCTTTGGCAGGGAGCCCAATTCGGTAAGGCGGAGAGGCGACCACGACGACTGTGTCTGGATCCTTGTCGTCGGCACTTGCGCCCAAGGAAAGTAGCGCCGTCACTCCGAGTTTGTGAAGAAACAAAACAGTATCTGATATTGTGCTGCTGTCATCGGACTTGGCCATCTCGGCTACTTGCCGTAAAATCCCACCGAGTGGTCGAATCCCGGCCTTTTTAACTGTTACTTCGTCCATACAAGCAGAATATGCATCTTTCAACTTATCGAAGTTCTGCTGGTCAACAGAAGAAAGAGATTGTACCAATTGAGCTGGCGAGAAGCTAGAGTGCTATTGGAAATGTCAGCTATCGACTCTACCCCCCATTCCATTGCTGTCAATGACTTATTGAAAAATACAAAGCGTACCTTCGACTCAGTTGGGTATGGCGCCTCCAGGATATGTCTCAGCAACATCTGCGAGTTCTCGCTCATTATGGTCCCAGTAAAGGCATCTCCTTGATCAGGCCTTAAATCGTGTCTGTCATCCCAACCGCCGCATACCAGTTCCTCAAAATTTGAGCATGGATCGATTTCCTTGTAGTTCGGGGCGAGGTTATAAAGAATCTCAGAGGAGGCATGAACGCATGCTGGCGTTAGACAGACTGTTGATTCGGTGTCGGATTGGGAGCCGGACTTCTTAGGTTGAGCTAGGTGAGTATCAGCAATTGACTTTTTACGACTGGAATAAGCTGTAGTAGGTGGTTAACTTACATCCGAAGAAGAGACATAGTGTTATCACAACTCCCAAGATCAGTGCACTCATAAATACAATCACTGCATTTCGAGTCACCCATCGTGCAGCCTTTTTGACTTGGCCAGTCGTAGCATTGTCATCGGCACCCTTAGCTGGAGAAAGTAACGGCGATCGCTCTGATGCATCCGACTTTGGCGTTGGGCCTGCCATATCGTAAAGTCGAGCTGTAATAGTTGTAAGAATACCGGCGAGAGGGATTACGAAGTTGACGAACGCAGGTGTGGCGTCGGGTTGTTTTGAACGACTTCTTGAGGTTGCTCTTGATCTTGAACGTGATTTCTGCCGTCGTTCGCTATTCATGAAGCTTCTCAGGAGCTACAAGTTCATGAAAGCACTGATTGTGCAATGGGTTCGCACATTGGTTGCTTCGTGCAAGAGTACACCAGTGTACTCCGTAGCGGCTGGTTGTCGTGGTAGCTTATGCGGGTACAGGCGGCAACCGCGAGCGAAAGGCGGGGAAAGCTCCATTCGAGGCTTCGGTGTTAAGGACCTACCTGGGTAACCACCAGAACCACTCTCGCGATGGATAGAGCTCAGTAAGATATCATTTGCTTGATATAATTGATGAAATGCACCTGGGCACAGCATGGTGTTGCTTAGTTGAAAAGGTATATGATTTTGTATACAAAATATCTCATGTATCGTTTCTCAACTGCCACTTATCATGTTCCGCTTGTCCACTTCCAACCAGTTTACTTGCACTTCATCGTAGATTGACTTTAAATAGCACAACAGATGTACTGTGCCACTAGATTTTATGGCAGGACGTAGAAAAGTTTTAACATGATGATAGTTCATCGATGTGTAGAGAATTGGTCGATGTCTTCATCCTAAGATTTTTGACCACACTTAACGTGCTACTGAAGACGGATATCCATACCAATGTTGGCGTCCTCGTGCCGACAGGAGAGTCATTGTTTTAAGTGTTTGATTCGCAATTGTGAAGTTGTATAATCAAGCCTCCAAAATCTCGTCTCCCTCGAGTCATGTTCTCGTTATTGTCGGAACGGCACTGGCTGGGTCCCTTTCCGATAAACACCTCTCGTATAGTGGACATGTTTCTCAAACAGTCGAAGTCACAGAGAAAAGAGACCGAGTAATCAGCAGCGTATCTACTCAGGACTCGGGAGACCCGTTGTTAAATCGAACACGAAGAGATAAAGTTTAGGCCAGTGTTATTACGCCGGAAGTTTACAAGGCTGTCCATCTGATTAATCACCGTAGCTCGGTAAACGAGTTGATCATGAAGGTCCATCCTGGCCCCAATATCACGCACAACATCTTTGAACCAGTCGTTGTTCGTCCATGCCAGCCTTGTTATAGATCAAGAGTATGCAATCTTAGATGTGCAGGCAATTGATCAAATGAGTAAGGAATGACTGTACGATCCAAAAGCTGTTTACAGAAGAACGAGATGTTAGCACGGCCAAGCAGAACTAGTGAAGGTTGCAGGAATGAGAGGCTTCTCATATGTCAAAGAGGATTTAGAGGTACGGGTACTCTTCTAGAATAGTAATTTCTAGCTAGAAACATTAGAAGTATAAACCTAATTTTAAGAAAGAATTTTATTCAAATTACGATCACGTGAAAGTCCTGCGGACTCGGACACCAAATCCGGAAGGACCCTTGGTTTTTGACACCCACGCTATGACGCGCTGCCCGTCAACGTCATTCGGGTAATTCCTGCCTTTACGACCAGGCGCCCCTTTTTCTTTCTCATCCACTTGCAGTCAGTCAATCGGCTGTTGGCTCAGCTCATTTTGACCATCAGCTGTTGTTGCACTTTAATATTGGCTGGACCCGGATAACCGTTTTATTCCAAATGATTAATTGGTATTCAGTTACACTCCGTCCTGCTACGCGCATCTCGAGCGGATAGCAAACCGAAGTCTAATCCCTCCTGCGCCGCTCGTCTCAACAGAGTGGACAATCAACCATCACCATCACTCCTTCCAATACAGTCGTATCCCTGCGCTTCCCACGCTCTGAATGCTTGAGCACAACCACCGTTGATGACCGTAAGTGAGGGTGCCCTCTCCAGCTCTGCTCCTGGCTGTTGGTGTGTCTCTTGGAGTCTTTGGAGACCATTGATGGTTGAACCCAAGTTCCCGGTCCTGCAAAGCTCAATCTTGCACCGTTGCCAGTCCATCCATTCTATTTCACGTGGTCGTTCGGCTTCTTCCACACTAGTACGGTACGGGTACACGGTTGCCAGTAACAAAGCAAAGCAGTGGAGAAGCGTAGAAGCAAATCAGGAACGTAATAAGTGGGTTCGTCAACCCAGAAATCCATTAAACATCAACAGCGCCTGAGTGACCCTGCACGGGATCAACAACTCTTCTCCTGCACTCACTCTTTTTTCTTTCTCCAACGTCAAAATCTCCTGTCCTTGGCTTCCCGTCATAAAACATTTGGACATCGTGACTCTCTCTACCTGCTCGTATTTGGACGAGCGCTCACCACGCAGCCGAATCCCATTCCACCACGCCCACTACGTCATATGAGCGGCGACCAGAAACTGGAACGTCAAGACGTAGCACGCACAGAACGGCCCGTTCTCGTAGCTTGACACGACCACGCAGTCAAATAACAATTCGAAAGCAGTATCTACACGATCCGAGACGACTGCTCACACGAGGAGCCGCCCTCACAACCAGTCGCCGTTCGAAATCCGGTCGGTGGCTCTGGAGTCGTGCGCATCGAGAGGCAGGGGGGGAAGAATGAGATGGGGCCTGAAAAGTTACACCAAAAGAGACCAGGCAATTCCCGCAGATCGAGCAGTGAAAAATCCATCACACAATCGTCAAAACATGGTGTGAAGACGACGACCCACGGCAAGTCACGATCATCGATGCCAGATTCGCCATCCACCGGTCCCTCCTTGCCCACCGGCTCAGAGAAGCGCAACAAAGAAGGAAAGGCAGGTGAAGGAAGCGACGCCGGTTCATCTAAAGAGACGACCAAGACACGACTGGTACCCAGCGACATTGTAGAAGGACAAGATGAGCGCATTCAAGATTCGAACGAGGAGCTGGAACGGCTGCGCGCCGCCATGGACGCCCGCATTCTCTTGAACCAACAACGAGAGAGGTTGACACGTAAGATGAATTTACAGCCAGACCCAGCGACCACCCTTTCCTCCCTAAGTGGCAAATCGCGAGTGTCGCCCATACATGAAGAAGCTTCTTCCCCATCTCTGGAAGATGCCTTTGCCAGCCCTACTACAGCACCAGAGACTGGGTCAACCGAGTCGGTTGCGACAGTCCGTGGGGGTATGACGCCTGGTCTTCAAAATGTACGGACCCCTTCCTACCCCTTCCCTCCCATGAGGACTCCTAGAAATCTCAGTTACACAAGTCATCGCCCTTTCACCGCGCTTTCTCCCACAGTCAACCCATCCAATTATGCTGGCGGCAATTTTGATGGCAGCGCATATGATCGCGTTCAGTCTGGCTCTGTGACTCCGGCATCTACGTTGAACTTTCACCCGCGAGGGACGTCACCGCCAATGGACGATCCCGTCTACGAGACGCCTAATTTATACGACATCAGTCTTATGTTAATGTCCGAGCCTGGTTTAGATTCTTGGTGGACGACGGTCGCGAAGATAATGAAAGATCTGTACAAGGCAGAACGTGTCACCTTGACAATTCCTGCTGATCCGACAGATGTCGAGAACGTGCCGTGGGCGCAAAAGGCAACTTTCGATTCAACCCAAGAGGATGAACTCAGCCTGACTTACCTACCACGAGGGAGCAGTCTCGTACCTAGTAGCGCTGGGACTAATGAAGGATATCAGGACGACGAAAACGAGGCGTCCGAACAGTCGCCTCTATCTCCCTGGCAAAGTCTAGGTCCTCCGCGACCAACGCTTGAGAGCAGACATTCCTTCACTGCTTACGAAGACACCAAGCGTGAAACTATACCGGTTGTCGACCCTGGTACCGTCAGAAGTGCTGCTCTACGTCCATCCATGGTGGGCAGAGCCAAGAGCTATGCGCCTTCCCACTCAAATATGCCTCCACGTACTACTATTCTCCAGAAAGCGGAGCTTAATCTACAATCTTTGCAACATCACATGAATTTTGAAGATTCATCTTCGCCAGTGGACTGGGAGAGCCGGGTCACGGCTGGAAAGGAAGTGCGTGGACGCGTATTTCCTGTGCTGCAGGCCTTGGAATATGAAGCAGACCCACTGATAGATAACACCGGGGTAATGAGGGTATTGGATCGCGAGAAGCTAGTAGTTTTAACCCGCGATTATCCGTATGAGGACAAAACCGTTTCCGAAGATAACACCAGTGGCAGTGGAAGTAAGACTTCTCAGCGCAGTTCGAGCGGAAAGACTAAATCGTCATCGGAAAAAGCGAATAAATCAAAAGCTCCTGATCTAAGCTCGCGCATTCAGAATTTCTTTGGTGGTAAAAGCAGACACCCGCGACACACGAACCGCGAACCTGCTGCTCCGACCCGATATGAGGAATACGAGCAAGGGCCACCGTCGCCATGGTCTCAGTCGCCAGCGCCGTCTCCAGCTGTTCGAGCAGAAACTACCGAAAACCCTTTCTTCGCCAATCAGACTATTGATGAAGAAAGCTTCGATCCCGCGCAGACACCAAAGGACTACTCGCAATCCTCACAGCTTGAAGCTATCGGAGTTGACAGATCTTGGACCGTCCTCCACGTCCCTCTCATGCACCCTCTTCTCTCAAAGCCTCTCCATGCCTTTCGGTTAGACACAGCTGCTCTCGAGTCCAGATCTACCTTGCGTGGCAGAGGCTCTGAACATAAAGCGAAACCGAAAGACTCGGAACCTGTGAACGAACGCAGGACACCCGTCGCGATACTTTCTCTCCTGAGTCCTATTATTCCCTATCCCTCGAACCTGCGACATTCACTCGAATATCTAGCACCACATCTTGCTTCGTCGTACACACTTTGCCGGCATCATTCAAATCTTCAGACAGAGATTGCTGGATTGTCAAGAAAAGGCCCCCGGCAAGCTGGCTTTGGCGCAGTGGTGACAAATACCCGTCCGACGAATGAAAATATCGACCCAGGATCAGCGTCACCAGTAGAAGAAGCAGGAGATCTTCCATCTACTGGTGGCAGCATCACCAGCCCAAGCGACTATTCAGGCGTCTCTAAAAGCGCTACGGATTCTCCCGCAGGTACGCCTGGCTGGGAATCTGGCAATGTAGCGTATGCTCGAAGCGACAAAAGATCGAGTGGAGGAAGTCCTGGTTACGCTGGAGGTGAGAGTTATTTTGCTCCAAAGCCAAGACCCTCCATGGTCAGAGTAGATACAGGATCTGCTTCTAGCATCTCTGGTGCTCGACGTTCGTCTAAAGAGAGTTCTCCGACGGATACGAGGTTCCACTTAGCTGGTAAGATTCTTGAAGACAGACGAATGGGTTCGGAAAGTGTTGATATTAGGGTGGATGATGGCGTGGCGAAACTTGACAGCGAGAATCCTCGTTCACGACAGGAGCTACATTCGTGGAACGATCGTTCAGCACGAGATTCTAAGTTTGAGTCAACTCCCGAAGATAGAGCGGCAAGTCCATCACGAGCTTCCCATCATGATACCACGTTGTCTCCTCGGAGACAGGCCATGCGTACAGCCTCCCATCAGGGGTCTGCGAAAGAACGTGCTCACACCCAGTTACACTCTTATGGCGCGGATTTCAGCTCCACGTTTCAGTCTCTTCCGACTGCGGTTATTTCGGGCATGAAAGCCCCCGTTGGTGCCAGACCGACCTCACGCTCGGGATCGATATCCTTGCCGACCGAAATGCCCCCTCCGTCAGATCGGGTGAAAGGATTGATGCTTGATTCTTTGCCAGCACACGTTTTTGTGGCCATGCCACCTTCCGGTGAAATCGTCTGGGTTAACAACAGATACTTAACTTACCGGGGGCAGACTGTTCAGGACTTGTATCAAGATCCGTGGGTTAGCTTACATCCCGCAGAGCGGGATGAATATCTCAAAGCCTGGGGGCACGCAATCCGATCCGGGGAGCAATTCTCGAAGCAGGTTAGAATCCGGCGGTTCGATGGATGTTATCGATGGTTTTACACAAGGGCTGTCGGACATCGTGATCATCGCGGAGTGATTGTTCAGTGGTACGGAACGCACATGGATATCCACGATCAGCATTTGGCGGAGGTCAAAGCTGCTAGGCAAGAGGAAATTGAAGCCTCGGAAGCTAAGCATCGGCAACTCGCGAATCTTATTCCACAGATAACATTTGCAGCAACTGAGGATGACGGCATCACGTTTGCCAACGAACAATGGCTTTCATACACAGGCCAAAGCTTCAGCGATGCGCTTGGCCTGGGCTTCATGGACCACATTCACCCGGAAGATCTTGCCAAATGCCACATCCCTCAGCAGCGGCCAAACCTGACTCCTTTTACTGCGCGCGCGAAAAAACCACCGCCTGCTAATCGAATGCACTCTCAAACATCATCTGGGGCAACCTCATCCTCAAAGTCTTCCAAAACCACCACCGTTTCCGACGTGCCTACAGAGACCACGGTTAAGGGTATCTATCAGTCGCTATCAAGGCAGAATAGCTCAAGCAGCGAATCTGTATACGAATTTCCCATAGCCGAACTCGCCGACTTGGCGAAAGCTGGTGTCATCAAAATTACTACAGACAGCGACGGGAAGCAGTCCTACGAAACAGAAGTACGTCTCAGGTCCAAAAGTGGAGAGTATCGCTGGCATCTTGTTCGGTGCGTTGAAGTTGAAAACATAGCCCTCGGTAGTGGCGATGGCTCATGGTTCGGGGCCTGCACCGACATTCACGATCACAAGCTTCTGGAAAAAACCCTCAAGGAGAATATGGACGTTAAGGCCAGGTTTCTTAGCAATATGTCGCACGAAATTCGAACCCCTCTTATTGGAATTTCTGGCATGGTTAACTTCCTCCAAGACACACCTCTCACTGACGAACAAGCTGATTATTCGAACACCATCAAGTCGAGCGCTGACAGTCTCCTTAACATCATTAACGACATACTGGATCTCTCCAAGGTCGACGCCGGAATGATGAAGTTGTCCTATCAATGGTTCCATCCTCGGTCTTTAGTAGAAGAAGTTAATGAAATATTGTGTTCTCTAGCGATAACCAAGAGGATTGAATTAAATTATGTGGTGGACTCTGACGTACCCGACATGGTCAAAGGAGACAAATTCAGAATTCGACAAGTTCTGTTGAACATTGTTGGCAACGCAATTAAGTTTACTACCGTAGGCGAGGTTTTCAGTCGTTGTAGGGTTGTGAAAGACACGTCTATCGGCGAGAATGAAATCATGCTAGAGCACTCAATCATTGACACTGGAAGCGGTTTCACCCAACAAGAAGCGGAGATGATTTTCAAGCCTTTTAGTCAAATCGATGGGAGCAGCACACGTACTCATGGAGGCACAGGCCTGGGTCTAGTAATCTCTCGACAGCTTGTCGAACTTCATGGAGGGAAAATGGAGGGAAGTGCTGTACCAGGACAAGGATCAACCTTCACATTTACTGCGAAGTTCGCTCTTCCCACAGAAGAAGATCACCCCAACCTTCCTCCGTTAACTCCGAACGTTTTTACACCTGCCATTAGCAAAGATGCGTCGCCTATTCGAAGTTCATTTTCAAGCGATCCTATCATGAGCCGCATCCCTCCTTATGGTGCACGTTTTCCCAATATTGCCGGTCAAATTCTACAGTCTCCACCTATAGACAGCCCCAAAACGGAACGGAGTTTGGACTCACCTACCGTAATGTCGTCGAGCGGTTCTGAGCCTTCTATCCGCTCCTTTCGTTCTCAAGCTACACACAGATCCTCTAGCTCGTCGACTACTCAAAACCTTTCACAAAACCTTGCTAATTTCAGCCGAGCAGCACGAGCCGGCGCTTCTGATCTCAGTCAAATGAAGCTGGCGTTACCAGAGCGGCCATCTTCAGGCTCCGGTCTGACACCAACCGCGCCACAAACACCGATGGGAAGCAATTCGTCCCAAGAAGGGCTTTCGCGTACTGGCAGCGCCACGTCTACAGACTTGAAGCATATCCGCCCGCCGATGTACTCAATTTTGATTGTCTGCCCGCAGACACATAGCCGGGAAGCAACAGCCCATCACATCGAGATGATCTTGCCCCAAGATGTTCCTCATCAGATCACAGCGTTAGCATCCGTAAAGGAAGCCCAGTCCATGATAAGCGGAGAGGATCCAATCAATTTTACTCATATTGTTCTGAACCTTGGCTCGAAAGAGGAGATTGTCGATCTAATCGATCAGATAGTTGCATCGATATCTTTACCGACGACGTCGATCGTTGTGCTTTCTGACCCAGTCCAACGACAGGAGATTGTCAAGATGACGACTGAGTACGATTACGAACAACTTGTGAGAGACAGGCGAGTGACATTTGTTTTCAAACCCGTTAAACCTTCGAGATTCGCTGTTATCTTTGATCCGGAACGAGAGCGAGAATTTAGCACTGATCGCAACCGCTCAACTGCTCAGCAGCAGGTCGCGGATCAAAAGCAGAGCTACCTTGACGTCACTAAGCGTCTCGGAAATAGGGGTCTCAATGTTCTTTTGGTCGAAGATAATCCCGTTAACCAAAAAGTACTTCTCAAGTACTTAAACAAGATCAACATTGCGGTTGAACTCGCGCTCGATGGTGTGGAATGTACTAAGAAGGTGTTTTCTCACGATCACTCCTATTATTCGCTTATTCTCGTCAGTATCCCTCCTAATTCCTACTACTACCTTACTGACGAATCTAGTGCGATCTTCACATGCCTAATAAAGATGGATACGAAACCTGCCGTGAGATCAGGAAATGGGAGGCGACAAACAATCTTCCAAGAATGCCTATAATTGCCCTCTCTGCAAATGTAATGGCGGATGTAATGGATAAATGCATTGAGGCTGGCTTCAACAATTATGTCACCAAGCCTGTAGATTTCAAGGCGCTAAGCACGACTATGAGCGAGCTGATTGATCCAGGTGGGAATTTCTGAGGAGACTTTGTATATGGGAGGATGTTCCATCCTGAAGAAATAGTCGGACATGCTGGTAGAGCGGTAGGTATTGAAGAGGAGGGAAGCATATATCAGTGTGCAAAGTACTTGTACTCCCAGGGCCCACGGCGGGCAGAAATGGCCCATGTATTGGATTCTCATTTCGGGGTATGTAATGGCAGCACACCTCAGATGTGCGGTTAGGGCAGTCATTCATATGACGCCTTATTTGCTACTGGGGTGTTTAGTGCATAGCATGGTGTTTTTAATGGGCTTGCATGGCGGGGGTTCTGCAGTTTGCTATTGGAGTTTAGGGCATGGAACAAGGTAGTGGATAGGTTGCGGCATATGCTTTAGGGGTTTGCACGCGTGTGTCATAAGTCTACGATAGTGGTTAAGCGTTATATATAACTATTTAGTCTATACCAGGAAGAATAATAGTTCTTTTTTAAAAACAAACCCCCTTTTAATATGCACAGATGAAAACTGGATTGGTATCAGCAGAAGGCTATTTCTTTTTCATACAAATCAATCTTTCGAAATTGAAAAATTCCGTTAGCATGTAGGGTTCGACATCATGTAAGAGATCAAGCGTCTTATTGCATTACTTGGTGTCAAGAGCTAACAGATTAAACGGAAAAATTGTTCTCTTTCCAAGCCTCAACCCGCTTAAGCCATTGTTTCGGCGTCGACACAAACTCGTTTTCAAGATCCACACGACATCCTTTCATTACCAGAAAACAAAACATCCGGAAATCGCCATTACGTGTTGCATTTATTGTTGCAGGGTCGCGAGGATCTACCGGGTGCCAAAATTCCTCATCCAGACTATCTGATGGCGGAGTTACGGAAGGAAACCGGCAATTTGGATCAACTCCAAGTTCTAGAAAGAATTCTACAACATCGACATGTCCCTTTGCGGCTGCGACATGCATGCCTTCCTCGTATTGGTAAGCCCCCGATTGCACCTCCCACCCGTACTCCACAAGAAGCTTCACCGTTTGGAGGTCTCCACGTTTAGACGCCAGATATATGCCGTTACCAGACCAGTCGTCGTTGTGGTTGATATTGACTCCGCTTTTGAGGAGAAATCTAGTGGTCGACCTAGCAGAGCAACAGACAGCCTTGTACAAAGCATGTGTCAAGGCCTTTTGTTTACGAGAGATCGACATCGACTTTGAAATATGCTTTATTAACGTATCGAGGATTGAAGTCTGGTCTACGGCGGCCGCGCATGCAATCATGATTTGTCTGTCGTCCATCGGGTCTTCACTATCGGGGTCATCCTGATAATGGTCCAGTAGCTTTTCCAGCATACCTTTATTTCCACCTCTAATAGCCCCGATACAGGCATAAATTGAAGGTAGTGGGAAATTCAAAAATATCTCCACAACACCCATATGCCCATATTCGGCGGCAGCACTCATTGCACAACCGAAAAACACGCTCCCAGTCCTGACCCAGCTCCAGCTTCTATCCGTGACCGAGCTGTCATCTGTGGCCGAATCCTCATTGGTGACCGTTTCCTGGGCTACGAGAGCTTGAACAACGGGGTTGTTTCCTGTAGCCGCCGCTAAGATAAGAGCTCCTATGCGTGGCTCCTCTATTTCTGTCTTGTCTTCCGCTCGGAGACATCGAATTGCGTCGCCCATGCTCAATATATTAACAGCTCGTGCGCACAGAATGCTTGAATAATGAATGCGACGCTGGTCCACATTTTCAGGAGAGTCAGGACCGAGTGTTTCAAGAAGGTTGATACACCCGTCGATAGTTCGGCGCAACGGGCTTTGCCTAGCGCTTTCCTGCATGAGCTTTTGCTCTAATATCTTTGCAAACGCGATTCGGCCAGTCTGCTGCATGGGTATATAGCTAGGATTCGAGTCGTTGGGCAACAAGCTGGCATTTTTGGTTGAGAAAACAGTCTCAACGATTAGTTGGTCAAACAGTTCTAACAGTGTTAGCGCATACATCTCCTCCGTTGATGAGTGAAATCTTACTGTTGACGATGCGTAACTTGACAGAACGGTGGGACCCTTGAATGGTTACCACCTCTGATATGATTACCTTGACCAGCTCGAGCGGAAGATCTAACAGGGGGAAGACTTTGTCTTCACATATGAAAGGTAATTCAAACCCCGACGGCTCGAACTTTAATGCTTTGAAATGTTTCGCAGGTACCCAAGCGATCTTTGGCGCTGTTGACTCTTCATGTGCTTTGCCCTTGAGCGCACCGAGTATCTTGTTTTTCAACCCCTTTATTAACCTCATTGCGATGAGTAGTAAAATGTCATAGTCGTTACACGGGGTAGGTAAGAAACTAGGAAGGCAATCTCGTCTCATAAGACTGTGTATCGCCTATGTATCACGTAAAATAACAGATGTTCCCGTGGGCGCAATGTATGGAAGCCGGACGCCTTGCATAAAGTCTAAACACGGGTAATATAATGATGCTACACGTGAATGAACGACATCCTGCAGAAAGAATGTTGCCACAGAGGCACCTTTTCCTACACGGCTATGCACCAGATGGAATCACAGATATGTTGATGTTTCAAGGGTGGTCAGGTTGGTCGGTTGTGCTTAATGGGAGGCAGGGTCGAGGATGTTGATTGGTGTCTCACTCGCTTACATAAACCTAAAGGTTATACGAAGTAGCTGGTCTAGCTGGTGTAGGTAGGTACCAGGCTCGCTAAGGTATCGCCGCCTCCCAATGTTGGTGTCACACAAATACCTACTTCAGCGAGTAAAATTCTTCACTTCGTGTACATCTACACGAAGCTGACACACACAGAACAAACTGACAACGCAGATTAGCAGAACTATCCTGCAGGCTATGAAGCCGAGTAGCATCAGCCTTTAAGGATCGATAGGGTGGGAGACTTTACCCACCCACACGAGACGTGCGAAAGGTACGAAATGTGCGAGAGGTACAAGCACATGTTTGCAGAGAGGGCGGTTCATATGAAATCTTTCAAGGCATTTTTCTAGACATAAACTCACGCTAATCAAGATGGGAAAATTGTAACATGTATAGTATTCTATATGTTCTTGCTGGTGCCAAGTGGGAGAAGATATCTCAGTACACTAGCAAGCAATTTGAACATATGTGTGGCTACTACGTACTTGGTTGCATTTATAAGGCACATTTAGTTACGCAAAATTCAAGCCGGATTGCTTTCCCTTACTCGTGCGAAAGGTACAGGAGCACGTTGCTTAGATTCCTCCTCCCTGGTCCCTACGGAGTATTGATAGCCTCCATACCTTGACATGAAGACTGGAAGGGTTTTATGAAAGAGGATTTATGAATCACGATCAGGTCCCATAAACTGTTCCCGAATCTACTTCGAGTGATCAGGGTCATCCTCATCACAGGGCGCAATTGAGAAAAACATGCACAACTACAATTTGACGTGAGATCCAGATAACCTTCACAAGAAGAAGGAAGAATCTGAAGAATCTGATCAGTTCCTGTGATCTATTCCATATGGGATTTTGTTGTCACAGGCCCCATTTTGGTGAGGTGTACTGATTCGTGACCATGAGAAGACAGTATATATGAGATGAGAATATTCTTCATCTTTTCTAATTATCATTTCTCATCATCTCTCATCTCATCTATACGTCTCTGGATAGACTTTCTTTCACTTCGTTCTTGCTGGTATCTCCAAAGCCTTCTTCAACCTTGAGAAGCGCATACAATCTCCAAAATTATACCTCGTCAAATAGTATCTCTTTGAACTCTCCCCAAAAAAAATGAAGGTTTCATCTTCTCAATTGTTGTTGGGCTCTCTTTTCCTACTCCAAGTTGCTGGGCTAGTGATTCAGTCCGAGCAAGAACATGCAGGTGTTGCCGGTATGTGACAACGCATCTCTAAGTCTACCACACCACTAACATTGTTTTAGTTCGATCAGAGCAGTTGATCGCTCGTGTTGAATCAGCTGCAGACAGGGCAGCAAGAAAAGCCGCCCAAAAGCAGGCAAAGGAGGAGAAGAACAATAAGAAAAAGGAAGACAAGCAGAAGAAAAAGGATGATAAGGAGAAGAAAAAACAGGATAAAGGGAAGGGAAAAGCTACAGTTGATGATGAATCAGCTGGAGCTGGTTCTTCAGCAAACCCCGATTTTGCGGGCAAGTACAAGGAAACTGCGGAGAGTGGTGGCGAGCCAAAACCACCTTCAAAGACCGCAGCTGATGTACGTACCTATTCCCTTTGACCTCCATTCAAACCCCTCTCTTCTATGGTTGAGCGAAAGTTTGATCTTCAGGCACACTCGACTCTCAGCTTTAGATAACCGAAAACATACTAATGCGATCTAGTTCCTGGAAGAGACTTTGGGTGACGATATCCGACAGCAACTCTTCACCACTTTTATTGTAGAGTCTGTCACAAAGTCCAAGGCGAAGCCCGGTACGGCCGAGTTCAAACAATCGCTTTTGAAAGTCCGATATAGTGAGCAGGGTATGATTGTGGACTCAATGTACAAAGCCAAAGATGGGAACCCAAAAAAAGCACAAATCCCAATCACCAAACTCATGAGCATAGGAGCCAAACAACTGAAAAGTACGCCTCAGTGGATCTTTTGTGGCAAAATAGCGAATGAAGCAACAAGAAAGATCATTATAGATGGTTTAGCGGCGAAGTATGGGTCTGAAACAGGTGCCGCTACGGACAAAATCTGGAAGATCACAAAAGGTGGGGAGGACAATGATGTCTTTACAAAACTCATGGTATGTTTGGATCCATGAAATTTACGAGTTACATCTAACTAGATTTAGAGCAGCGATAATGGAAGGCCTATTGCCAACTGGTTGAAATACAACCCTGAGACCATTGGTGGTCCTGTAACGAAGATTGTTGTCAAGGGAAGTGATCCTGCAAAGCTTCTCTTCGTACTCGGAGGCACGTAAAATCTATAGTGATTTATGTGTTTAGGGATACTAGAAGGGTAGAATTTTGATTTTGGCCATGTCAAGAAGTAGATTGTATGTCATTGGCTTTTTGGATAGTTAGCATTTTGTCATTGAAGTTCAGGAGTCAGATTTATTTTATCGTTATTGGATTGATATCCAACTTGGCGGGCCGAGGTGTAGGATAGTTCTGTAGTCCAATAAATTGCTTTCACTATTGCAACCCTTGTTACTGTGAAACTGGAGGTCTTTATTCATTTCCTGGTAGATTATGGCGGCTAAAGTAAAGATTTACGGCAAACCTTAACTTCGATTGGTTACATTAATATAAAGACACCCTCTGGAGACAATCTAAGGAGATAGGAAGATTGACCATTCCCTAAAATGCTTCATATACAAAACATGAAACAAATCCCTGGGTTCCGTGGGTCGGTATCATTAAGTGACTGAGGTGACGTTGATTATGGAGGGTCCAATCGCTTAAACTACGAAGTACTAATACTAGTGAGATCTTCAGATCACCACGGCATGTGGGAATGTTTTACTCCATGGGGTGTGTAAAGTTGTCAAGTATCTGCGTGACTCCCCAGACAGTTTTAGTATCTGGCCGGCATTTGTCAACTTCTTCATGGACTACTGGAAAGGGTCACCCAAGAATGACCTTTCCAATTTTGATCCTACCAAGTTCCGTGGTTTTAAAACATAGTTAACCAGGATATGCTCACCGTTGCATATCGCGGACTTGTCACTGGATTTCATAGCAGGCTGCAGGATATATGTTATTTCCCTAAAGCACAGTGAAAACATTGTAAACAAACATAGCCACACACCGTGAATATATTCATTGCCTCAAAGAAATGAAGGTCACAATGTACACGATAACATTGAAAGTTCGTATGAAGCAAAAAGATTGATTTTGTCAAAAGCGGACAGCTTGAGTATTCAACAGTCGTGGTTCGGCAGCCCTCAGGCGATGTCGCTGCCGATGCCGATGCCAAGTAGCATCCCGAGTTCTTTCAACGGCACCGAGTCGGCCTCCGGCAAAGGGATATTTCTTGTGGATATCGATTCCATAAAGTCGAGTTCGCGAAGATTCGACACATGCTTACGTGTTTACACACTTACACGTTTCCATAGAAACCAAGAGAATCATGCCATATCTAAGTGAATGATCAAAGGTGAACTTTTGACGCGCCCGTTCTTGTGATATCAAAAGTCACGTGACGCAGACGCGGTAGTCAGCTTCCGGTGAATTGAAGATATATCAGTGTAAATTATAGGCGCAGGGTTTCAATCGGGAGCACTGGGCGGGAGGTGGACGGCAAGGCTGTGTGACATGATGGCAGTATTGAGTTCACCGCTTGAGGGCAGAATTTTTCTGCGACATGCATGGACAGCGCATTTTGGAGCTCGAAGAGGATAAACTTATTGAGAAGCTTTTACCGTATGAAGTGGTGTTGTTATTGCAATTCTTCTGTTTTATGAATTAATGCATTTGGCTTATGAATTGTTCCCAACTATTCGTTAGTATCTACTCCGTATGTCTGCTAGTCTATCGTTGACCCCTCTCAAGTCTCGACCTTGACGCGATTCACCAGCGAAACGCGCTTCACGTGACGCGCTTCCGCACGGGCCATACCCGCCTGTGGCCTCGTCGGTTCATCTTCAACTCCAAGAAACTTTGTTGACTTTCCCACCGCACCGTATTTTCGAAACAATTGTCTCGCACTCTTGTGTATCATACAACTTGCTTCCAGAATCCATTCCGGTATCGATCTCAACTTCACAAACATTCCTGCGCTCGTCGCAACATCTCCGCTTTCGAGCGATTATTTACAATGGCACGAACTACTCGCGCCCATCCATCTCCCAGTGGATTGAAATCCCTCCCAACCCCCAAGAGAGAGTCGCGCAAGAAGGCGCAACCAGAAACCAAGACGAAAGTCACCAAGACGGCACGCCAAAAGAGTGTCGCTGCTTCCAAATTAAAGAAAGCTGCCCCCAAACCTTCTCCTCCAACCGCAACGTCACAATCCGACAACGACTCTGATGCAGCAGCTGCTCCCGAGTCTCGTTCCACATCACCACCAGTAGTTGGCCGTCCTATGACACGATCATTGTCACGGTCGCTCTCTCCCTCAAATCTATTCGCTTCCGCCAGCACCATGGTCAAGCGACGCATCGCAGCCGTCAAGGCAGATGTGAAGCCAGCAGCAAAGTCTCCAGGCAAGAAGTTGCAAAGCTTACTTCGCAACCACCGCTCAGAGGAGAACAATAACTCATCAGAGCTCATCCCTTCAACCGAAACCAATGCAGCTATAGAATCCATCGTGGCCATTGAAACCACCTCATCGACCGAGCCCAGCGCATCTGTCGAGTCCATCATAGTCATTGAGTCCACCTCATCGACCGAGCCTAGCGCATCTGTCGAACCAACCTCATCTACCGAGTCTACCGAGTCTACGGAACAAATCGAAACCAGACCTCTCAAACGTTCTGCCGAGGCGCTCGATGAGCGACCTACCAAGCGAGCTCGAGTCGTCGAACCAGTTGAATACACTTCACCAAAACCAGAAACCGAAGTACCATGCCTTCCCACCGTTGGCAAGGATCTTTCTCCAGTTGGCGAGATCATTGTCGATCAAAGTCCATTCGTTGGAACTCCCAAGGACAAGACCGGGGCGGCCACTCCAAGTGCCAAACCTTACCAAGAGACAGGAATTTGGGACACTGTCAAGAGTGTCATCGCATCCCCTTTCAGGTTTATTGGTCGAATCCAAACTCCTACCAAGCAATCACCAGCACCAGAATTCACCTTCACCCACCCACACAACATTACCAACCCTCCAGAGGAGATCGCTGAAGCCACACCTACGAGACCTCGACCTCGGCCAAAAGCACCGCGCGATCGCTTATTGCCAGTGCCACCAGGAGGAGTAAAACCCAAGCCCATCAAAGTCCATCGATTCTCCGACTCCACTACCAAGTCACCAGAGAAGTCTCCAGCTAAGAGTCTCAAACCACCTCCAGTTGCCCTTCAGTATAGATTCATGGAAGAGGTTACTGAGGAGCAAAGACAAAGAAGTTGGGAGGCTCAGCTTGCCAGAGAGGCAGCTGAGGCTGCCGAAGCCGAACTCGCAGCCGAAGCTGCTGAGGAGGCAGCGCACCCTCAAATCAGTTTTGGATCACCGGTTCGTAGCACTCGGAGACGAAATCGCAACACATTAGCAGTCACACCAGATCTTTCAGTCATTCACGAGTTGGAGGAGTCGACTCAAAGTGCGAGACAAAAGCAAAGAAATGCTTTGGCTGCAACTGTCGAAGACGCCGAGGATGTCGACAGTGCTAATCCAAAGAACATCTCACTTGAAGAAGCTGGCCAGCAAGTTGGTCAAAAGCGAAAGCGGGTTTATACAGCCATGAGCGCTCCAGGTACCTACTCGATGCCTGACTTTGATTCTGACAGCGACGACGAGAGCGAAGCTTCTGGTTACACCAATGACGTTTCCATGCTTTCAGCGCCACCTCTCGATAGTCCAACTCGCAGCCCAGCATACAAATGGCAATGCCGCCAGGTAACTACACCATGGGGTCAACCATACAAGGTTGATGATGCCATCAACCCATACGCACACAAATTGCAATATGAATATACACCACCGGACGTCCCACTTTTCCTTATGGAAAAGCCTTGTCCAATGCCAGGAAAGAATTACAGAGCCGCTCAACAACACCACGGTGATTATTGGAGACAAATCTACGAAATTCAGGTCGACATGACTCCAGAGCAGCGATACTGGGATGATTATGAGCGCAAAAATGGCTTTGGATCCGTTTACAACTGGCTCAGCATTCACCGTCTTTGCCAAGATTCAAATGGAAATATCCCAGCACAAGGACTTGGCCGAGACTACTACGAGAAGATGCGATTCACTGAGTTTCCTGAAACAATCCCAGCAGGCGGTCATGAGGTTCTCAACCCTCCATCACCAACTCCTGTAGCAACAAGCCCAGGTCGCACATTTAGATGCCCAAGTCCTGGAAGCTCTGATGATTCCGATTCCGAGTCTGACGCCGAGCCAGAGAACGAGCCAGAATTACCAAAAGCAGCACCAGAGGCCCCTCGCCCTGTGCATGCTGTCTTGCCATCACCTCAAACACCATTGACGCAACTTGCTGGAAATATCCAGAAGTATGCTCCATTCCAATCATCCAACCTCCGATATGTAAAGAATTCTTCGCCTCTCCAAATGGCTCACGCCGCAGAGCAGGCATCTCCACTGTACAAATATTCCAATCGTTTAGAGTTTTCCAGACTGCCTTTCGCAGACTTTCCTTCCGACGTTACCGCCTCAGCACGCAAAGCACTTTCTCCAGTTTTTGACGATCTGGATTTTTGAGAGGGCTTTTGTGGAGTGTATATTAACGAATCGATGGATTTGTACTTATTTGGATCAGTAAACTGAGAGTACTCCTCAGATCTTCGGATCAAGGGGTTGAGGACACTTGTGTTGAACGACAAATTATTGGATTGATGAATTTTATGATAATGAACAGTATTGTATGAATAGAACACAGGGAATTGGGATTTGACTCAAGTGGACAATAGTACTCCACTAGTACTTCAAAGTACTTTGTATTGATAATAAACATACTTTAGATTAACGAATAATGACAAAAAAAACTTATAAAATGAAACTGCTCTTTCTTCAAATGCAAAGTGATCTAAACTTCTTTTATAAATATGTGCCTTCGTCTTTGTCCTAATTCTCACTTGGTGCAATCGACCTGCCAATTTAATTCACAGGGCCTTCTTTATTATTCCATGGCCACCTCTTTCATCATCTACGCAACCATCCTTCTGTATCCATCATTTCAAAAGGTATCTGGGAGATATATGAAACGCGGAATATGGCAGCTTTGCGTGTAGCCTTTTTCAAGTGTTCCTAGTCCATTGTTGATTCTGCCCTGAGATGTAAGAATAAGAAAACGATGTTATTGAGTTTGGAATCATGCTCTCTCACAAAATTCTCTAGCTTTTGTTGACACCAAATTATCAGCTACGCGCGCACTCAAAGCTCGTTTTGAAAACTGCCCGGTATATCACAAGTACAGCCAAAATCTCAGAGAAGAATTCTTTTTATTCATTACATCATCTACATCATCACACAACAACCCACTCATACCCTCTTCCCAGGATACAAACTCGTCTCGCGATCCCACACCCTACTCACAGCCAGATCAGGTTCATCTCCATATCCCTTCAGCGACGCAAGTTGTAGAATTTGGAGCGTGATGGCTGCGAGATGAAGTGGGTATTTCAGCGCGTTTGCTTCGGTGATGGCTGTTGTCTACGGTTGCATTAGCACGGTAAGAGGTCGTGTGAATTGGAAAAGACTTACCAGCGAATCAATTGTATCGTTTACAGTTTCCTTTGACGTCCATTTCCCTGACAGCAACTGAGGTGTGCGATCTGCAAACATCCAACTCGACCCAGCCGCACCTTTTATGATTTCGAATAATTGGTTCGTTTCTAATCCGACGGTCTTTCCTAGTGACATCGCTTCCATGGCACTGACTAGATGAACTGCCTTCATGGTACTTTCTACGAGTTTCAATTTGCTAGTTTCTTCTGGTGTAAAATCTGTGCAGGATGCGTCTTGAGATGCGAGATCGAGGACTAATGATGGAGTCGAAGGGAGGTAGACTCTTGTGAGTTGCGCGTCATCGAGACGATCGTAACCAGCGGATATACCTGCCGCAAGAACTTGTTCGGTCGCTGAGGAGAGGAAAAGAGGAAACCCTGGATTCGATGTAGTGCGACGGGATGCTGCTGTGACAATACCCTTCGAAAATGTCAGTACACAATTTTCAAAAGACTCGGGGGACCTACAATATCCTTAACAATAATACCCAGCGCAGAATATACCTTCTCATCAGGCACGATCATATGCGGTCCTCTATTCTCAAACATCCAACTCATTCCCTCTCCTTTCTTCAACACCTCGTACGCCTTCCTGGTATCCAATCCCAATTTGGCAGCGAAGCCCATTGCTTCACTTGACATCACGATATGTATCCCTGCCAGCACTTGATGTACCATCTTCACTTTGGTTCCAGCACCAAGACCCCCCGGTATCAGATATAAGTTCGGTCCAGCCATAACATCCAACACCTTCCTCGCACCCGCAATATCCTCCTCATTTCCACTCGCCAGAATCGTCAACGTGCCATTCGCAGCCCTTATTGTACCTCCCGAAACTGGCGCGTCAATAACCTTAACATCTGTTCTGTTTTTCTCATCCAGCAGTTTTCGTACATTGGGACTATGCTCTGGCGGTCCTGTTGAGCAGAGTATAAGTGTTGCGCCCTGTTCCAGAGTTTCAATCGCACCGGTTTCGGGATCGAAGAGTGCGGAGAGGATTTGAGCTGCTGTTGCGACCATGAAAACGACATATGGTGCTGATTTAACTGCTTCGCGGGGTGTAGATGAAGAGGAACCTCCGGCTGCGACGAATTTCTCGAGGGTTGGCGGCCAGACGTCAAATCCTGTTACTTGGAGTTTATTCGAAAGTAAGTTTGTGGCCACTGTTTAGTATTTTGGTTAGCAATGTTATTTCTCTCAACTGAGGGAATTCCGAGCTGTCAAAGAGCTTGTCGTATACATACTTCCAAACCCCATGGCACCCAACCCCAGAAACGCTATTTTTCCAGTTTCAGACATCTTGGAGACCTCAATTTTCCCTTTTTAGTGTTGGAATATGCAAAATATCAATTAGAAGTGTGCAAAGAAAAGATTTGCGTATGTATATATCATTATAACTGCCGGGTAAACAGAACGGCGGGAATTTACCCGTGGTGGGGTGAGGAATTCGGGTGGAAGGCCGGCTTTCGTATTCAAAGGGAGAAAGCAAAGGAATAGGACGGCAGATCAAGTAATTGAGCCAAATGAGAAGATGTAACCAAATACTGGGTATAGCTCTGAGCCATTAAAAATGCCCTACGCTTTGATTCCGGACCTACCTGCCCCGAGCAAAGTTCACGATAGTTGTTCCTCTGTTTGTCGAGGAAGGTGGGGTGAAAAGGAACGTCATTTGGCGGGGGAAGCTTAAGCGAGGTTTAAGGGTGAAGCCGCCTCCGTGATCGCTGTGTGTTTTCTTTCATGTATTACTTGTTGATTTAAATTTTCAATTGACTATGTAATTGACGGATGATTGCAGTTTGTTCTTAGTACAGCACAAGGTAACTGAAAGCTAAAATCAAGGACATATTCTTTGGCCCTAGCTCATCTACGAGATCTATAATTCAACTGTTGACGGGAAAACAAAATGTTTACAGGATAGCGTTGTACAGATTTGTTCTGAAGCATAGGAACAGTGATGGACTTGACAAGTTTGTGCCAATTGTATGTTCTGAGAAGCCAACACAATATACTTAATACCAGACACCTTTGTATACTCTGAGAAGCCAACACAATATACTTAAGACCAGACACCTTTGTATATCAGGTACAAAAGTGTAGAGATAAATGGGAGAACACAGGAGTGCCAGCTTACAACCCTTCAAACAGGAAACGAACCGAACCAGAAGCATACCTATATTCTCATAATATCTGTAGCAAATACAAGGCTCACTCAATAGTCTCGAATATCCTGAGCTTCGAAAAGCTATCCGATGATGAAAGCAAGTCAAAAGATCCTTGGGACGAACGCTCGCTAAAAAACGAGACATGAAAAGGGGGAGGCGTAGAGGTGCCCCACGGCGAATTCTAGAATCTTTGGCATTACAAACCATCAGAAAACTAGGTATGAGAATATTGCATAGAGAACTGTCGTACTTGGATTTAATCATAACCATTGACCAGAAACAAAGATTACGAAAATTTTATCGGTACGACTTTCTACCTCTCTAGTTTCCCGTCAATAAGTTTCGCACCCCGAAACTGTAAGTATTATGGTGCCTTTCCTTTACTATTGACACTTTTATAGGCATCGCTTGAAATCGAATCATCTATACCACCAATCAGGCGTTTATTAGTAGCCTAGAACAAATAAAAATTCATTTTGGTTCAATAGTGCTCGTTGCCAACTTCCCGTAGCTACAGTTCCAAAATCCATCGAGGAGAACACAAACAATAGAGCAGACACATGTGATAGTGTAGAATTCGATTCGTTTAGAGGAAGCTAATCTAGACTCTTGAATCGAAGCGGAGTTTTGACGTTGTCTCGACAGTAACTCTATAGAAACGATTGACCTGATCACATGTTTGCCTGGATTTCCAAAAATAAGTTCCGTTTAACACCACATCTACCGGGACTAGTGATTTTTAGTAAGACATATCTAAAGTAGAGAACATCCAACGCGTAACTCCGAGACATCGAATTTCCTCCGCAAGTAATTTTTTCACGGAAACATAAAGATGCCGAGTACGAGCCTCCATTCCGTATACTTGGATTTGACCATCTCAGATTATTGAACCTTTTAACTAAATCGAGACACAGAATCGTATAGATCTAGTCAGAGCTGACATTGATGCCCAATGTCTGTAAGGCACTAAAGTCCCGGGAAAACGATCAGCCACTAAGCACTTACTATTGGGCGATTTAACTTTGTAATCTAATGAGTAGTAGGTGTTGATGGCGGTCTATCATCACGGGCAGTGAGACATGGATACTAGACGAGGAAGAGAGTAATATCAAAAACAGGGAGCGAAGTAGGGATCTGAGAGTCACTCGACTCAACACCACCTGAGCGGAAGATCTGCCATCGTCCTGATTAATCGTTGTGCCGAAGGATAGGTAAGCGAGCATTTAGTGCCATACCCGTCATTCGGAAGACTGCGAAAAGGATATTCGCAACCCTGGATATCCAAAGTGCCGGGAAGGTGTCTTCAAAGCAACAACAAAGATACCTGATTATTATTGTTGATCTTTATGGAGTGTAGTGTGTAGGTGGAGGCCGTGTGTTTTGGGGTGTGATGTAAGGTATACTGAGTTATTCTCAATCTATCGAAACTAGGTTGGCAACTGTACGAGTCAGTGCTCGCCCAGCCAGACCTTTGTAAACAAACAACAATGATGAGTAAATGAATGAAAATATTGACAATTTGGCAGGATTTTCTGACCAAGCAGCTTCCTCGAATTTCGAGTCTCGATTCTCAGTTATCATATGACAGCAGTAGCAATTGTAAGGCTGATCCTTGTGGACAGATGGTTTGACCACATAACCTTACAAGTATAAAAATAAATACCACGAGCATCCTGGACACTTCCAAAAACTTGCCGCTTTCAAGCTCGGTTTGTGCCAACTTCGTAATGAGTTTGCTGTTCCTGCTGTATTCCTCGTACCTGCAACCCACCAAGAAAAGATAGGGAATTTTTGCTGCAGGTCAAAGACAGAGCTTGCTGAACGTATACGAAAAACGCTATTGGTCACTCCAGAACTGCGTTCTTCTCGAACTGCGTTCTGAAGCTCTGGAGAATACTGCAGCTTTAAGCCTACGAAGTTTGTCCCCAACATGATGTCGGAGAACGAAATCTGCTTGGAAAGGAAAATCGCGGTTAAGAAAGCTCAACTCCTCCAGGTAAATAATGGCGCTTCACATCCTTTGCTGAGCAAACTACCAGCACCAGGCCTCGACTCTGAAGAGAGATTGAAACCCCAGCCAACAGTGACTAGCCTCACCTTATGTGCTGGTAGGACAAAACTACTTTGTCGGAACTTATCACAGGTCGATATTGATAAGGTCCAGCGGTCTTCCTGGCAGCAGGAAAGCTTGCTACACGTGACATTAATTTTCTGGTTCTCGGCAAGCGGTTAGTAGTATCATTATTCGGATTGTACACTGGATTACAGGACGGATGGATGGTGAGCAGTACCGAGCACGACCGGTGTATTGTGGCCCGGGAAGGATTCGGGGATGTTGTAGGGGTGGGATAAGATTTGGAAGGCCTTACAAACATCGAGCTCTAAAAATGTAATGCTTCATGCATGGCTGTGGCTCTGCTGTGTGCATTTCCACAGCGACCTCACCCTCTGTCAAATTACTGTTCAAATAAGTGACGACGACTGGATGCTGCGGGACGGCACGTCACGAGATGGCTGCCATGGCTGTAACAGATGGTCGGCGACATCCACCATGAGAGACGGCGTAGTCCTTGGTCTGAACGTGGTAATTCCATAGCGCGAGTCCTTGGGAAGTTGGAGGATTGGAGCCGAGGCTGTAGAGTGCAGTATCGATAGTTGGTGGGTGTCATTGCATTTAGCCACGAGGAATACTCTTCGCGTCTTCCAATCAAGTGTGTACCCATTCTGGTAACTTGCGATGGAACAGTGAGGAAGCCTGCTCGTTTGCTGAAGAAACCGAGGGCATTGGAGTTTTAAGTAGGATCAATCCATACAAACTGCTTTCCCCGTACTGAGATGTACGTAGCTCATACTCAACTCGAGTGCACAGTGTCAATGTGCTTCAGTCGACGAGCACCAGGCGTTTGTCTCAAGGCGGAGCATGGTGAAAGTGACATGTTCTTTTGATATCCTACCGACTTTTTGGGTCGAGGTTTCAAATCCATCTCTGCTTTTGCTTGGTGTGCGTCCTTAGCCCTCCCGCTGATCGGATCGCAGACTGGGCCAAGCAAACCCATCGTTTAGGTCATGACGTTGCATGTACAAAAGATCCCCCTCGTGGAAACCTCGTTCGGGTCAGGAACCGTGAGAGAAATAAATTAAAAACGTGAGATATGACAGCCTAGACTATCAAAGATCCGTTTCTGGAACACCATGAGAACATGAGAATTGGCTTCGACATCATGCATCTGCTGTAGGCGATAATGACAAAGGCAGTGGGGGTATTTTAGACGTTCCATGCAGCCTAGAACGACTTTGCAATTGCTGCCAGATAATAATGTCTGAATCATAATGCGGCTTGCGGGCATGCCACAGAGCAGCATCATGCACAGCGATATCGACCAGACGCCGGGGACTCAGTCAGGATTACTATGTCGTCGGTGCGAGCGGATTGGGCCGATGATAGAGCTGGAAGCGATGCGTCTCGTAGCGGCAGATACTTTCAAGCGTACCCATCGCGTGGCTCAGAGACAACAATAATAATAATCAGAGTTTCCGTGATGTTACTGTACGGTGTCGTGCTTGTTATTTAGCTTGATGGTCCGTCGTTCGGAAAGCGATCCCCGCGACTGTCCAGTAGTTCGGCTATGATCTGTTTGGACGAGCTCCGTGGGGGCTTTTGTGCCCAATCTGGAACCTGAGAGAGAGGAAACCGACCCAGCTCAGACTCCCAGTCACTCCCAGTCACTCCCAGTCACTCCCAGTCACTCCCACCGATCGAGTCCGCTGAGCCGGATTCCAGCAAGAATACCACGCTAACCTAAACAGCATCTCACAGTACTCGTACAAACCTTTGTCTGATCTCATCCATCACTCGAAGGTGTTTGGAGCGTTCGTCAAGCGTTGGCCCAGCTTTCAGCTGGTTGGCCTGAAATTCTACGAAGCAGTTGTTCGCGGATGGCTTCCGAGACCATAATGCAACCCCTCTCATCTGCCTTTTCTATGCCGACGAGATCACTGGTCTTGGAAAATTGCCGGTTGGTGAAGCGTTCGCAACGCTTCTAGAATTTCGAAGTTAGGCGCAAAGACGGCGTGAGGGCATTGAAGATGCTTTCAGGATGGATGGTCAAGTTTGGTAACTGGTTCCGCCGTTGGCAATCCAAAGCGATCCCACCTCGCTATGATTGTTGGCGTCAGGGGTCCACTAGCAGCTCGCAACGGGCGAGGAACTCGAGGGCGAGACATGTGGCCTCGCGGCAAGCAAAACGTGGAGGGAGTTAATTAATGCGCGTTGAATCGAGGTTCGTGGAACTGAAAAGGCTCTTGAGAGGGAACAACATGGAAGCTACAGCTACTCAGGAGTCAGAACGCAAGAAAATCCAAGCCATCAGCATCTGAGATATCTGATCTGACCATCTCGGGTGTCCATGCTCGCATTGGCTGGCCCCTGTCCAAATCCTGCTCCTGTGAGGTGATTTGCTGGTGCCGCGTTCTGTTCGCTGCTTCGTGCATTTATTTCAAAGACGACAGAGCGAACCAAGTGTGGTCACAGCGCCAGGACGCAAACGCAACTGGCCTTTTCGAGCCATTATTATGATGATTGTTACTATTATTTCTGCTTTCCACGACGCTGACTGACTCTCGTTCTCGGTAGCATGACAACCTTGCTTTGCTCGTCCAACAGCCAGAATCCGAGAATTCTGCAATAACTCAGAACTCACTTCGGCCTCGTGATAGGCCCAGGGCTCGGCCGAGCGAGAAATATATCACATTGCACGTCCGACAGTCCAATCGCCGCACGCCGTTGATATTAATTACTTCTTTTGCCTCACCATCTTTTTTGCCGCCACCAACATACGAAGGTACCAGAGGAGCTGCAATAGACTACTACTTGCATTGGTCAGATACACTTCGCAGAACTCCCATCGCCATCGCCATCGAGATTCGATTTGTTGATATTGCAAGGAGAACCCAACCAACAGTGTCATTCATGTATGCTGCTTCACGCTCTGCGACCAGTTGACAAGCCGGGATTCGTTGGCCAATTTCGATGACAGCACTGGGTCACAATTAATAATGCTCTCCGCTCCGTCTTCGCGCTCGAGTAGAGTTTGCGAACTCGCGAATATACTTCTGCAGTACCGTAGCTTGTTGCAATACCACAACCGCACGTTATACTAGGCGTAGGATGCTTCACCAGCGTCAAGTATCCCGCACCGCAAGCACCTTTTATGCCATTATTGCAGACCACCGTCGATCCGATTGCACCGTGCCGTAGGAAGTGAGAGTTGTTCGCCCACGAGGCATATTGAGTGCGCCGTTAGGGGCTTGATGCTGGTGTCTGGACGCCGTTGATGCCGTGTGCGAGCTTCACTGATGTTGGCTTTGAGGCAGCCACCACCATCATGGCTTTGTAGTCGAACTATCGTGCCGTCTGGTATCTGAGACTTTTGGTATCCGAGTCTCTCGGAGAGTGATGGGATGCGAACCGTGATGGCGGAAGTTCTGGCCCATGGCCTGGCTCGAGCACCCCCCGTCCTGCCCCGGTTGCTCCCAAAAAGAGGAAGGCGGGACCTCCAACTTCGGCCCCTTCAGCCCCTGTAAAGCAAAGGCAACGGAGAGCGGCCTCCCTGTCACCCCCTCCACCTCCCCATCGGCCCACCACTCACCACCAGCACCCTGGGAGGCTCACCACTGGCTTCAAGCCTTGAACACCACACCACACACCTCCGAAGTCCCACTCAGAGTCCTTCCGTTTGGAACGAGCCCATTTCCCTGCCTGCCTTGCATCTGCAGAGCACGCATCCAAGCACCACCCACCAGTCCTTCCAACCTCTTCCCTCGCCCATCTCCACTGCTCAATTCACTGCTCATTGTTCTCTCGACGTGCCATCGAAGTGTTGATTGACCCTCGACTGACTCTCCGGCTCCGAGTCGTCTTGGTCGACTAGTTGAAACGCTCCCTGCCTGCCAATCCAGTACAACCGTCAACATGAATGTATCTTCGGACTCGAACACGACATCGTAGTCGCTGAAGAGAGCACGTAACCCGGGCACAGAAGGGAGCGGCCCAAAATGGAGAATGGCTCCCCCCTTCAGACCACCGAACCCGCTGGATCACGAACAGAAGACTTGCGACAGCGACAGCGGGATCGTCTTTCGCCGCGAGGTCGATTCGGAAAAGCGAGCAGGATTGCGACGACCGTCCCTGACATGGAAGGGTCTCGGAAGGGTGGCATTACGTTGTGGCCCGCACCGCGTGCCAAAGGCATGGGAAGGACATCGCCAGATCTGGTGAGGAAGAAACAATGGCAGGAGGGGTTGCAAAAGGAAAACAGCATCAGTCGCCGGACGAAACGAGAGACGGAAGATGGGAAACTCAGTGAAATCACGCCTGACGGCGGTTCGGCTGGCCGCGAAGGACGACAGTTCACGGTTGCCAACGTCGGAAACAATGGAAGGATATATCTTCGGTAAGTCGGCGACAGGAGGTGGCCCTCAGTCGTAGAAGACGCGTTGTTTGCCAGTGAATCGTGGCTGACATTGTTTTCTCTTGCCATAGTCCAACCATTCGACCTGCGAATCAGCGGTATCCCCAGCCTCCATTCGTCTTTCCCGTTACCCCACCAAGTACAGCAGGCCTTGATGCGCTGGTAACCCATCACGAAAGCGACGAGACGCCGCGCGATAGTCTATGGAACACGCCAACACGAACACCGTCAACGCCTCTAGACAAACCTCGAGACAACTATTTCTCTGCGACGCAATCGCCAACCCCCGTACCCGTCCAGCCTCCACGGCACAAGCGCGCTCGCTCATACTCTACCGTCGACGAGCAACACGTGCCGGTCCGCGATTCAGATGTCGGTGCTTTTAGAGTAGTAATTGAGAGGCCGGGCGATCCAAAGCCCCCAGAAGCGATCATGGGGATTCCAACGCTGGAAGTTCCCATTCCGTCCTACAAGCTAGGTACGCCCAGATTCAGCATGCGCGGCACTGCCTTCTTGCGAGGTTCTTCGTACACCACGAACGACGACATGCGCGCGAGCGTGTTCTCTCACAAGGATTCCTCCCAAAGCGACCCAAACTCTCGACGTCCGACGCGGATACTCTCAAGACGGCACTCAGATGCCTCTCATCGACCGCACTTCTCGATCACATCACCCGGCGCAACGAGTCCTTTCAATTTACTCACCCCTACCTCAGGGGTAATACGGCAGCGCACCCCTATTGTGCCTGAGATGTTTGACACTCTCACATTCAAGCCTTCATGCGACCACCCTTCAGTTGTGCGCTATTCTATGAGTGGCGGAATTAGAGCAGCAACTCCCGCAAGAATAGTTGCAGAAATCACGTCCCCAACGTTCGTTGACTACGACCTGCTCTCAGATTTCTTCTTGACATTTCGCTCTTTCTTGGACACGACGGATCTGCTTCACATGCTCATTGCTCGCCTGAAGTGGGCTCTAGCACGGGAAGATGAAACGGGGACGGTAGTCAGGGTTCGGACTTTTGTGGCCATACGACATTGGATACTGAACTATTTCGTTGATGACTATGTCGTCGATTACGACCTGCGCGTAACCTTCTGCGAGTTGCTCAACAACTTCGTGAACGATCCCCTTTTTGTTCATACCAAGGTCCCACTGAAGATCCTCGGAGAGATCAAAAAATGTTGGCGAAGAGTATGTGCACTGTATTGGGATGGCCCGGAATTTGACACAGACCTGGGTTCTGAAGTCCCAATCACACCCGGAGGAGTTGCTGGTTCCAGAGACCCAACCTTGGACCCAAGCTTCTGGGACGTTCAGCCAAACGGGCCTCCTCAGATACAGGGAATTATCAATCAAGACTTTGTTAAAAGGGAATCTACGTCAGCAGATGGACACAAGTATTTCGCAGATGTTTCGCGCGCCGGTTACCTCGATTCCATGATGCAACCTCATGTGGCGCCCGTGATTTCCCAGACACCATCGGACGATTACCAGAATCCTCCATTATCTCCCACCAGCGTTGTGAGCGAAGACTTTGTTTCTTGTTCATTTCCCTCACGAAACCGTGTGGGTACATCTCCACAGGCTGGTGCTCATCCAGTAGCAGCTAGCTCCATATATGACTCAGCTCCTCCTGTAGCATTAACACCAAAGGCACTGACGGGGAAACGGGTTCGACCTACCCATGTACACAAACGCAGCGGTAGTTTCTCAGACTCATTTCGAGACCATCGAACGTTAGAACAGCCGGTTCAGAAAGTTATCTACAAGAGTACAGAGCTCTTTCTGGCCCATCCTCACGCGGGAAGCCTCGTACGGGGAAACTGCCTCCCGCCAGGACAGGCCTTTGTAGAGATGGTTGCACCAAGCACTCCCTCACGCGATACTACAATGTTTTCTGCGCAGCCTCACCTGAAAGGGCCGTCAGCTATGTCTGGTCCCGGCATGAAGAAGCTCCTAGGCAGCGTCCGACGGGCTCTGAGCAACCGAACCGGACTTGGTCCAATACCAAGTTCTTCACCTACCCAAGGAAGTTTTCCTCATATTCCACCGCTTGGCGTTCGAGGAGCTACGATCAATCGCTTACCCGGCACCGCTGTTGTGCCACAGGCGCGGTCTCGCAACACTGGGCTGAGAGTTCCTATGCGAATCGATTTATTAGGTGCCGAAATTGCAGAGGACTTCAAGAAAGCTGTCCAGGAAGAACAGGAAGCAGAAGCTGCCCTTAAAAAGGCGCCCAGTGAAGCTGCATCTCATCACGTTAGTGGCCACAGCACAAGTATTCAATATCCATCCATGGCTCCAGATGCGACCCTCGAGGCACCGAGATCTTCACGCCAGGACCTCGTTAGCGACGTGACTAACGGCAGTAAATCCATTGTGATAGTCGACGATACTCTTGCCTCGAGTATCCCAGCAATGACAGGCGCTTTGCCCACCAGCTCGTCGATCGATGACTTTTCAGAGCCCTACGTCCACCGTTCAGGTGGCCCGACTCCTCCAACAACTCCTCCGGACCTACCCCTCGGCACTCCCCGACGATCATCTCACTTACTAGGCAATCATACTGCAAAACGATCACTCTCACTCGAGGATGCATCTTTTGTCCCAGGTTGGACCTTATCACAAACCCAAAAGAGAATGCCACCTCCTATGCAGTTTGAGCGGCCTTCCGTGTTAGGGCCGAGTCGGTCGTTCAGATCCAAAAAGTCAGTCTCCCTCCGACGCTACGCTTCTTTCCATAGTGGATATACACGACACAGAAGCGAGAGGAGCTTTGATGCTACAACCTTTTCAGACTCCGAGGCACGCATGTCCCGCGATATTTCGCACGCGCCCTTACCTCTCCGAGTCCTTCGACGGCGTCCAGGAGGTGACTTGAGAGCAGTTACGAATGTTGGGGACCTAACTACACAGCCTCTTAGACGACCTATGTCTACCGGTTCGATGACCATGTACTCGGATTCCGTCCGTAGCTCCTACCTCCTTGCGGATGTGGATTCGACTGCCTATGTAAATGTCACCAGTGACGACTTTGAACCCTCAGCACCTACCGGCCAAACCTACTCACTGGGGGCGCTCGCGGAGGCTCAACCAAAACAACGCATATCACTCTTTAGCACCCACTCCTCGCACCCCATAATGCGGCCATCGTTCGAGAAGGAGGCTCAGATGTTAGCACAAATCCCGGACGACATAGATGATGATGGCGGCGTCGAGTCTGCATTACTAAAGCTTGAAGGGAAATACGAGCAGCGAAAATCTGATACATCCAACAGCCAATTTAGTGGCATTGGGGACCGCGGGGATAGCTTTGGTGCACGGCCCCTAGATGTTAGCACTTTGGCACTAGATGACGAAGAGGACGAGGAGGAAGAGCAACGACGGCATAGACACGAACATACTGTCGAAGCCGGTGTACAGCACTTACCATCATACTACCCGCAGCAGAGTTATGGTATCGAGGAGCTGAAACCATCTGTATATCGACCTCGAGGCATGGACTCTTATCCGGCTGCCATGTCACCACGGTCCGTAGAATCCTACAATTCCACCCCCCTTCTTGAGCGGGGGCTGTCCGAACATGGCATGGTGAAGAGATCAACCAGGAACTGGTCTGAACAATCCATATTTCGCGGGCCGAGCACGGAGAAGATGGCTGGGAACGAGCACACACCGGATTCATCTCATGTGAATTCTTTTGACTTCATTGATGACAGTGATAGCTTGAGAAGAATTCCTGTCGGGCATACGATGCCACAGCACCAGAGTATGGATCACTCTTTCTTAAACAGCGAGAGTGATGACCGTAGCGACTTGTCCTCAGAGCTGTCTTTGGAGGTCATCTCACGAATTGAATTGACGGAGCAAGATTCTCCTTCCACTACTACGTTCCCACCAATGCGACCTGGTACTGTCATTAAAGAGTTAGCTCTTCCATCCCACCCTCTTCGTCATCCACCATCACCACCTATGACCTTGACTCAGGCTCTACAATTACCTCCACAGTCCCCTCGCCAACCGTTCCGCCAAGAAAGGCAGCCAAAGCAAGGGCCGAGTAGCCTGCCTCCTACTCCCGAGTTTACCCCAACCGGGCAAGGCTATGAAGAGGATTACGAGGTTGATCGGGGCGCTACACCGACTACAGATCCATTGCGTTCTCACATGATCCCGGAACCCTCCCGGAAAACATCTGTCCATTTGCCCTTTACGTTGGCTTTCGATTCGCAAATTCTTGCACAGCAGTTTACGTTGATCGAGAAGGATGCTCTGAATGAAATCGACTGGAAAGATCTTATTGAGATGCGATGGAAATATACTACCACGGATTCTCGGTCGTGGGTCGACTTTTTACGATCTTCGGAACCTCGCGGAGTTCAAGTTGTTATTGCTCGCTTTAATTTGATGGTGAAATGGGCGATATCAGAATGCGTCCTAACCGAAAATCTGGAGGAACGCGTGAGAACTGTGATAAAATACATTCACATCGCTGCCCATTGTCGAAAGTATAGGAATTTCGCGACAATGACACAGCTTACGATGGCACTTACCACAAAAGACCTATCATGCCTCACTCGAACTTGGGCTCTTATTCCCGAGGCAGACCGGCAAACGTTAAAACAGCTTGAGGAATTAGTGACACCCACTGGGAACTTCCACAATTTGAGAGCCGAGATGGAAGGCGCCGGTGCTGATCAAGGATGCATCCCCTTTGTCGGCATCTATACACATGATTTGCTTGTGAATTCTGAGCGACCCAGCCAAATTGCTAGCACCCCTACGACCGAGCCTTTAGTCAACTTTGAGAGGTGCCGAACAGACGCCACTATTGTTAAAAATCTTTTAAGGCTTCTTGAAGCTAGTCAACTCTACCGTTTTCTACCCATCGAGGGAATCACGGAGAGGTGTTTATGGATGGCAGCACTTACCGATGACGAGATAACCCGGTACGCACAGGCAATCCAGGAGTAACGACGTACTCGGTAACAAGATGAACAATAGCACCGTCCTTTGTGCATCGCCAGTTGAAAGTACAGGGACTTCGAAACATGTTTTTTTCTTGTATTCATTTTTGTTTGATAAGGTTTTTCTTTTCTTGGTTTCTGTTGTTTTATATGTTTGCCAATAATTCCTGCGGGGCTATGGCTCCTTTGCACTCGTTTAACGCTCACGAGCGGTTTCTCGAATTTCTTACGATCTTAACGAGTTTCTTTCTGTCGGTGTTGTTCCAGAAGCTCAAATTGCGGAGGAACTGGTTGTTTCGATGAGCATTGACACTATTTTTGAGCATTAGATACCCTATGCGGCAAAGGAAAGAAGAGACTCGAGCTAGCAATGGCCCATTATTATATGCAGCTTTTGATTTGTTGGGGGTGTGCGAAGGAGTAGGCACCGCGTTGTATGGATGAAAGAAGTGTGAAGAGTCAAAATACCCTCGAGTGTTGATGAAATAAGAGAAGGATTTCGCGGAGCAATAGGAGCGTATGATGGAGTTGCTTATTGGTGGCGGTAGTGTTATTGATATTTAAGTGTAGTGGAAGAACACATTAAAGAAAGCTTTTAGCTTGATGTTGCATGTCCTTACTATCTGGTGGTGGTTTTGTGAGAGTCCACCTACTGTGACCATGGAACCGTGAATATCCTTAAATCCTCAGCCACAACCTTCATAAGCTCCAACCTAATGTACTTCCAGGTTAGCACGGTAAGGATACAGCCGAACTGAACAGGTGTGGAGATGAACTCCTCAATCCGCGTGAGGCTGTCCCAACTGGTGTCACGATGTCATGATTGGCATTTGTTTCAGCCTCGCCACACAGCTCACGTTGGTTCCAAGGTTGGGTCTCGGTTGGACATTTAACTCTATTTATATTCTATATTCACCCACTTCCGTTCTGGCTTACTATCTCACCAAACCTCTTCGTCCTCATTTCGATCCGCGTTTAGAGCCTTTTTACTATCAAAGAAAGGCCCACAGGCACCTGATTATTGAAGTTCTGTCTCGATCCTCAACCACGTGCGTCGTCCTTCTCTGTGCACAAGAGAAGCAGAAAACGTGATATCTCTCATTCCGTCCCCCAATTGAGCAAATCAAAAATGTCACAACAGCCAGGCCAACAGGGAACTGGAATCCACATCCGTCCGCCCCTCCGCATGCCCCAACCTCCGGGCACAGCAACCCTACGACCTCCACCACTAAGCTTCATAGAAAGAACTTGGCGAGTCACTCACAGCACGCTGCCCATGTGGAAAAAAGCAAAGAACGTACGCATTTCGTATAAAGCCCTGAGGGAATCCGACGGTACGGTCAAGGGACTAGATGATACCGTGACATCTGAAGACGTAGACGGCAAACCGGAGGGTCTGGGATCGAAACTGTTTAGTCTGAAGACCATCCGCGGGGTGGATTATCCTCAGGGCGAAGGCCTCGAGGGGGATTCTCAGGTCGAAGAAGGCCAGCAAGGCGTCTATCGGAAGTGGGCGTGGAAGGGCAATGGCTGGCTCAAGATCGCCGGGGGCTCGAAGTGGGAGGTCCTAGGCTGGGGCGTGTATCTGGATGGGAATGGCGGGCGGGTTGCGTGGGTGGTGACGTGGTTCGAGGCGACGCTTTTTACGCCGGCGGGCGTGGATTTTTACTCGGATCGCAAGGATGGCGTGGCGTTGGGGTTGTATGAGAAGATTGTGGGGAGTTTGAGGGGGTTGGGGAGGGAGAAGGGGTGTGCTGAGTTGGGGAAGTTGGCGGAGGCGATTTTTCCGGTTAAGATTGATGCGTGATGGGTTTGGGTTGGGTTGGTTTTGAACGAGCGAACGGCGAAATTAGGGATATTGTGTTGTTGGTTGAGGATTAGGATTTCTGGGCGATTAGGGCGTTATCAACTACGGAGGAACGGCAAACAGCTGTTCATAATGCTTCACAAGTAGAAGAAGACCCTTTATATTCATGAAAATATCGAGATGCATTAAAGAAGTGGGTATATTGCTCTAGAAAGTGACATTATTCATGACTATACCGCCGACTTTTATGTCGATGTGTCCTATCATCATCTCTATGAGAATGCCGTCGCGAAGAAGACGAGTGTCTATGCCTTCTTTCCCGATGGTCACCACTTCGGTGCTTCTTGGACGAGCTCCCTCCATGGTTATCAAGGCTGAATCCCTCAAGGTCATCCTCGGAATCAGCTTCTCTTCTTTTCCTTTTCCTATGTCTGCGTTCTCTTTCCTGTTCCTCGAGCGCTCTCATTTCTCGATCCTTCTCTTCCCTCCACTGTTTCCTTTCTTGTTCTACCTGTCTTACCTGCCGGGCTCCAGCTTTCATCATGGCCAGCGGGTCATTACTTACAATCCTCTTAGCTTCCCTTTCTTTTCTTCGAGGATCTTCGTTCCCCCATACGTCTTTTCCTGGCATTTCTTCTCCCACGTCTGTAGAGTTTGTTTTCTTGTACCAAGGGTCCGACCCCAACGAAGATTTAAATCCTGCGGCGTTGAAAAATTTGAGGGTATATTGGTCTTCGTATTCTTTCTTCTTTTTCGCAAGCTCCCTTTCTGCTTCCTCGTTCTTCTGAACCGTCTTATGTGAAGATGGCTTTGGTTGAGGGAAAAGATCAATATGTCCTCTGCGGTTCACAAGTGGAGCATCGGTATCCTTTCTCAAAACAAGTTGTCTTTCTCTGTTCTCGGTATTGGTCATATCATGTGCAATACGCATCTCAAAGTCCGTATCATTTTCGCCAGCCCTTTTTCGTTTCTTTCTTTCCCTGCCAGTCCCCTCGCCACGCTCGCGCGGATGTTTACTGCTATCCAACTTCGGAGAATCTTCTATGGGCAAAGGTGTAGGTTCTTCGCCTCGAAGAATCTGCATACGCCGCAAAGAGTCCAGCTCCTGCATGCGCTGCTCCGAAGCGGCTTCTTCTGCGGCCGCAATAGCTTCATCCCGCTTTACGACTTCGATGTTCGCAGTGTTGTAAACGTTCCAGGACTTCTTCCCTAAAAGATGTCTAGATAAGTTAGTGAGTTGTAATGGTAGAGTGCCCAAGTAATTATACTCACAAAGGCATGATGGGTATCTTCAATTCGTAATCTGCAACTTGAAGTACGAAGTTCAAGTCTAGGCTGAGAGAAGGCTGAAGCTGGTGTGGAGTTACTGTGGGCGAAGTGGGGTTTTCCGACAGGGCGAAACCAAACATGAAGCTTGGACCAGCTGACGCTGTAACAGCCGGTGCTTTGTCGTCCCCTGTGGCTGAGGCCAAACGGGAGAGCGACAAGAAGTGCAGGAGTGTTGGAAGAATCCATTTGGGGAGGTTCATCTTTGCAAGAAACAACAAGACAACAATTGGAAATTACACTTACGACTCACGAGAAACGAAGCCAGTCAAGTCTTATAGGACTCAGAAGGAAGATCTGTTCTGTTGCGCATAGAGTCATACATTCACGAGGACAACAAGGCTACTATAATAGAGGACTTGAAGACACATTTCTGAACCTCAGGTCTGGCCAACATCGCCACCATCGAACCCACCGAACCTATTCATCTACTTTCAAACAACATGAATATACGTCAGAACCTATTCGGGCAAGGCCCAAAAGCTGGTCGGGAGCAACAGGGGGGATATGGCAGACCTCCTCAACCCCCTCCACGAGACGATACGCCTATGGGAGGATATCAGGAGAACCCTAGAGGCCAGTATGGTGGTGGGGGATACAGTGCTCCTCCTGCTGGTGGAATGCCATTACGGACGGCTGTGGGAAGAGAACCATCTCAGCAGCCAATGGGTTCGGGAGCACCGCGACGGGTACAGATGAGAATAGCAAAAGTAGAGGACAAGAATTTGGCAAATGAATATATCTTTGGGAACCTGTGAGTCTAGAGCGGAAATGCTTCGTAGCTCATCGGGTACACTTTTTCTAACATTACTCTTAGATGTGCAGTATCACCTCAAGACTTCCCTCCATCCCGAGACGGTTCTGATCCATATATCTTAATCAACGGCAGATATGTGGTTACCGGTCGACCCACGCCAGGATTTCCAGCTGGATGTATCTCGCTTTCGGATCCACAAAGAACATGGTGTGACGTTGGAATGATGGATCCTATTACTGCCGAAACATACGATCCATTTGCTTCAGGTGGACATGCGTATCTTGGATCCCTCGACATTGAAGTTGGATTCGCTTCAGTAAGGAAAGTTACAGAGGTTCCCTTTGATCAGGATGTTTTGGCAGATGTGTTTACAAGATTTTTCAACAACCAGATATTTGCTCCAGGGCAATTGCTGTTGATGGACTATAAGAACATACCACTGCTATTTACAGTTAAGACCATACAAGTGGTAGACTTGAGTATGCAAAAGGAGGGGCCTCCGCCAACATCTAATCCTGGTGCCCGAGGTATTTTGACACAACAAACATCAATGACATTTTACAAAGATGCGAAATCCCCCATCAAGCTGAAGGGGTCAACTAAGCGGCCGGCCGCGAACTCTATCATTGCTCCTGATTTCAAGTTCGAGGATATGGGAATCGGTGGCTTGGATACAGAGTTTAGCGCCATTTTCCGAAGAGCATTCGCTTCTCGTATCTTTCCACCTGGACTTATTGAAAAACTGGGAATCCAGCATGTCAAAGGTATATTACTTTTCGGACCTCCTGGAACCGGAAAGACGCTTATTGCACGTCAAATCGGCAAAATGTTGAACTCCAGGGAACCAAAGGTTATCAATGGCCCTGAAGTTTTGAATAAATACGTTGGTCAGTCTGAAGAGAATATCCGAAAACTATTCGCAGATGCCGAAAAAGAGTACAAGGAGAAAGGCGACGAGAGCGGACTTCACATCATCATCTTTGATGAGTTGGATGCAGTATGCAAGCAGAGAGGTTCGGGCGCTGGTGGTGGAACTGGTGTTGGTGATAGTGTTGTCAATCAATTGCTCTCGAAGCTCGATGGTGTGGATCAGCTCAACAATATCTTGCTGATCGGAATGACCAATCGAATGGACATGATTGATGATGCTTTGTTGAGACCTGGACGTTTGGAGGTACATATGGAAATCTCGCTCCCTGACGAAGCTGGACGTGCTCAGATCCTGAAAATTCATACTTCGAAAATGAAAGAGAATGATGTTATGGATAGCGACGTCAACGTCGCAGAGTTGGCACATTTGACCAAGAACTTCTCGGGTGCCGAAATTGGTGGGTTGGTTAAGTCTGCATCATCATTTGCATTCAATCGACATGTCAAGGTTGGAACTGTAGCTGGTGTCAGTGATGATATCGAGAACATGAAGGTTAACCGAGCCGATTTCATGAATGCCCTTGATGAAGTCAAGGCCGCCTTTGGTGTCTCTGAAGAGGAACTTGAGACTGCCATGAAGCATGGCATCATCCATTTCAGCCCTTACATCGAAAACATCCTCAACCAAGGTGCCCTTGCCGTAGATTATATTAAGAGCGCACCTGAAGCATCACTTCTCTCGGTCCTTCTCCATGGTCCTCCAGGTTCTGGAAAGACTGCTATTGCCGCCAAAATCGCTAAGGATTCCGAATTTCCATTCATCAAGCTCGTTTCTGCGGAGAATATGGTCGGATTTAGTGAGATGGCCAAAATCCAATATCTACAGAAAGTCTTTACAGATGCTTACAAGTCGCCTCTTAACATTGTGGTAATCGACAATATTGAGCGTATTATCGAGTGGTCGAATATTGGTGCTAGGTTCTCCAACCCCATCACCCAGGCGCTGTTGGTTCTAATAGCCAAGCAACCTCCTGCTGTAAGTTATCCCACCTCGCTTTCTCAAACCATTACTGACAGAACAGGGACGTCGCCTCCTCGTCATTGGAACCACTTCTCAGCGGTCAATCATGGCTCAATTAGATCTCAAGCAGATCTTCAACCGTGAGCTCGCAGTTCCTAATATCAACACCCATGCGGAGCTGGCTTCGGCTCTTCGAGAAGTCGGCGGTTTCGATAGAGAAGAGGACATGACTGCAAGTCTCAACGAGCTCAAGGATATCACGGGTACGGATCAGATCGGCGTTGGAATCAAGAATGTTTTGACTACGGTCGGACAGGCGAAGAGGGATAAGTTGAATTTCGTCGGTACATTTGCAGATATGATGGCGCAACAAATGGCTAGCAACAATTAAGGATGGAGCGTTGTTGGGGATATTCACAGGAGTTTTGATGCATGCTGCATACGACCAGTAGATATGGCCATCCGTCATTGGTAGACAATTAGACTGTTGGTTTTGAAAACGCGGATGCTCTACTACGTGGCTACATTTCAGAAATGAAGCGCATTCTCTTCTGTACATTGGTTGGTTTTACTACGGCGTGAGCCAAATTTTTACATTCCTTCTTTACAGGGTCGCTGCTCTTCAAATCCACGGCTTTGATCAGTCAAAATATATTCCAGGCCTGCTGTTGGGCGGACCCGAGCGAACAGCTGCACCAGGGGCCTGTGACAGATGGAGGTCGAAAGGGTGGGGTGCCGCCAATTCCCCATGAGGAAAGTCGTCAACCTCCCAGACAGATAAGACACTGTCGCGTGCTCACTTCCTACTTTAGTCCTATCGCTGACCCGCGGTATGCAGCTTAGGCAAGGTACGCGTCTACTAACCTGGGATGAAGCTTTTCGGCTGGCAAGGGAAGCTTCTTTTTCCTTGGATTGGAGCTGATGATTGGTGATATCGAGGTGTTAGTGCTTGCCTCCAGCCGAAGAGACGGGATTGTCAAGGTACAACAGCTCGATCATCGTTGGTTGCTCCGCATCTAGATATGTGTGAATAATATCCGCCTACAACAAATACTCTTTTCCTTTTCCCTTCCTTCCTCAGATTTCTCCTTCCATCCACTCACTTCATATCTCTGTGTGCGTCCGTCAGCCTGCGAAGATGCATCCTTCACTATGTCTTGCAAACGCCGTCTCGGCTTCCACTCTCTTTTTCGGCGTCAATGGGTTGAACATTTTGATCACCGTGAGTTTCAATTGGTCTATTTCCGCGATGAAAATCCAATTTTTGTGAATGAGAGCTAACAATTGCCAGAATGATGATGGGTTCGGGACAGCGAATATCCGCGAGATGTATAAAGCCGTCGAGGCTTATGGACATCAAGCATATATCGTAGCTTCAGCCGACAACCAAAGTGGGAAAGGCGGGACCGTTACATACACCACATCCAGAAACCTGACCGTGGACTCGGAATTTGGTACATCATTAACAACCAATTAATCAAGCGTTTGTGCTAACATTATGGAACAGGTATTGTCAAGGCAGGAGCTCCATCCGTAGGGCCTGATCCTACGGACTCACACATTTGGTACTACAATGGCACGCCGTCCGCTTGCGTTCAGGTCGGTCTCGACTATGTTCTGCCTCGCTATGCAAACTTCAGCGTCCCAGATCTCGTTTTATCAGGACCAAATTACGGACTCAATCTCGGTCCTTTCTTGTACACGCTTGCCGGGACTCTGGGAGCTGCCTATACTGCCGTTGAGCGAGGCATACCGGCCATTGGCTTCTCAGGAGGTACCTCAGTACAGACTCCATATTACTGGGTGAACGAGACTACACCAGCTGGATTGAAAGATCCAGCTACAATCTATGGACAACTGGCCGCAGATTTAGCACAACAACTTATTACAAATGTTGCGAAGACTGGTGGTGGACGGTTGCTGCCATATGGCTATGGAATAAACGTCAATATCCCAGTCATCACTTCTTACAAAGATGCGTCTTGCGTTGCTCCGCCATACATCCACTCACGCCTGACTGGAGGTGCTGTTGTCGATAAAGCAGTCTTCAATGAGACTACGGGGCTTTTCAAATATGGTGATGTGATAAGCGAGGGCACAAACACTTGTATCAACGGAGACTGTTCGTTACCTGGAGAAACGGAGATTTTGGACCTGAAATGCAACAGTGCAGTCTCATTCTTCACCGTGGACTACGACGCTCCTTTACAATGTCACAACGCTCCTGACTTGAAGGGACTTTTGGAGCCACTGGTGGGATATATCAATGGTACTGGTACTACTGGAGGAAATGGAACTGTTGCTTCTCCTACTCCTTCCAGTACCCTTGTTGCAGTAAATGGCGGTAGCGTTGGTTTGAGAGCTTCAATTATGGGACTCGGACTTGGTCTGTTGGGCGCTTTGTTGGCGTTGTAAATGAATGACAGTGTCCATTCTGGCGTTGATAGGGATGATTTAGGTAGATAAAACGAAGAGATCCGAACGACAATTTCAACAGATTTTTGCTTCAAGTGCTTCTTCTCAAACTTTCATTGTCTAAGGTCTTTCACGACGCAGCCATTCCTTGTGTAGTCATGTTCTAGCTTCTCACCGGCTTCGAAGATGTTGATCAATCTTCCATGATCACAACAGCTATCGTGGGATGCAAATATGCTATACCATATACGAAGTCCATTCAGCTCAAGGATGGCTGCAAAACATCGTTAAGTTCCCATATCTTCCATGTTTTGATAACTCGATTGCAACATGGAATTCGTAGCTTCGCTGAAGAAATGAAGGGAAGCTTTAAGCGAGCAGCTGAACGCCAATTCCTCGGCCCTGGAGATGATTGCACAGAACCGGCAGCAAGTTAAGCCGTTGAGGTGTAAGCTCTTGCTTCATGCCGTCTTGGCTGGCTGCCAGGAATATTACCTTGTGGATCATATATAGTAGTAACAACCTGATTATGCTGGGAGAAAAACAAATGCGAAGTTAGTAAAACTGCTACAGAAGATTGCAAGTAATATGTTGCATTCGAAAATCTCTACTGGACTATTCGTGGTGATTGTAGGGTGCAGTGCCTTTCCTGTCACATTTAATAGCCCTATATCTCATGTTGGGCTTCAACCTGGTCAGTTTGACTCTTGGTTTACTTTACACTAACAACTCGCTCTAATACTGAAGGAGCAGATCAAATATCTACTCGTAGCACAGACAACCAAGCCAGGAGTGTCAAGGACAAATTGCCATTGCCTCCTGTCGATGATCCGATTTCTCCAGCTAGAATCGCCAGACGAGGTATGTGACGTAAAGAAGTTTGGAACAAGAGGTCCAGTAACCAATCAAATTCACAGAAGCTCTAGATCTTGTTGGTGGCACACAGGTATCTTCCATTGAGCCAGCTCGGATTGCTAGGCGTGGTTTGTCAAAAGTTCAGACCAATTTATCAATCAACTAATGAATACATAGGAAGTGAAGACACAGTTTGGGGACGACTTGTAAGAAGAACAGTCGGTCTCTTTGCTAGGAGCTCAGAAAAGGAGGAGCCGGAAATGCAAAGTGCGAACCAAAGTGAGAGAACATCAACTTATAAACCTCTATATTGTATTGGTTAACCAAAAATTAGCTCCAGCTTTTGATGCCGTGATCAAGGATGCTAAAGCCGGTAAGCTCTTCGATTTTCCCATACTGTCTCTGAACTGTCCATGACTGATTCAAGATCATAGAAGACGGAGATATCATTTGGACCAAAAGAGACAACATTCCCAAGAGACTGATCGTCACGTCCAGAGACGGTGGAGAAGGTCCAAATAGTCGCTCCTCCCTGGAGAAGAAAAATCCGCGCACATGGTTGTCTTTAAAGCCTCGGCAGACTGGTAATGAAATATCCAGCATCGTCAAGAAAGCAGAGAATGATTGGGGGGTGGGAGGTGGTCGTCGAGAACTCGCAGATCTTGTAGAAAGAAAGGAATATGAATGGACAGTTGGTGGTAACAAAAGAGATACTCCAACCAAACTACCACAGAGAGAACATGACTGGGCCGTTGCGGGGAGCAAACGAGACACTTTAACAATTATACCAAGAGAGGAGACTGATTGGCACATTGGCAATGGTCATGGTAACATCGCAAGAATGATCGAAAGGGAAGCGGTTGGTGAGGACATTTCAAGAAATGTCAAGGAGGACGTCTTTGTGCACTGGTCACTTCCACCACATGATGGAAAGCGGGGAATTAATGAGCGAAATACGAAAAGTATTGTGGCCGTCCGTACGGAAGATGGTGGAGGTGGTTAATAGGATATATTTCGGATCTTTAAGCGATGCTGTTGGACGGTATTCAGCGAACTAGCAGTTTATGAACTTTGTGTTGGCATGAAGGATGGCTAGCGGTTTTATTGAGAATAGCTCGGTCTGCGGTTTTATTCGTCGAATCTGATTGAACCTATTGAATTTACATACCGTACATTGCAAGTCAGACCAGACACTTTCTTACTTTAGAGTAACGATATGCTGCGTCAACCGCTATGTTTACTCAAGTTCTTGAATCAATATGCAGCATAAGCTCTATCGAGACGGTTAAACATGTGTGCTAAAGAACGATGATTGCAGAATCATTTCTGAAATTTTATTTGCAGGATGTCCCGTCAATACTGCAATACACTGGTGATAGAACGATCCTTTCTACCCAAACAAACTCTGATGTCCCCACATTTCAAAGAATCTTTTCATTGTGTCAAAATACAGACTGTCGTTTCCACAAAATGCATATCTTTCAATCAAACTTCCATTAATCGGAACTTCACGATATTCATCCACAAATCTATAGCAGGCACTTCTCTCTGGCTCGCTAACCCACTCTTCTAATTGCTTCCAATTCCGACATTTCATTACCTGACCGTCTCCTGTCACTCTACCTGCAATTACAGGCATAGGCGTGTCATTTACGGCGCAAAGTATAGATTGCCGTAGTACATCGAAGCAGTGCGCAATGTGGGATGCTGAACGAGACTGAGGTATATTATGGGTATGCTGAGCGAGAGATTTTCGAATCGTTTTCTAGATTCTCATCAGCTATGAGCCTTTTGAACCCAACATAAAGGAGTATACCAAACAATGCATCTCGTGAAATCCTTGGACAAAGTAAACTCCTTGATTGTTGGCCCAAGGAAACGGACTCGCATCTAAAAGGCCATGTGACTCAGCAAACTGTTTTGTGAGTGTGATGGCACCTATTCCGGTGCTTATATCGTCCCAGAGTCCATCCGCTCTGGTTTCGTTGGCACTGCTGTATTCCGTATTTCCTTGAAAAGTGAGCTTGGTTGATCGGCGAAGTTCGGCTGACGTGTGTCAATGAGAAGGCTATTGATATCATGGGTTGAACTTCTTACCACACTTGATTTTCATTTTACGGTACTGTGATACTTGAATCAAGTTTGCTACAATCGAGAGAATGAGAGCACCGAGAAAAAACGTCCACATTCGTGCAAGTTGACTTCGGTGGGCTTTTAGCCAAGCTGGACTTTCCTTGTCCTCATCTTCAATGAGCTGATACAACTCGCCAGCCATTGCGAAATAGTAGTCTTTAAAGAAATTAATAGTCAAGGAGTATGAGTATAGGCGTCAAAGTAGCAAGCTAGTGTGTCTTTTCAAAAGAACAACTCAATTGTGGCCAGCTGATGAATCATGTCGGCACATAAATTCCGTTCTATAAGTTGCACCAAACCTCAGTATTCTCTCTCTTATACAGCTTGAAATCAATCAGATTAATGAGAGTTTCCACTGTCCATTAAAAGGTGGCAATCACGAAGGTCACAAGACTCCTGCCAAGTTTTGTGGTGTTGTGAAGGGCTGAATCTGACTGCATTGAAACTCGGCTCCCCTTCCCTGTTACAAACTCCGATCACGTCTTGAAATCGTCTCAAGCATTTTATAGAAATTTTTCTATGTCACGATAGCAGGCATAAGAAGTTTTGTAAGAATGATAAAATTGGTCGGACACAGAGAATATCAGTCGAGCCACAATCGCGAACATATCCGTCAAAAGACCTAAAAGTCCAGCTTGCTTGGACAAGAAGAAAAAGCTAATAGATATTGGACGTAACACATACTATCACTTGCTTCCTCCTTCCCATATCGCGACAATCCCCCGATTTGATGTTCGAGATACGAAGAGAGACATGGCATATCAAGCCAACATCTTACAACTCATTCTTGCTTGGCGAGGCGAATTTCTTCTTGAGCTGAGAGATGGAGGGCGAAAAGAAGTACTCCCCGCCACGAGAGATCACCCACTCTTTTGGAAGTTTGACCTTGCCTGCTGGGTCGTTGTCATTCAGGATATCCATCTGACGAACACCTCCCTTTTCCGCCTGTCCAATGATACCGTCTACCCCAGGCCCATTTTCATCGGAGAATCCTAGGAGTGAGTGGGTTAGATTTGATTCGAGATTTATTGTTGGATTCTGCTTACCTGGTTTCGGTATTGGTTTGCCATCCTCACCGATTTTCAGAAATGGAAATGTGTTATTATTTGCCCAGACTACAAGGATCGGTCAGCAAAGAGATTCAACATAGCACGAAACTAAAACGCACTGCGTTGAATGAAGTGAAACCCATCCGCAATGTTACTCTGATAACATTTGAACAGCAATCCGCGATCCAGCTTGGTCTTTCTTGACTTGATCTCCTCTGGGGTGAGCTCTTCACCAAAAGTGATTGCACGTCGTACAATCCTGTGGATAGCGACAGATTGTTGTATGTCCCCTCGAGGGAAAGTCTTGCGCGTGTGTGCTGCATAAGGACAAAGCTTTTGTGAGTGGGGATCATAATCAAATTTGTTATTCTGTTGTGGGTTTTTTCCGATGGAAGGATCTGAATCAACAGTAGGAGCGAGTACTAGTGGGGTACCTGAGTATATAGATCTGTATTGGTAACAAAATTAGCGAGGGGCATTACCGCTCTTCCAGCGCCCAACAAGCTGTGCACCGAAGAAATCTTTTGGCGCTTCGTGAGGATTTTTGTCATCGACGAAGTCTTGGAATTCCGGGACCTCCTGAGAAAGATATCTGAAAGCAAGAAAACTGCCGTCAAGTGTCCAAGAGGGGCGACCCTGACCACGGTCACCCGGCCGACCTAACAGGATGATACCTTGGTCAATGAACTCTTGTCCAGGTAGAAGCTTTTGGTCAACACCCTTGATGGCTGGCTGAGAGATTCCGTCATTATACCCGAAGCTGACTCAGTATCAGTCATAATGCAGCGATAACAATGAGGAAGCACTAACTGTTCGTGGTGCATTTGATCCCCTGGCCGTACCTTGCCTTGTACGAGTTTGATCTCTTGCACAGTTACCCCCAAAATCTTTTTGACCTTTGCTAATGTAAAATCTATGGTGTCTTGACAATCTCCTGTGATGAAAATCAGGCAGTGAATTTCTTGCTTGAACTCCTTGAACCACGCTTTGTTGAAACCGTGAACTCGGTCATTGAAGTCTGCCTCAGCTGTTGCGAGCATGGTCTTTTCAAATGGATCATTTTGTGGCTCTTTGCTCAAAGGTTCTTTGAAACCCAACTAATTCTTGTCAGAATGGCGTGTGCAAGTAGGACCAATCATAAGTATATCTTACTTCGTCCAGTCCCTTTCTCGAAAAAGCAAAATTTACACCAGCGAGTGTCAAGTCACCGTCATTGCCTCTATGATCAAAGCAAGCTTTCTCGTCATTTTTCGCTTGAGTGCTGGAAGTGATCAACGGAATTAGCTCCAAGAGCTGCTTCTGGAACTCGCTGGGCTTTTTGATTTCGATAAACCAGTATGCCTCAAGTCTTTTGGGCAACCCAATCCTGTCTATGTTAGCTTCAATTTTTGCAAAACAGTCAGGCAAACTAACAAGATGTCGCCTTGGACATCGTCCAGATTGAGTGGTGGTGGAGCCATTGTTGAATCACTGTAACACTTAAGTATGTTTCAATGTTATGTCGAGGTTGGTAGGAATTAAGTAGTTGGACGATGACAACTGAATCCTTTTGCAGGATATGCCCTCTTTATCTTGTTTCTATTAACTATGCACCATGTGAGTGTCGTGAGGAGGACCACCCGGCTATCAGATCTCACTTTGTTAAGCTGTGTCTCAGCTCGCCACATATCATCAATTCGAATAACAACTCACCGTCTTTCTGTAGGCTTAACCAATCTAGGAATGGCTGAGACTGAAATGGAATCACGAGTCCAAGGAAGTGGAAGATGAGAGGTTCAAATTGCAGTCGTATTTCCTCAACTGTGCCAAAAACTGGAGCCAAGTAATCATATCACACTGTTCTGACCAATTTAGAGAGAAAGTGCGAGACACAATGAAAAGGCGTTATGGCTGTTTGTCTTGGTAAAACGCGGTAAAGAAGCACTTTCAATTTTTGTTAATTGATAAGTGACGATTGGAGTCCACTGGTAGGGCTGTGTTGAGACTGCCGTGCTATAGCTCATCGGAAGTGGACCCGATTGCGCTTAGAAGTAGCCTTTCGGAAGCTAAACTACGAAGAGAAACTTACGTAGCATATGAGAACGATTGAGGGGTGAATTGGGGAGCTAAGGCAAGGAACGTCGCTCTTGGTACTTTCAGCCTTATTGGTGGCTGGCGTAAAACGTCCCTGGTGGGGAACGCCCAGGCGCGGTCGATGGACAGCTGAAACCATAGTGATTGGTACAGAAATCGTTCATTTATTACTTGCAAGAGACTGAAGCGATATTTATCCCTACTGGAGAACGATAAGTTAGTGTGTGCTTTAGAGATTGATACTTGAAACGTAGAGAAAATACCTGAGTAGCTGTCAACAACTGTTTCTCTTCCACTGCAAGTGATTGAGGATTCCTGCAGGATAGTCTTATAATCTGAATCATGGAGAAGGCCATCCGGTGGTTAGCAAAATCCTCGGCATCAGCCACATAGTCACAATTGATGAACTTATTGATAGTGCCAAGCAACACCAATGAGAATGGTGTCGACATCCGTTACCAATACAGACATCGAACTGGACTGGATTCAGTATCGTCTCTTATTACGACGACAAAGTGATACCTTTATCACCGCCTTCGTCGAAATATCGGCAGAGAATTCTGTCCGGTAGCAAATACGGGTTTTAAAGGCAAATGACCTTGATTCGGAGTAGTATGTCATGACCAGCAGCAAAAATGATTGTGCAACCTCAGATTCATTCTCTGATAAGGACTGAGACATGGAGAACTAGCACCCATCACACACTGGTGAAAGCGGGGTAATGACTATCTGCCCACAATCCTTTCCATGCCGCTCTTTGAAAAAAAAAAACACAAATATGACCTCCCGTTAATGGCCCAATGATTCCAGGCCAACTACGCACAATCAGCGAGAACAGTCTCAACAGACAGTGACGATCGCACTAGGTCTCTTCTAGCAACACGATGCATGAGTCTGCTGGAAATGTTAGCATAATTCGACCATCGGAAAAGCCAATCAATACATCTATACGATGCTGTATCACCAATAGTTCGTGTCACCACTACAACCGATGAACTGAACTTTGAGAAAACATACATACGGCTCCCCTCACAAAATTAATCACTCAACGACCGCCAGCTGCCAAAAGTGTACTTTTCATTTGAAATCGCTTTTCGAATCTAAAATTAGCGTGACATCCAGCCACTTATCACATAATTGATGCCATTCCATCATCATTCCATCCTTCTGTCATTCCATCATCTTTCCCGTCTCTCATTCACGGTTTCGTTTCTTCTCATCATCTATACTTTGTCCTTCATTCTACCTCTACTCGGTGGCTTTGTACTTCTTGTTAAATTCCCCCACAGCAACACCGATTTTCTTGTACAAGAAACCTCTGCTACTTTCTTCCACAACAGGAATAAAAGGTCCATTGGTCCCACCTCTCAGAGTTAGACTCAATCCCGTCCTCTCTTTCGAAATTGTTTGGATATCTTTCAGAGGAACGTCCCATTCGGAGGTCAACTTCTTAGACTTGATGAGCATAATTCTCGAGTATGTCAACATAACAACAACATCCTCCCTGGGTAGCTCAAGGTGTGCGATATATTGCTCATTGAAGTATTTCCCGTTGTCGAGTTGCTTGAGCCAGAACTGGCCAAGAGCTTCCCGTTGCGAATATGGATGGACAATTCCGTCGGTACCAATGAAACGTGTTAGACGGACACGATCAAGCCCGTCCGTATCAAAGACGGTAGTAGTGTTCCGTATACCCTCTGACACATTGGATGCGAGATCGAAGACACCAATAGCGGGCTTTGTCATAACACCAAGGACACCCTTGCCGACTCCTTTAAAGAATCCGGCAACGCCTTCTTGCTCTGCACCCTCAAGAGGTTTGCGTGCCAGACCGCCAACACCGGATGCGAGGGAGCTAACGAATGAGTTCGCGCCGGCCGTAACTCCGTACAGAGCATGCTTGGGTCGATTTCGAGAGCGAGTCATACGACGACGATCCTGGAATTGTTTGTCCATGGTGGCTTCAGCTAGACCCTTTGCAATACTGCCTGTGAATTTTGAGAAAGAATCAGAGAAGCCAAACACGGACTTTTTGACGAAGCTGGTTGCACCCTTAGCAATACCTAGACCCAATTGCTCTGGACGATCGGACATAATGAAACCTTGGTATGGCTCATAAAAAATGTCGGCAACACCAGAACTTAGGTTGTTGAATAATCCCACCGGATTCCCAAGGAAGTCTGCGGACCCTAGAACTTTGTGGACCTGGTAGAGACCTTCTTGAGAGTAGTGGTTTGATACGTTTTGTAATAGCACCGCCATTGAAAGGCGTGCATTCTCCAGCATGAGTGCATTGAGACGAACAGGCGCATCGTTGATGTTTCCAATCGCCATGGTTAGTACGTTCAAGAAGAACATTAGAGGGTTCCGCGAAGACGTTTTATCCTCAACGTTAACTCGGTCGGTACGGACGAAAGATAAATCCAGTTGCATGGGTTGTAAGTTGAGCAACTCAAAATAGATGTCTTGCCCCGATTGCTCCTGCTTAGGTTCTGGAATGTCTAAATCCTCATCGCACAATTTGCCTTCGTGAGTTTCTGACCAGCTCGCACCAGGTACCTTCGAAAACTCCAACAGTGCTAGGACAAAGTCTTCATCGATTTCAAGTGTCATCTGTTGAAGCAAGAGAGTCGCATATTTGATGTATATCACCCCGTACGAATCGTCCTTCACCCTGGTCACCTGGAAGTGGACAGATGGGTGAGCCTCAGTCTCTTTGCTGTTTTTGGGTACTACACTGGGATACAATATCATGGGGAATATGCCGCCATAAAGCTGGTTGTCAATTTGTATCCAGGTAATACCAGCTGTGATGGTTTGATAAAGAGGCGATTCGGAGTATTTGAACGAGACATCTCGGAAGGTGATATAGGCAAGCTCACGCAGTTGAGCGTTGATAAGAGATATCCCAATTCCGGCCAGCTTTAGCTGTGCTCGAAATGTGACACCCATATCTTGATCTTTGACTTCGAAGCCACCGGCAACGCTCGTAGTTGACTCAGAACGAGTTTTCTGCTTGTACAGAGACTTCGACGCTTTGTAATTCGATAGAATTAATGTTTGAGTTGGACCGTCAGCTGTGACATTCAGGTCGATAATCTTGGACTCTCTCGCGCCTACCGCATTATGCGCAGGTGGGATTTTCAGTGGGATCAAGTTTCCAATTTCCGCCAACTTAATGTGTCTCTCTTTACCATTAGCAGTGATGACCAGCTCCTTGAACTTTGCAGCTGGATAATCCCAGGCATACGGCATGATACTTCTAGGAGGCAACATATACCTAATTGGCCGCCAACCGGACCGATCTTCCGCATCTTCATCATCAAGATTTGGGTTGGCTTGGTAAAATTTGAACTCTACATCGCTTTCGTTGCGCATTGAGAATGGCCAATTCTTTGTCTCTAAGCTCAGGTGCAAAAATATGGTAGCATTCTCCATTAGAACCTCAACTCGGATCAGCTTTTGGCGCTGCTGGTACTTGGCCAATTTGACGTGTGTTGTTCCGAGGTCTGAAATGTTGAACGAAGATGACCATTGGTTGTTGACCCCAGGGAAGCAAAGCGACAGTTGCTTCCTGGCAGATTTTTGAAGGAAATGTAATGGTTGCAGAGCTCCAGGCTTGAGTGTCATAACGTCTGAAGACCCTGGTTCCCGTACGTTCATTTCTTCGTCCATTCGATTTTTAAGCACAAATCGAGGAGCAATGGTAACAACCTTTGTCATCTTGTATTTTCCCTCTCCTGACTCGACGGTGATACCGACATGGATCTCGTTGTTCTTGTTTGCAGCTGGCAAGACAACGTCAACAGTGCTGCCAATAGCGTCAAAACTCTGTGGTTTGCTCCAGTTCGAGTCGCCAACTTTCAAGATTGCACGATTGCGTTGATCGTCAGCCCCAAAAGCGAACATGAATGGTAAAGCCTTACGCCTCTCTCTATCAGCAGAATCTGCGTGGAACGCCTGGCCGGCTGATGTTTTTGCTCCTTGGAGTAGGGATTTTGATTTGATGTTGATCTCAAGTCCAGTCTTATTTAGAACCACATAAGGGCTGTAGACGGTGATTCTGAATGCACCACCGCTGTCAGGAATCTTGTAATAGTGCAACTTCAAATTGAGCGCCAGTCCCTCATTATCTTTGCAGACGAGTTGCGATTCCTTGCGGAAATCTTCCTGGTTGTTCGAGTTAATTATTGCAAATTCGCTGGCCTTGAATACAGTATCTTGCATATCAATACTCATAAGTAACAGATGCGAAAGCTCAACAACATGAACGGGGCTGAGGCCGCCTTTGCGGAGGAAATTTGTCCAGTCTTTTTTGGTATTTTTGTCATAGATTCGATACTTGAAGTCGTAAGGCAGAAGGTTCTCCAACTCGATAGGAGCAGAGAGTCTAATTCGCATGTAAGGATAAATTCTAGACGTTCATTAGTTAATGAGTATGTAATTGGATGAAGTTTCGATAAACATACGACGGAAGAGGATTGGTTTTATCGTAGCTAGCATGCATCTGGAAGTAAAAGGGCGGGGTTTGTTTGTCGTTTTCACCTTTGCAGGTCATGGTTCTAGTCGGTCTCTTCATAAGGTCTTTCCAATAGAGTGACTCGGTAGACCAGGTGTACCCAAACCCTTGGTCGGGTCTCACAAGTAGAGACTTCAAGTAGGCGGCACCTACGGGAGCTGGTCGGCTCTCTCCAGGTGCGATCTTCTCAATCTTCAAGAGATGCCCCTCCTGAGCGTCGAAAACTCCAACCTCCACAGGTATTTGAGTCTTGTTCTCGACTAATAAGGGCGACCTGAAAGTGATACATTTGACGTTATCATCTCCAAGAGTAACCTCCACCAAAAGTCGATGCATGATCTGGTTCTTTCGGGGACGTAAGTTATAGATGGTCTCTCCCTCACGTGTAACTGGTATCTTGTTGATGCTGTCAAACCCGCTTCCCTCCAAACGAATACCAACAACACCGTTGCTCTCCTCTGGCGATAAATTCTCTCGCATCTTCTCCCAATCTTCGAACCTCCAAGGACCTTCCTCTCCGTCTGCTAATTTGGCAGCCATCTGGTTCTCTTCACCTGAGACATCAGCCCATACGTTGATATCGAACCCGGTATAATTTCTCATTCGGTAAGGTGCTTCGGTCCCTCTAGGTTTCGAAAGCACATCATCAGATTGGGTCAGAAAATCTGCCGATTTAGAAGCCAACGCAATTGTTGCCGAAGTTACAGTCAACTCCAATGTTTTGTCCGAGACAAGGTTGACGGCAAGAGAATCGGGGTTCGCCTCTTTTGAGATTTCGAGGCCCAGCTGCCAAGGTTCGATAAACGGCTCCCAAGCTGACTTCGAAAAATTGTAAATGTTTATGAACAAGTCGATGTTGGTGCCCGCTCGCAAATTGCTTGACCAGTCGTTGGCAGTGGTGGTAAAGCTTTTGACACTAAGATCTAGGATAGGTAATTCGTGAAGATCGCCGATCAGGATTAATCTCATGCCATCCAAAGTTACGGTGAGCTCCTCGTGTTTTCGCGTGACTTTTTCTAACGATTTATCTTGTAGTCTGGGTTGTGCAACAGTAGGAGCCTTGGTCTTTCTTCCAATTGTAGATTGACCTTTACCGCTTGCACTCCGCTGCTTCAGGCCTGCATCGCCGGTCTTGAGTTGCTTAGCTTTCTGATCAGAAGCTGGGGAATCCTTGTTTTTATTGTCATCGACGCTAGAAAGTTCAGATGCCTTGGTGACGATCTGGATTGCGAGGAGAATATCTCTGAGGGACAATCGTAGCACCAAAGGTTCTATGTCTATGTGAAAACTTGTCAAGTCTGCTTGCGAACTGTCCAGAGACATTTGCAAGGAGAAATCATCTAGAACTCGAAGGCGACTATCTTCAAATTTGTCCATTCTGCAGAGGAACATCCCCATTTTCATAACCTGTACAGTTAATGCATGTTGTTGCGCTATTAAAATTTGCTTGGTCCCTAGGACAATGGCCTCGGAGCTCGAACTTAGGGGATTGGCGATCAAGATTATTTGTGCATTGACGACGTTGACTCTGAATGCTACACTCATAGAAGAGTCGCTGGATTGTTCAGGTTGTTGATATGATGACTTCGACAAGGCTCTCGACCCGCTCGCAGACTCGGGCGAGGCTTCCTCAGCTATTGCCATAATGGAATCTGTTTCAGATTCATCTGGAGAGCCAAACAAACTTTCATCATGATCAGACATGACAGCTTCATCAACGACTAGACCGGCGGCAACCCATGACTGCAAAGCGAACAGATAGTCAAGGGCAAATATTATCCGTGGACTATCGATAGCCACCATAGCTATTAGGTTTCGCTCTTTACCACCTGAGATAGTGACACTGGCCATAAACTGTTGCACGTCCTTGTTTAAGGAAGTCATAATCTTGCGGAATTTGTTCGTCTCCCTCGTCCTGCTGTCTTGAATTGTAAAAGACTGGATAAGCAATTCTGACTCTAAAGAGCCATCTGTCATCATCCGAAGCTTGACTTTTGTGTCATCAAGGGAGAACTTAGCCAAGCTTGAAGCATCAAGATCTCCTATAGGCTCATCGTCCTTGGCTAAAATGAGTTCGAGCCCAATTTTATGCAACTGAAACGCAAGATCAAGCTTAGTCCAGCTCTTGGAGTCGACTCCTAGCTCGGGGCCTAAGTCCACGAGGGCATTTGAACTTTCTTCGGAATCGTCGTCGGTGATGGTCTTGGCTTTCTTCAACGTAGAAGATGGGATGTCCTCTGTGACGTCCTTTTGAGAGCTATCGGGGTCTGCTGCAAAAGCGGCAGGTACTGATCGAGAAAGCTCCAGAAGGAACTTGAGCTGCGATTGGGTAACACGAAGGTTAAAATCTGTCATGCTTCCCTCTATCTCCATGTCAGGCCGTTTAGAACCTGGCGAGTGTTCCGCATAAGTCATCGTGAATCCAAGGTCTACCTTGTCAATGAGCTCCAACTCTTCGGACTTGTCGTTGTCAAAGTAGAAATCGGAGGTTAACCGGATGTTACGAACCCCAGCAGACAAGTTCATAGCGACAGCCGCATCTTTCGAATCATCTAGCGGAAGGAACTTGTTTTCGGCGTAAATCTCTCCAAGATAAGCGGTGATAAGGTCACGTTTCGGTCGACCAGCAACCATGGTCCTAGGAAATACGACAATGGGGGTTTTGACTATTATATCGAATTTCATGCGATTCGCGTTCTGCTGAATCTGCGAGGCTTGGTTGGCAGCAGCCAGTCGAGCAGCGTTGAAAATTGCCTGCATCTGTCCGAATTTTACCACAAAATCAATGATTTTCCGGAATGGTTCTTCGAGGAAATGTAGTTTGATAGAACCAGCACGAAGGTAGATTGAGGAATCGTAGCCGGGATATGCATTACCACTATCGGGATCAAAAGTTTCATAACGGAAATCCGCAAGATCATCGCCTTGAATAGTTATCAACTTTCGTAAATTGGAATCCGAAGAGGCGCCTTGATTGACATCATCAAGTAGTGAGAGATCACCAAGCTTCGCAGCGACCCTTAAGGTCTTGCCCATAACAAAGATTCCCACGTCCGCCTCGTTGAGCGACAAAGTGGCCAGACGTATCCCGTCGTTGTTCAAAATCAATCTGATACTCTTCAAATCTACCTTAATTCGGACAGATCCGCTATCAGTCTCCGTTGAGGAACTGGTGGTGGTTACAGGTTCTTCATCTTCTTGTAGGCCCTGGATCTCCTTTGGAGATGTAGGCCGGCCGACGGCGGACTCGCTGTTAGCAAAAGTCACAAGGATGAAGTCCAACAGTGTCAATAGAGTCTTCCGGGTGACGACGAGATTGATAGTGGATATAGCCACGTCAATATTCACCTCAACCCCCTCATATTTTGGCATGAATTCAGGAGAGTCGCGGTTGACTTTGACAATTCTCACACTCACAAGATCCTTATCGCTCTCTGACTCTGCGTCACCGGAAGAGAGAATGGATTTGAACTCAGTTGGTGGGTTATCAACATAATCGTCTAAGACGAGCGAGCCAAGTGAAGTGTTAATGATCAAATCAAACGGCCGGACAACCAAATCTAGACTGAACTCCTCGGCCACAAGTTCGGCAAGAAGCTGATCTTGTTTCCGTCCTCCAGGATCGCTTCTAAAGAGAGACCCCTGGAGCCGATCTACTTCAAATTTGAGTTCAAAGTTCTTTTGCTGAACCTTGAACTTTTCATTGTCCGTCTCATTTGAAGCGTCCTCAAATTCGGCATCGTCATCCTCACTCACGTCATCTTCCAGAATAATAGCCTCTTGCGTGGCAAAATTGAACGGCACGGACTGAGATCGCTCGTGGCCCTTTTTCTTGTCGGCCGCCGAGACCGTACTGGAAGTTCGGGGTCTCGAAACTTCTTTTGTAGTAGAGGTTCCTGACGTCGCTTCGTTATCGTCTAGCTTTGGGATGGCCATGTCGATTATTCTCATCAAGCTTTTATACTTCTTGTCAGATACAGATGCGTGGAGTACCGGGAGATGGCCAGATACTCGCACTTTGGTCAAGTTTGGAGCTTTAGGGATGATGGATAACTGAACAATGAAATCGACGTTGATCTTTTCGACTATATGCATTGCCTGCTTATCGTCCCTCTGGTCTAACTGGCGTTTGGTATCCTCAATGGAAGGGCCAATCAGAAGCTGCGTCGACGACAACTTGACCAAGAACTTATCATACATCAATGACTCTAGGCGTTTATAGTCCTCATCTGTATAGGCTTGATTTTGCTTGCCTTGTATATCTTTAAGCGTATGTTTGTCAACCAGCTGACTGTTCACACTGATGTGACCCGCATCAAGAATCAGGCAAGCTGTTCTTTTAGCGGTTATACTCTCAGGGACGATGATGAGTGGTGCTTGGAGATCCAGCTTGGCGTTAATGGTTTTGTGTTCCTCTAATGCGAACTCTAGACCAGCTCTGGTCTGTTGCCGGAAACCCTCAACAGTGGCACCAGCTGACTCCATGAGTGCACCTATGGATTCCATATGTCTTTCTGGGGGCTTGAAAAACTTTATGATGCCAACCAAGAATAAAGGATTCCATATAATCTCAAGTGGCTTTAGCTTTCCAGTGACAGCGAGGTCACTCGCTCCGTCAAGTGGATTTTGCTCAAATTGAAAGTTGAAAAATGGGTCTTTTTCGGCCTCGTTGTCTGATTCATGTTCCTCCTCTTCTTTAATTTGCAATTTCTCTGGAGTATCAGGAGCATCCTTGACCCGCACAATTTGTTTGAATAAGCTATTGGGGGTCGTCCCATCGTTAACACGAAGACCGCCAAGGCTAACATCTGCGAAAAGTGACTCGGGGCGTTGCAAGAATTTAGCGCGAAATCCATCGAAGAATAAACTCAAAACTTCTGTAGTGTCCTGATGAGGATCTCGTTTGAGGGTGAAACTACCTGTATTGAGGGAGGCATTGATCTGCATCTTGACCGTCTCCTTTGGTAAATCAATGCTTTCTGCAAGGGCAGTCTTTTCGTTCCACTCGATAGCATCGTAGAGCTCTTTCCTCTGCTCCTCAGTCATGGTTGTTGTCTCGTCTTCTTCCTCTTCGACTGGCTTCGAACCCCATGCCCAGGCAACCCAACCTTGCTTACCCTTGGCCGTAGTCGCCTTCTTGACCCCAACATTCTCCTTTTTGAGTTGATTCCTGGCCAGCGACCTCCAAAAACGCATATCTTCGTAGTCTAGCTTCCACTCAAGCTTTTCGATCTCTTTCGTCTCCTCTGGACTCAAAGGCTCTGCTTGTTTCTTCTTCTTCTTGAATAGTTCGATGTATCGAATACGATCATCTCTCCTCTCTTTAAAGTAACTCCACGACCAACGACGATTTCTTTCATGGATTTTACTCAAAACAGCGTTGCCTGCAAATTGAAGCCAGGCTTTAGGATCTTCTTTTGGTGAGACACCCTTTGGTTGCAGCTTTTTGTACTCTTGGTGACGAATGAAATAGTGGAATAGATCAACCATCATCAACGCATCGCGGTATTGATCGTCATCTAGAACCAGACCGATTTCATCAAATATCAATCCTGCTTTAATATGCGGTCGGTCAACCTTCCCAGATTTATCGATAGCAATCTTGGCTTTCCCACTGACAGGCTTCAATATGAATTGATGGTTGGCAACGGCTGGATCCTCTCCTCGCACAATCATCTCCTTAAATTTTGCGAGCATTTCTTCGTGCGATGAGACCTCCAATCCAGGTACTTCAGCCTCTCTGCCAGTACCCAATAGCGATGTATCGGTGTTCCAATACACAGCTAGAGCTCCTAACGTTGCTAACTTGTGCGTGGGGCCAGCTGAGTCCTGTATGTATGTCGGCTTCCATTGCCCGTCTGTACTGATCGCACTAAACTCCTCAAGGGTAACTCCAAGAGCAAACGGGTGTCCTGGAGTGGATATAGAATCCTCGTATCTAACATGAATGTTCTTGACCCGTATTTGTAGGTTATCAACAATCTTTGTCACCAAACTTTCTGTAAAGCTTTGGTTCTTCTGTTGTTCTTCCTGGCTCATCCCTTCCTGGTTTCGATCTTTTAGCATCTCGGCACTGTCGAGCTTCTCTATTTTGACAGCCTGCCTCCGACGCTCTTCTTCCTCCTCGTCATATTCTGCATCTTCCTTTGGCGCTGCAAGCAAGAATACGTCCTCGATTTCGATTTGCACAGGCTGACCCCGAAGGTTTGACCATGGAATTTTAAGAGTGAGCTGACCTAGATGGCCCTCCACCACGTTGATTGGCAACTTCAACTGGTCCAGTGCTTCACGTCGGAGTTCCAGGTCGCGCAATTTGACGTCTCCCGACCAGATTCCTACCTTTAATTGTCCAGGGTCAAAATTCCTTATGTACATCCCCAAGAAGCGGTTAAGCAACGAGGATACAAGTCCTTCCAACATCTTAGGCGGGGAGTGCCTTCACCCAGGCGGGGGTGTTTCGTTCGAAGATAGGTGGGCAAGTTGGAGGATCTCAACTGCATCTGCGCAATAGCGCTGTATCGCGTAGAGAGGTACGGGCCGTATAGGTGTATTTAAGTCGTTGGCATGTCCGTCATCATTTATATTGTCTAGAACGTATCGTCAAGAGTGGTCGCCACGGTACAGCTCGTGTACCTACGTAGGCATTCGGCGCGAACTTCTTCGCAAGCTCCCCACCAACTTATTAGCAGTGAACTGATGCGACCAGGTGGCCAAAATGAACAGATATGATTCAGAAAGATGTGTAGCGCTTGATAGGATGCGAAGAACCCGTCTGTGTCGAGGGGTTTCAATTGTTCAAGTCGCACCCTTCACGATATGTCGCTTCATTCCACGTGAAATGCGGTATCCTGTATTCCAGCCGTGCTAGCATCCATCCTGGATGTATGTTTGCCTGACGTCAGACAGCCAGAAAATGCTGGCAAAATAGGTGCCTAGGTACGCTAAAGTTGGCCGTACTGTAGAGGTACGGATCAGTCCTACAACCTCAGGATATCAAGAGTTGATTTAGGGTTCATGTTTCATTTCGCTGATTATATTTCTAATCAGAGAATATACCCATTATCTAGATCAGTTATTATGCCAACCTTCTGTTTTGCATTCCCATCCACGAAGACATAGCTGCGGTCCTGGCCACTCTAGTGGTGCTTGAATCACAAAAAGACCCCCCACCCGAGATACAAAGGGCTCATATTTACGGTATATTCGCGTCGTCGAAAGGCTGTACTTTTGGCTTGCCCAAGGGATCTACGAAGTCTCTGTCTGTTAAAATCACCATAAATCGGTTTCTTGAAGGTCTGTCACCATTGCTTCCGAAATCCTCTCAAAATCCTAAAAAACACAATCTTGCAAGTTGGCTCCGGTAGCAGTAGCGACTACAATCACTCGGCGACGTGAAAGAGCGCCGCGGCTAGGACCATGTCCCGGTCATTTTGAATATCATTTAGTGTCAGTACCTGAGGCTGTGCGAGATGGTTTGTAGATTGCAGCTGCGCTGTAATCTGGCATCATGAAGAACCATGGATTTTGTAGAAAGGCACCTAATAGTAGTGTAATCTTTCAAGATTGTTGGGATATTATGTTCTTATAGTTTTATGGGTGTTGTTGTTACAGCCTTATTACCCTCGCATGTTGTACATCGGGATCCATGACCACTTAGTTCTAGCCAGTTCGGCTTGGCTTTGTGGACCGCGCAGCTGCTCAAGACAACGTTCAACCGTTCAAAGTATTCCTATACCTAACACTGGTGATGCCCACGTAGAGCACGAAGCTTGAACTCGACCGACAAACATATCGCGGAACCCGTATAATCAGAAAATCCTACTTAACATCATCGAACTCAAGCTGCCAGCGTCATGAATAATCCGGGGCAGGCAGGGCAAGCCCAAGGCCAGCAACCAGGAGGGCAATCGCAACAGAACCAACCGAGACGGGCTGGACCACCATTATACAAACCAGAGCAGATGCGAGGGCTCCCGGAAGCTTTCGCAGCTGAGAAAGAGAAATGGGAACAGGGCCTGAGACAACTTTGGACCACAGTTCAAGGAAATGCGCCAGAAACCCCTCAACATCAGGATGCGAAACGAAGGCTCTTTGAATTCTCGAAGATGTTGACAAACAAATTGCAGACGTACAGGATGCAGCAGCCCCAGGGAGCTGGAGGAGTTAGGCCACAAACCCAAGGACAACCATCACAATCACAAGAAGCAAATGGTCCAGCACAAGCGGGTCTGACTGCCGAGCAGCAGCAGCAGAGGCAGAAGTCTCAAGTAACTACTAAGGTTATGGAGCACGTGAATAGTTTTCCATATGTTCCGCCATCTAGCCTCACCGCGGGCACCCCAGAATATGTAAAGTGGATCCAGGAAGCAAAACAGAGATATCTCAAAGGTCTGGTAGCAATGGAACAAGCGACAACGAGACTGGCTGCTCTAGAAGGCATGTTCCAGAAAAGACAAGCGGACGGGAAGCCGCTGAGCCCAGAGGAGGAAAAAGATTACAAGGACAAAAAGGAACAGCTCTCCAAGGCACATGCAGAGGCCAAAACCTTCGTGGACAACTTCCGGCAATCGCAAAGAAGTCTAGCTGCAAACTCAAATCAACAAGGAGCAGGTGCGCAACAGAAAACGGTTGGAAATACCGGTGGTATTGGAAGCAACACGGTCGCTCCACCACCTGCGCGGCCACAGGTGAATCCTCAACAGGCTCCAAATCCTGCTCTCCAAAACACTCAGACGATCAACGCTGCGATTGAAGTGGCAAAGAACCAGCAGTTCAACGTTCCACGGCCATCGGTTCCTCAGAACAATTCCTCGAATCAAACTCCCCAAATGCCATCCCAAAACGCACCTGCGCAACAGGCAAATCTGCAACAACCTAATATTAAAAGTGAAGCCGGGGGCACCTAATAATCCACCTCCCATCAACACTACTACAGCCATCAACCAAATTCAACGGCCGATGCAAAACTCACCCGCCACGGCTCACCCTCGATCTGCTGGTGCGCCTTTGTCGGCCACGTCCCAAGCCCCTCTTCAGCAACCCCAGGCGCTTTCGCAGTCCGCTGCACTTGCGCAAGCATCTCGAAGCTACTCCAGCAGTAACACACAACAACACCATGTTATGGGTCATTCACATCCATCATCAACACCCAGGGAAACTCAGAACGGGGGCACTCAAAAGATGCCTATTCCAAAGCATCTTCCTGAGAGAGCAACCGCGCCACCTCAGCCTGTCCCAATAAGCCAGGCAAGACCTACGTATTCTGGTGGACCAAGCAACATGGGTAATGGGGTTATATCTCAGCCTGTGCTTCCAAAGGCACCAGGTTATAACATGGCCGCCGAAGGCGATCGGGTATTGAGTAGGAAGAAACTGGACGAGCTTGTTAAGCAGGTAACAGGTGGCGGGCATGGAGACGGGCCTAGCCTCACACCTGAGGTTGAAGAAGTAAGTCTATCAAGTTCACTTTTACCGTTGCCTTGTGGTTTTCGAAGATGGAGAGCAGCAACTAACAATCTTAGTCTATGCTCACTGTTGCGGACACGTTTGTTGACCAAGTTCTTAACGCCGCTTGTAAGATCGCAAAAGAGCGCGGATCGAAATCTCTAGAGATCAGAGACATTCAACTCACTCTCGAGCGCGGATACAACATCAGGATTCCGGGTTACGCCAGTGACGAGATCCGAACTGTCCGTAAGATACAACCATCAAATGCATGGATTGCCAAAATGAGTGCCGTGCAAGCTGCGAAAGTCACAGGTGGAAAGAACCAAGAGTAGTAATGCGTGGTGAGGTGTCACTGGGTAGGGTTGCTATGGAGCACGGGTATCGGCGTTTCAATAATGTGAGTATGATTTCTGGCGTTGGAACACCCGGTGTGGGATGCATCGTGGTGCAGGCATGGAACATATTGGGCACTTCTAGGGGTTTGTGATATCCTCTATGCTGTGGTTTGCCCATCACATAGTTATAAAAACTTTTGCTACATATAATCTCCCTGGAAAGGATATTCGCTAGATAATCAGACACATGATATGTGTCAACTTATGTCTTTGAGTCCTTGTTCGTTAATCTCGGATCAACTTCATGTCCAGAAGCTCAGGTAAACGCAAGCCGACGCGAGCAGTCTGGATGAAAAACCGAGATTTATGTCACGTGTGAATATCATCAGCGAAGCTTCGCTAGTAAATTGTCTCAAACCGGCGGTCAAGAATTTCAATTTACCGTGTTGGTGACTCGGTGGCGCCTGATAGCGTTCTCATTTGCTAGATATCTTTAGATACTGGCAAAGCCGGGGGCGGATCATTGCAAGATGGACAGAGGAGGTGCGCCGCCAAACCCCTGAGCCGCTCTCCCCTGTTACCTACCTACCTTACCGGTTTGCTCGAGTATGACCAAACTTGAGGCCAAGCATATAATTTCAGCGACCTCTCTTCAACCTCTGGATTTACCGCTCACATCCCCTCACTCCATCTCAAAAAGACGTTGTCATTGTGGTGTACTACCTTAAAGATCTGCAACGGTAACTCTGTATTCAAGGATACTCGCGTCCAACCTCCAGATTGTGTCGCCGATCATAACATACAATTCCAACTTGCGCTACTTCACAGTTCAACTGTGATCTGATTATCACACAGAATGCCTCGCGAATTAAGAAAGAGAAAGGCGCCCGCTACTGAACCTGAAATCGCTCCTGCGACCAAGAAGAAGCCTGCTACTAAGAAGGGCCCTGTCGCGACCGCTGTCGCGAAGGTCCAAGAGGTCGCAGAAAACGTCAAAGATGCCGCCGAAGAAGTTCTGGCACCCAAAGCAGCACCCAAGGCTAAATCCAATGGAAAAGTAAGCGCGTCAAAAGTTGAGGTCGGATCAGTCATCGATCTCGAGGGCTTTGGAGGAGAAATTGAGACGCATGAAGGAGAGAAAACTAGCCTCAAGAAGTTGGTCGGCGAGAGCAAAGCTGGCGTTGTTCTTTTCACCTACCCAAAGGCATCGACTCCTGGATGTAAGTGAATTCAAAGAAAAGCGCAAAGTTATTCTACACAGGCTAATCTACTCAGGTACCAAACAAGCTTGTCAATTCCGTGACCAGTACACCCTCTTGACAGCAACCGGACTCTCAATTTACGGGCTTTCCAAAGACAGCCCAAAAGCGAACTCGACATTCAAGGAGAAGCAAAAGCTTCCTTACCCTCTTCTCTGTGACCCTAAAGGTACTCTTATCAAAGCCATCACCCTGTTGAAGTCAGATGGCAAGATCACGAGAGGCGTCTTTGTCATTGACAAGTCTGGAAAGATCTTTGCTGCTGAAGGCGGGTCTCCCTTGGGCACAGTTGAGGTTGTCGAGAAACTGATCAAATCTGGCGAACTCACTGGGGGCACCGCCGAAGGTACTAATGCTGCCTCTGATGAGGAGGTTGCCAAGGTAGCTGCTCAGGTTGCTGATACTGCAGAGAAACTGGATGGCTAGGTGAATTTGTTCGCAGCACAATGTGTCCCCTTCTGTCGGGCGGTTTTCAGCCAGCTTTACTGCATTTGTCTCTCCATTCGGGAATTGTGTATGGTAAAATGGATGCTACAGAAGTGCGTCGGATCGTAAAAATCAGACATGGTGGTAGTAGCAGTCTTAGTATCTTCAATAAATGATAACATAAAATGGATAACTTTGGCCAAATGTTGCCAATTTGCTGATACCGGGCATATAGCTCCACCCAAATCCATCTCCGTAAGGCGCCAGCGATGGTTTCTGAAATTCTCCCTTCGCTATGATTGAAAAATATAAAATAATCAAGGCTGGACCCAGTCAGAACGTGTTTGTAAGGATAGATGGGTAAATTCGGCCATTATCTGCCAATATATGGTATTCATTAGGCTTCGATCCTTTTGATATACGGCGGCAAAACTTCGGTTCGCTCTTCAGCGCCGGTCTCGAATTCAACGTCGAACAACCCGTGAGCTCTCCCTCCAAGCTTGCAAAACACAGCAACCCCTCGATTAACTTATTGCTACAATCTTGTGACTGCAAGATGTCATCTCAGGCAGTAGCCAAAGCCTCACAGGCAGGAAGCCGCATGGGAGTGGCAAAAGTATGTTTTCCCTCGCCATCCAAAGCCTACCACATTCCCCTCACAACCCAATCGTACTCCCTACTCACGCACAAGACTAGAAATACACAGTCCAATCCACCGGAATCTGGGAACTAATCCGCCGTTTCTTCGCCGTCGACCCAACCCGCTCGAACGGCATTCCTCTCAACCCCCAATTCCGCAACCCACCCCCAGGATCCAACGAGCCCTTCTCCTTCATCGAACCCGTTACTCTCCCAGCAGGAGACATCGCCGATAACCCATACTGGAAGCGTGACGCGAGACGCTCGTATCCGCAGTTATCTTTCGTGAACCAGGCGGATGCAGTGGCATTACTGAGTATTGGAAGCGCGAGCGCGCCAAAGAAGGAGTTGATTGGGGAGAGTGGATCGAAAGAGCTGGTTAGTGTCAAGGAGGAGGGCAGTTTGGGATTGAGTGCCTTCTTTGCGAAAAGCGGAAAGAGTGGTGTTCTTGAGGCTCTGGGGAAGGATGGGTTACCTCCGCTTCCATCAGGTGCTAGTTTGAAGGCTGGCGCTGATAAATACCATTTGACGGCTGAGAACGCGTATCCTGAGCAGTGAGTAAATTTCCTATCAGTTACGGCTCAAAACTAACAGTTTCTAGATATCCTTGCCGGACTTTCAAGTGAGGAGGCGGAACACTGTATTGATGGCGTTATTTTGTACATACGGGGCACATGGGAAGATAGACGAAGAAAATCATTAACAAAATTTGACTATTGGTGTTCCAAAACATGAGTGTACCTGTGATGTTCGTGATATTTCGGCCGTCGCATAAATTAGCAAGCACTGGCATATCTTTTACATCCCCTCGCCCTGTTGGGACCAAGTATAGTTCATTGATGAGCTTGACCTGTTGAACAGGCCGGAATACGCACACTACTCACTAGAATAGCTTACGAAATCTCATATCCGTGAGGGTTCTTACAGCACATGTATACATTCACTGAATTCAATCTTCACATAGAGCTAAGATCTTCCTTAGTCAGTCCTAAATATCGGGTGTCCAAGTGATTACGTATTTTCACATTGGACCCAGGAAATTGTTAGATGTCATCGTGACCTTATAGCGTCTGCTTTCTGGTATAGGCAGACTTGATGAGGCGCCAAAATCAAGAGGGATCGGAAATCAAGAACAAGTAATCATCAAAGGCGGGAATCAATGATGTGTAAAATTGTATTTATACATATGTTTACAGATTATATCCCTATTTGGCCAGAAACTTTTGAAACGCCTTATGATCGATAGTGATATTTCCTACAGCTCTCAGCTTCTTCCTTCCTTCCTTTTGTTTGTCAAGAAGCTTCCTCTTTCGGCCAATATCCGCGGCATGAAGTTTCTGCAAAACATCCTTTCTAAACGGCTTGATGGTCTCTCTTGCTACAATCCTATTTCCCACGGCAGCTTGGATGACGATTTCGAACATTTGCCGAGTAACATGCTCTTTGAATTTCTTTACCCAAACCCTGCCGAGACGCTCACACTGAGTATGGTGTACGATACGTGCTACAGCATCAACTGGTTCTTTGTTGACAAGCAGTGACATTTTCACAATATTCGAGCGGCGGAAGCCAGCGTCCTCGTAGTCCAGAGATGCGTATCCCTTGGTGGCTCCCTTCAGTTTTCCAAAGAAATCGTCAACAAGCTGAGCGAGTGGAAGATCATATTTGAGAATGACTTGAGTTGCCGTAAAGAAAGTCAGTTCTACCTGCTCGCCACGGTTGGATTCGCAGAGCTCGATAACTTTACCCAGATATTCTTCTGGGAGGGTAATAGTCGCTGATACGTAAGGTTCTTGGATTTCCGCCACCTTCTGATGGTTGTTATCTGTGTCTGGGAAACTCATGGCACTTTGGAATATTTCTTCTTTGCCATTCGCCCAGAGAACCTTAAACGGTACTGCGGGAGGTGTAATAATGATACTGGCGCCATGTTCTTGACGAAGTCGATCTTCAAAAACAGAACAATGCAGTGTACCCAGAAACCCCATTCGCCAGCCTGCCCCTAGTGCTTCTGAAGATTCCTTTTGTAAGGTGACGCTTCGGTCGTTGAGGACAATTTGGTTGATAGAATCCTCCAAATGGCCATGATCACTCTGATCTACTGGAAATGCTGATACAAAGACCATCGACTTTGGCTCCTCGAATCCCGGATATGGTTCAACAATTCCTTCCGACCCAACTGTTGTGAAAGTATCACCACTTAATGCCTCCGCACTCTTTTTCATACCAGGGTTAAAATGGATATAGCCGACTTGGCCAGCTCTTAGACAACTCTGCGCCGTCTGGTGGGGGTACATCATGCCCACTTCTCCAACAAAATACTTAATACCTGTGGCAAATGATCTAACATGATCGCCAGCTTTCACAGTCCCGTCGAATATCCTCACCAACAAAATCACCCCTTTGTAATTATCATACCACGAATCAACCAGTAGTAGTCGCAAAGGTTTCTTGTGGTCGCCCACCGGAGCAGGAATTTGTTCGATGACATTGGGTAATATGGCTTCAACGTTGAGCCCTGTCTTTGCTGAAACTAAAACTGCATCTGAGGGTTCCAATTCGAAGGCGGCCTTCATTTGCTCCAGCGCCCTTGGTGCATCTGCCGAGGGAAGATCGACTTTGTTGATAATCGGCACCAGCTTCAACCCTTGAGAAAACGCGAGATAGAAGTTCGCAACCGTCTGCGCCTGGACTCCTTGACTTGCATCTACAAGCAACAATGCCCCTCCACAACTTGCATAACTCCTGCTAACTTCCGCCCGGAAATCGACATGTCCTGGAGTATCCACCAAGTGAAGCAGGTAGTCCTCCCCTTTATATTTGTACAGCATAGAACATGTTTGCGCTTTTACTGTGATACCTCGTTCTCGTTCCACATCTAGCTTGTCCAAGATCTGCTTGTTACCACCTGGCTCGATCGTGCCGGTCAACTCGAGTAATCGATCACTGAGCGTACTCTTCCCATGGTCGACATGCGCGACAATACAAAAATTACGAAACCGCTCAATTGGGATAGCCTGGATACGTTTCTCGACCTCCGATTTTGGGGCGGCTCGAAACGCTATGGAGGCCGTGAATGATCGCGTCTGTGAGAAGAATTGGGTGGCATATTGGGCACGAATAGCGCTAGGGAGCCGTAAGAATTGCAACGGGCATCGCTGCATTGAAGGAATGGTCGCGGAATCGAGGGGCGTTGGGGATTTTCGATTCGGTACAATTTTACTCTGGGATGCTGTTGAAGACCGCGGGACAAGCCGATTGCTGAGCCAACCTTATCTCCGATAAAGATACCTTTTAGTAGCAAACCGCGACATCTCACAACGAATACAATCTGTTAAGCAATTCAACATGTCTGCCGAGCCAGGAAAAGATAAGTCGAAAGTACATAAGCTGTCACTAAAAGGTAGTCGCCAATAGTACTGAAAATTTCCTGCTATGGCTAACCCTCGCAGGATCATCGAAACTCGTAGCGGAATTCGTAAGGCTTCTCCCCAGTCTACACCAGAAGACGACAACTAAGAAACCCAGTTTCAATACTCCATAAATACGATTCTGTATGTCTTGTGCAAATACGAGTTCTAGATATTGGACGCTACTAAGAATTACGCAGTTTCCAACGAGGAGTTTACCCCGCCGAAGACTTCACAGCAGTCAAAAAGTATGGCCTCACAATGCTCGTGTCCTCCGACGACCAAGTCAAAGCATACATCAAGAAGATAATGTCACAATTGGATAAGTGGATGGTTGGTGGCAAAATATCGAAACTTGTTGTAGTCATAACATCCAAAGACACTGGGGAAACTGTAGAACGCTGGCAATTTGATGTACGTCCCCTCTTCCTACCCTATAAATTGAGCTAATCGTATCTTCCAGGTACAAATATTCTCAAGGCCATCCAAAAAGAAATCCTTTTCCAAAACCCCCGCATCCGAAAACGCTGTTCCTCCCGCGGAAGACGTAGCGCCAGAGAAGACCGAAGCAGAGATTCAATCCGAGATCCAATCCATTTTCCGCCAAATCACAGCGTCAGTCACATTCTTGCCAGAACTAGCTGGCGATTGTACATTCAATGTACTTGTATATGCAGATGCAGATAGTGATGTACCAATGGAATGGGGCGACAGCGATGCGAAGGAGATTATCAATGGAGAGAAGGTTCAGCTGAGAAGTTTCAGCACGGCTAGCCACAAAGTTGACACGCTTGTTAGCTATCGGATGGATCGATAATTGGATTTGGGATGAACAGGTCGGAAGTATATGTGATATTATGTGTAGGATGTCAAAAGGATATGGAGTAATTGTGGGTTCGTCGTGGCTGTTCAATGGTCCAAGCTGGTTGGCTGGGAACCCGGTTTATATAATTTTGGAGTATTGGTACTTGTTAAAGCAATATTGATGTCGTTATATTCATCGGAGATCCCGTAACTACGTTCTGATTCCAAACGTCTTACTTTCGAGTTGCGAGTCTTCATCCACAAACTTCACAAAACGACGTGAACTTTGAAAAGAAGATCAATTCTTACAAGAGCAAATCGAGAAAGAAAATCACTACATCGGCCAGTAGGTATATGTATTAGATAAGGCATAAGTACAATCTTCGTGTACAGGGCCCTTCGTCAGCCCAATAATGAGGGCTCTGGAACCCAGCAAAACTCCAGCCAATGAACCATAAGCGCTAAAAAGTGATATAAGCCTTTGAACGCCATGCTAAAAATGAACATTACTCCTTTGCCTTATCTTTTCCCTTTCCTTTGGCCGTACTGCCACCATTCTCATTGTTCGTTCCGTCTCTTGTTTTCGACGACGCCCTTTCTACGTTCATTCCGTTTTCCTGGCGTTTCTTGATATTTCCAGCTTCGTGGGGTCTGGAAATCACATCTTTCGGCCGGGAGATATCGATACCCTCCCATTCCTTTGCGTCCCAGCCTCCGATCTGGTCTACACCATGTATCGTTTCGCCGTTCTCGGCCATTTCCTTGACATCCGACCAATATTCTAGCTTCTTGACCTCTTCATCAGCGTGCTCAAGTGCGATCCTGAGATTTTCGACACGCCGTTTTGTTTCTGAACCTTTGTTGTCATCGTCGTCTTCCGCTTCAACCTCTTCCGACTGCTTTACGAGTTCGTTGTAGGTCTTATGTAAATGGCTGACAAGAATCTTCCTGGACGCTTGGAAGATGAACATTCTCATAATATCGTGCATACGATCCCTCAAATAGAATAGTTCGTCCCCGCCGTGCTCGATAAAATTCTCCACCGCTTCCAGCTTCTCTCTGTCAATCGCTGCTAGTTTAAGAGCGACCATAAGTGCAGTGATGTCGCATATGTCCTCGGCCACCATCTCTTCCATATCTCGTTTAGCTAGCATGTCAACGCTGAATCGTGCGGCATCTGTCATTGTTGACGCTCGACTCCTACTATCACCTCGTTCAACCGCAGGATGTATTGTGAAGTAGTCGGAGTTCAGTCGATGTGCTAGGGGTTGAGCTTCATATCCCACATGTTTTTTCGCCCGTTTCCTTATCCAGGCTCGTCTTCGCACATAAGAATTATACCACGATCGACCATGCCATGAGAACTTCTTTGAGAATGCGAAAGAATATTCCCATCCATCTTCATCCACGTCGTTTTCATGATTGACCGTCCATTCCTTGGAAACCCATTCCCAAGAGGGATCTGGAACTTGTGCATTTGTGATATTCGTGGCGCTTGTTTTATGAGCAACATTCGTCCATGGTGCAGGGTCGAGATTCCCGAGCGCTTTCGCAGAGAACAACGCCATTCCGCAGAGAAATAGACCACGCTGGTTTTCGTATAAAATATCAATTGCGGTTTCAGAAGGCTTGTGTTTGTGCTTCTGTTTCCTTCGACCCCTTTCAGGCGTCTCCTCGTTCGTGATCTCTGCGCCAGCTCTTTCAGGACTTGTCTCTCTTGATGGCTTGGTCCCATCTTCTTCGTCTTCTTCAGCAGAATCCTCTTCGGCCCCTGCGTCTGTATCCTTATTGCTTTTATCCTGGTACTTCTTATATTTCCTCTTCGACATCTCCTTTCTTAATTTGTCTTTCGTATGGCGTTTCTTCAGCGGCACATCGCTGAGTCTTCTCGAGGAAGAATCCGAAGCAACATCCGATATTTGCGTCGCTCGGCCAGCAGACCTGCTCCTGGATGACCTCCCATTCTCGACGGAAACGTTCTGGTTCTTCGTATGATCCACTAAACTGATCTCATGGTCGTAATCGGTGTCTTTCAGGGGTTCGGGACGACGCGTCGAGGAGTGCAGATGAAGAGACATTTCTTATATTGCAAATAGCATTGCGGTAGATGGATTAACGATGGCCCTTAGTGTGATGGTCCTGCTCTCGTTTGGCTGTGATGAAGCTGTTGACGACACTAATAAAAGCAAACTAGTCTTTGATTCGTAGAAACGGACGGCTCAGGAGGAGGCTCAACGAATGCAGGTTGAGCTCGGACAGAACAAAACTTTGTGAAATTAGACAATAGAAATAGAAACAGAAGAAAAATGGGGAAAGCAGTTGTAATCCAGGAAGTCTACTCAAGATTTCCAATCTAGGCTTCTGCTCTACTTTCGCAGTGTTCAAATGTCAAGATTGCAAAAGTCGAGGAACCTTGGACGGTTGTATGACGCTCCGGTTGTAGTCCCACCGATCGCCAGCCGTAGGTAGAACCAGGATGCAGCTCTCTAGTAGGCAGAGTGCAACCGGGAACTGAATAGGTAGGGCGGCGCCAAATGCACCAGCCACACTCGGGGTGGAAATCGGTATACCTAGGTAGCTCGTCAGTTAATTTTCGAATTTTGAATCAGATTCTTTGAATGTGCACGTGAACAACTAATTTAAAAGAATTGACGAAATTTGTAGATTTTCTCAACTATTTTGACTCTTAGATTTTCTGGTCCACCTCACCTCACCGCGTGAGAAGAAAGGCGCCGCCCGTGAATCTGTCCGTGCTCGGATAGCTGAGAAATGACGTGGTTACTTCCGTATCCGTCGTCGCGGGGAAAGCTCTGGCAGGAACAAACCTGCAGCTGGGCCGCTAATTGCGACCAATTGTCTGTCCGGCCTCGATCATGCAATCATCTTAAGATTTCCTCCAGCACCCCTCATTGCGACCTTCGTAACAACCACCAACGCTTCTTCTCACAACATCATCCACTCAAACTCTTTGTACGACGCGTAAAATACATCCAAACACAAAACCAACAATGGCTCAACCAAGATCAAGACTTCCTCTCTACGCCGGATTGACGGTCGCCGGTGTCACCGGTTACTACCTGTACACGGCAGGCGGTTCCCCTAAGGTTGCAGAGAAGCAATTCGAGAGTGCGTTGCACCTGAGTTTTAAGAATCAACAATAGCTGACCGGCATAGGTGATATCCACAAGGCATCTGCTAAGACCAAGGCTCAACTACCAGGCACTGCCAGCCAGGTCAAGAAAGACGGAGAGAAATGGGCAAGTGAGGCCGGCCAGAAGGTCGATTCTATGGTATGTGATTTACAGAACTGATAGGAGGGGTTTAGACTTATTCTTGATAGGTCGACCAAGCTAAGGCAGAGGCTGCAAAGGCCGAGGGAAAGTTTGAGCAGTACCGCAAAGATGCAAGCAAGGAAACTATGAGGGCGATTGATAACGCAGATCGCAAGGTGGAAGAGAGCGCTGCGAAAGCTAAGAGCGGTATCTCATCCTGGTTCGGTGGGAAGTAATGGTGCACTTTGTTGTTGAATGTGTACGTCAATATGAGTCGGTAATGGATTGGCAGCGAATAGCGAGGTCTTCTGCGGGGAATGTATAATACCACGAATCAATTCTGCACAAACTCTTCTCTATGTTCTTTCATCAGGCCCGCCTGGGACCACCTCGTGCGGAACAACAAAATGTTCGATTCGACTTGACACGACATTCAAATTGCGTTTTTCCTTTTCAGGCTGTATCATGTTTTTGGAGTCTGTTTGAACTATGAAAATCAAAATTGTCTATCGATGCTTAAGCATGATTTAAGTTAATAGGTTGGCCAAAGCACTCCAGCTGTATCTAAGGTCATGCCAAAGAAGTGATGACTGGTGGTGGCTTCGGACATGTAGGTACTTTAAAGTACGGCCCTTTCTCTCGTGGTGGTCCAGTGCCAGCCGCCTTTTCGGCCTTGACTAGCACTGGTATGACTTGACCTGTCCCAAGGCTAAACACTCGATGTCCCAACACTTGTATAAGATTAGTTGTAGAACCAAATTATTGAGAATTCATTTACCTCTTAAGGTCGACCCAATAGCTCCCGAATGACTCGAAATACTAATCCAAGTATTTTCATCGGTACCAAAGACTTCGTCAAGAGCTTTTCTCAATCGAATATCCATCGCCTCGTCACTCTCTCTCAATTCAGCATCCCACAAAGGATCCTCTTCGGCAAACCCTTCTTCGAACGGCCAGTCTGGATAATGCCCATGTATGACAGATTTACTACTACGTCGATCGCAGGTGCTAGATTCATGTTAGATAGGTTAGGAGAATAAACCCAGAAACGCTTACTGAGCACCTATGGCTTCTCGAATCAACTCTTTAATGAGAGGCTTGAACGGCCTATCTCGAGGAAGATCGAGCCCTGAGAATGTGATGCTAGCAGTGGCCATACATCGAAGTAATGGAGACGTATAATAGGACTGAGGCGTTTGAATCTTTTGGGTTTCGATAAGAGACTGCCAGAACTTATTGGCTTTCTGAGCCTGGGCTTCTCCTATGGAGGTCAGGAGAGCATCAGCCCAAGTAGATGTTTCGTTTCCATCTTGTAGAGACCAGTAGCACTGGATATGTGTCAGTTTGGTCAGGTCAGGATGAGAAGGGAGTGCGGACATCCCAGTCTTTAGTTCCATAGAATGCTTCAGCTACGTTATGATATCCTTCGCCGTGACGTCCCACTGCTGGTGTTGAGAAAGAGGCGCCTGTCTGGATCAAAAGCATGCTTACAGAAAAGTACTTTATACTGAACAGAGTCATCACTTTCTCGGTTTAGCCTTGCTACCTCGAGCTCAAATTTCTCCCATTGCGTCTTCTGGCTTTCTTCAGCTTGACCCTCATATGATCTTTCTATCAAGCCAAAGTTCGTTTTCGTCTAGGGCGAGATCAGTGCTCCAGTCAAATCGCAGACGAGAAATGTCTCAAACATAGTCAAATATCTTGTCATTCGTTGCACGATCATCTTGTTGGAAATAGCCCGGTACAGTTGTGTACTCCAAATACTCGACCTCGGATTTCATGGGTGACATGGGCTGAGCGGTTGGTGCTTCGCCAGACATGATCAGGAAAGCAACTATAAATGTTGCGACAAAGAGTATAGGTCTAATTCTGTTAATCTATGGTCTTGTTTGAAAAGGGTTGACTTGAACCGTTCATACATGATGCAGTTGAGTCTGAAAAAAGATCTAGCCATAAAAAATACTTCCTCTAGAAATAACTCGATGAGCTTCAAGGCTTCAGCGACGTCTAGGTGTGATCTGAGATGTCCACGATTGTTGTGCCAGCAGCTGGCCCTTTCTCTTCGCTTGTCAGCTCAACTCAATTCAAAGGGGGCGAGGTCGGGGTCGGAACGGACCGGGAATATCCGTGTTCAGCCGAAGATGAATTGGGCGACTGGAGCACAACCTGGAAGCTGGCTGGATCGAGGTGCTGAAATTGGCTCTGCGTCAACGTATTAAATGGCGCATTTTGGTACATGCACCGTGCACTAAAGCCACACCTAAAAATCGACCTTTAAAATGTAGAACGATGTTTTTATTTAATATCTAGTCATTTGGCCATTTACCTCAGGACTTTGGCACTCGTGTAGCCTCTTAGTATAATACTTATATAGATGCTCAATCCTGCCTTGATCATACTCTATAAACACCTTTTTAAACCAATTAAAACCAGCTTAAGTTGTATTCGTACGGCGCTTATAAAATTGCCTCTTTAAAGGATGAGCCAGAGTCTCGAGAATAGAGAAATCTGGTGACTTGCCAGGCCCGGTAATAAGAGGAAATTGAGTCTTTTTAGCCCATTTAGTAATCTCTTTACTAGCGTGAGCAGAATTGGCATCTTAATAGAGAGTTAAACCCTTAAATTCGACATCGTTTCGGAGCTTTTCGAGAAGATGGCGATAAGCGCCAGAAGTCATCTTGCCCACGCTATTCTTGACCTTGTACGAGATTACTCTTCGATAATTTAAGCCGACGATAACGAAGATATTTAAGAGCTTAAGGTGCTCGTTTTCTCTTACTTTTGCCTTAATATCTTTAGTCGTTATCTTCTTCTTTCGATAGACGTTCCGAGCCATATATCGAAGACCCCGCCGCCTCTTAACCCTCCTTGTAACCTGTGGTCCTAATCCGAAGTAGAATTCATCGCAAAAAGCAACCTAATACCAGTCTATCGAGTGCTCTCGAAGTCCTCGAACCGAGCCAGGAATACCGATATATTTAAAGGTAAAAAGAAGCCGTACGCTAGCTTAATAATCGGTCAAAAGAATCTCTTCGGTACACTTCGCATTTATAATACCTTCCTCCTTATTTATCTATCTAGCTATAGTCTAAGGGTCTACATCTAGGTCGAAACCACAGGCAGAAGCAATATCTAGCCAGGGCTTTCCACGGTCCTCGAGAGAGACAGATTCATCGTCGATATAATCGGCAATAGCTTGAACACAACCTCGAGTTACTAGCCGAGGTCGCCCTCGAGGGTCTTGCTTATCCTCCGGTATTAAATTGTGAAGCGTCCGACAGGTATTCTCTTTTCGGACTCGCGATTAGGTTCGAGAATGGGCTCCTAGAGCCTTCTTAATATCGGCATCTATAATCTTAATATTATAGGTCTGTGAAATAAGCCTGGCGCCCAGAATGGCAGAGCGTGTTAGCGTTTGAAGATGTTTGTGATCAATCTCGGCAATTAAGCCCTTAGGAGGAGTTACTGCCCTACCTCTAAACTGGTAATCGCGTGGCATTGTTGTAGAAAAGCTGTATTGTGGTGAATAGGGGTAAAACATCGAGTCGCATTTAATTTAGGTGTGGCTTTAGTGCACGGTGCATGTACCAAAATGCGCCATTTAATACGTTGACGCAGAGATTGGTCCCTCGGTTGAAAACAAGCCACGATTTTCCCCGGCTTTTTCCAGTTAGAGCTGCCACCAAATGGCATTATGGCACCAATGGAAGCGCGACTGTCTGTGGCTGAAGCTCCAGCCTGTGACGTCATTGTCCATTTTGTCTGATGATGCATTATTCCCAGCGTACCAATTTGCTCATGCACTATGGAGGAACCATCGGGAGAATAGCAATTTTACTGAGGTTTTGGATTGAACATGTGTAGTAAGTGGCAGCCGCACAGTTAGGTGATACGTAGAGTCTAAATGGTATCCAACAAATGACTACCATACGGTAGGTACTCTGCGCAACACGGTAAACAAACAGCTTCTGAACCTCCATCCAACAGCAACAAAGACCCACCATCGTTGAAGCAGCGCAGTCCCGCCAAAATCTAGGCCTGATGGCTCCATATCCCTGCCGTTTTGAATCACGGGAGGCAACGCAACTTGCAGGGCCCAAGCCAAACGTCATTGTTTTCCTTGATCAGAGCCAGTCTAAGCTCGCTTGCCACTAGCCGGGGGGCCTGCCTCACAGTATATGTTTTCTTGACCTCCCTTTGCTCCTTCTTCCCCCATTCTCATTCTACATCCACGAACTGGCATCTATTCAAGTTCTCGACGAGCCTCCAATTGAAATATTCAACCACCCTCACACATACGCAATCATGTCTCTCTCATGTAAGTGTTTGAATCTCTCAATCGATGCACTTGCGGTGACGACATAGCTGGAAGAGGGGAAGCTTCACGTTCTTAAGCTGTTGAGTTCGAAATGCGGGAGCTCCCTACGGATTGAGCCGAATAGCTCTTTCACGACATTTCAGATCCGGGATAGCTTCATTTCGAATACATACTAACTCCTATTTTCCAGACCTCCCGCCAGTTAAGCCATCGGCTATCGCTCTCGGCACAGTCTTCAACCACGCCGCCTCCCTCGCCATTCTTGGCCCAGTTTTCGGTGACACCTACCACCGTGCTCAGGCCGCGAACTCCAAGGAGGAGTTCATTAAGTCCCGTGAGACTGCCTCCGCTGCTGCTGCATATGGTACCTCTTTGGTCGGAAGCGCCATCCAGGCATATGGTGTTGGTGCTTTGATCAACGCTACCGGTACTCTCTCATACAAGGGTGCTGCATATCTCGGTTCTTTGATCTTCATGGCCAGCTCTGCTCCTTCTGTAAGTTTCTCAGCTGCGATATCTGAGCTTTTCTCGATCAAATCATATACTAACAAATTCCAGTTCATCGCACAGATCTTCACCGAGAAGCGTCCTCTTGACACCGTCGCTGTCGGAGCTGTTGCCCGTCTCTTCGAGTCTGTCGGTCTCAGTTTGTTCCTAACATACTGGGGCACCCGCACCAACCCATTCGACTAAAGGGTTCAAACTTAGTAATGTTGAAGTGGGATTGTAAGAATTAGATGTTATTAATGAGCATGAACATGGTTCATCTCGACTCCCGATGTTTTTCTCGGTGATTTGCAAGTCATGGCCGGTGGTGTATTAGGTTACATAGTTTACGGGAATTGATTCATCGCAAGCGATTTCTTTGTCAGATAATGATTTACACAACGTGAATAAACTCATCCTGTAAATTACATTCTCAGACACAATCAACAAACACAACCAACAACCCGTTTTATGCACTCCTGTAAGAGTAATTTCACTTTGTATAAAGACATCCTTATACCTTGTGCTATTACAGATACTAAAAGTTATTGCCATGTATCAGTTAGACACAATTGTTCCAGGACCGAGAATTTCGTTAATGTGTTAACACAATCCGGCTTCATTCTTCTTACGCCCGCGACTGAGCCTCTTTACCTGGGCAGATGGATAGTTACAGAGCCCAAGTCACAGATTAAGCGTCTTCCATGAATGACTTTTCAGCCTGGTAAATTAATCATCCCGGAAGTGCTCAGCGGTGTACATTTTGTTGCAGAAAACTGAGTCGGTTGCCGAGATGGAATTGTGTTAAGAACTACTTGTATACAGCAGTCTCTAGACATACGGTTGCTGAAAATGAGCGTGCGCATTGATGAAGCCTGGAATTTGTCAGAGATTAAAAAGGACAGTGGAGTTTCCTTCTATCTACTCCGCACTTGCGGTCTCTTGACGTCTCTTATACATCTCCCTATTTCATAGCTGTAATGTTGTCCACGAAGCGAAACTAGTTGAAAAACTTAAGAGTCCTTGCTGCGAAAGTAAAGTTAAAGGGTGACATTCGGTAACAAAGCACTACGTAGTTCAATAATGATTTTGAAATATCTCGATGCTCTAGTTTGCGTGTCCAGCCGAATCTATAACATATCAAAAGCCTTTTGTACGCCATATATGCCAAGATCAATTGAAACATCTCCTACATTTCAAGCCTTGTGACTCTCATCCCTTTCAACCAGATCTCCAACACCAAGTCCCCGGCCAACTCTAACCTTCCTCTTCTTTGGACCTGCATCTCCTCCATTGACCTCGGTGTCACCTCCTTCCTTTCCTAGACTCCCAACTGGCTCGCCCTCGTCCTCGTCCTCCTCATCGACTATCTGCTCTCGAATGAATCCAAGATCCAGCTTCATCGAGTACGCATCTTCACCGTCGGCGTAGTATTTCGCTTCTATCTTCTCGTTCTTGAATCCTAAAGTGTCGCGGTAAAGACGTAGGGCCGCGTTGTTGGAAACACGGACGTGGAGAGATACGTATTGTGCGTTGAAGGTTTCGACCATTGCTCGTTCTACCCAAGACGGAAAGTTAGCATCTCTGTTTGCTCATAATTATCTCTTCTTCGCCGTACGAAAGAACCAGCTATGAGGTCTGGGAAGATATAGACATACGTGACTGCCTCATCAATTTCTCTGCAATGCCCAATCGTCGATGCGTCCTCATTACACTCAACGACGTAATGTGACCATGCTGCACTCCATCCGGCGGATCCTCCTCCATCTTCGCCAACACATATCCTACGATTCTTGGGTAATCATAAGGCGATTTCTTCGGGCGCGAGACATCGACTGCGACGTATGAAAGCTGGGGCCAGGACAGAGCATGGTAGAGGTAGTATTTCATAAAATAACTATTTTTGACCTCTCGTTAGCTTGGATTCACAGGAAGAATTAGAGCGCCATGGGCTGAGATGTACTTTTCGGGCAGATTGGTGATGTTCGCATGCTGCACATGCGGTATATCACTTGGTTTTAGCAGACGGATATCCATCTTTGCTGGTTATTGCGCCGGGTCGAGGAGATCGTAGAGAGGTGCGCAGCCGTGAGGCTGCTTCTAGTGGGCCGTGTCTGTTGCGAGCAAGCTTCTACATTTCGAGGTTGGTAGTGATTGGTGCGGATGGCTGAAGTGGGGCGGTAGCGGGGTGTTTTGGCGGGGTGTTGCTATCGTTAGAACGCTTTTGACCAGACTTCCTTATGATTATTTTTTGATCATTTGATAGTGTATTTTCTTTAAAATCCCACTATTTCTTTGGGCACTCATATAAAGGCGAGCTTATGGGCCAGAATTTTAAATTGCTATTTTCTCCTTGTGGTCTGAGACTTTTTGCTGGCTTTGGGATCTTGTTCGGTACGCAATGGTTTCTGCACAAGAGGGAGAGGGACGAAAAGTCTCAAGAGCCCTTGAAGGCAAGCTCGCTTTGATTACAGGTGCATCAAGAGGTACGAACTAGATCTATTTGATATGAAAATAAGTAAATCTGACATGTGCCTAGGAATCGGTGCAGCAATCTCCCAGAATCTTGCATCTAAAGGGGCGAATCTCATCCTAAATTATACCTCTGAATCCTCAGCCCAGAAAACCAAAGATCTCTCCAAGTCACTGGAAGGTGAACACGGTGTTCAATGTCTCATAATTCAAGCTGATATGGGATCTCCTGAGGGCCCAGTCTCCATCATCACTAAAGCAAAAGAGCAATATGGTGACGCATTCAAACTCGACATTTTAATAAACAACGCCGGCGTTTCTCGAAACCTGTCAATCGCAAATTGCACCATCGAAGATTTCAATTGGCAGTACCAGATCAATGTTCTTGGCCCGCTTCTTCTGATGCAGGCATGTCTTCCATATCTGCCCCACGACCGCTCTGGACGGATCGTAAATATCTCTTCAGTGTCATCTTCAGAGGGGTTTCCGCTTCAGTCAGTCTATGGTGGGACTAAAGCTGCCTTAGAGGCGATGACTCGTACCTGGGCAAGAGAGTTGAGTGAGAGAGCGACCGTCAATGCTGTAAATCCAGGACCTGTGAAAACGGATATGTGGGGTGGAACGAGTGAGGAGTTCCAAGGTTATCTGAGGCCATTTATACAAAAGACGCCAGGAAGTAAAATTAGGAAAGATATCGATGACAAGGATTTGGTCGATGATGAGGAGAGAGCTGGTGGGAGACCAGCGTACGTCGGGGAAATTGCTGGAGTGGTAGGAATGCTCTGTACACCAGATGCCTTATGGACCACTGGTCAAGTGGTTTGTGCTAATGGAGGAATGCGGATGGCGATTTAGAGCAAGTTTTTGCTGCGTGGGAATCTTCGAGATCCAAGACATCAAAGCAATCAAAAGTGATTTCAAGTCTTGTTCTAAATTCGGTTCCATTATCGTGCTTTGCCGTCGATTTTAACTTGTTGAATTCTAACAAAGTCTAGACCTAACACATCCACAATATCACAACAAAAATTCCTTGAGCTTTTTTAGGATATCGAGATAAATCTGATGCAGTGTTCAGGAGAACAGGTTTAAGTCCCTCCCAATCAATGCCTACGTTTTCCAAACGCCGTTCATACAATTGTCCATTGGCTCATCTCAAGGAGCTGCACTTGGCGGTGGGGCTTGCTCTTCTGGAACGGCACCGCGGAGTGGTAACTCTACTTGTGAATTTTGACCAGTACCTGCTTCAACTTTTGCGCCAACCTTCTTGTCTTCTGCGGATTTAGAACTTTCTCCTGTTTCTGCGGCCGCTTTCTTCGCCAGCTCGGCTTCCTTCTTGGCTTTCTTTCGCTCCTTGTCTCTCAACTTATCCGCAGCTTTCTTCACCTTTGCTTCTTCTTCGGCTAATCGCGTTGCCTGCGTGCCTCCGTATTTGAGTCTCCATTCTTCCTCCTTCTTGTCATCAATTTTCGTGAACAGGTACTCAGCTTTTCCAATTTTGTGGCCACCAGCCAGGGAATCAGGAGTCCACTTATCGGTGATGGAGATCAGAGGAGCATTCAACTGCTTCACGATGGAGGCGGCAGTTGAGGGCATGTATGGTGATGATATCGAGGCCAAAAGGTATGCCAAATTGAGCGCAAGTCCAATGATACTTTTTGTTCGTTCCGGGCTTTCCTTCAGATTGGCATTATCAAGACGGCCAGCAAGTATCAGGTTTCCCTTTTGAGATATCTGCATGACCTTCTGAAGTCCAGCTCGCAGTCGGACAGCTTCCATATCAGCAACGTATTCCGCAAGCAGCGAGTTGACCTCTTCGATAAAGTTAGGGAAGTCGAAAGAGTCATCACTGTAAGAAGCTTGAAATTCAGGAATAGTTCCATCTAACTTTGCGTTGACGAATTTGATTAATCGGTTAACGAAATTTCCAAGGTTCGCCAATAGTTCGCTATTGTTGGCAGCAATGAAGGACTTCCACTCAAATTGGGTGTCGCCGGTTTCTGGTCTGTTTGCTAGCAGATAGTATCTCCAAACTGACGGAGGAATACCTGTTTCCTTAACGGTGTCTCCAAATACACCTACACCTCGAGACTTGGAGAACTTTCCGTTTTCATAGTTGAGGTATTCGGTAGTGGAGAGATGGTTGAGCATTGTCCACTTGTCGTTGGTTCCGATTTGCGATCCTGGAAAAATGACTGTGTGGAAAGGCACATTGTCCTTGCCCATGAACTGATAAAGCTTGACATTTTCCGGATCACGCCACCATAACTCCCAGTCTTTCGTGTAATTTGCTGTTATCGAGGGGTAGCCGATACATGCGTCGAACCAAACATATAACACTTTCTTCTCATAACCCGGAAGTGGAATTGGGGTACCCCATTTCAAATCCCGAGTAATGCTTCGACCTTCCAGTCCTTGCTTCAGCCATGATCTAGTGATACTGACACCGTTCTGCGGCCAAGCACCCTCCACACTCGACACGTCGAACCACTTCTCAATATCCCCTTGTACTTTGTCAAGTCTCAGGAAGATGTGTGTCGTCTCTCGCGGGACTGGGGTCGCACCGTCGACCTTGCAATGAGGATTGATTAGCTCGAATGGGTCAAGGAGGCTGCCACATTTGTCACACTGATCTCCTCGAGCATCATCGTACTGGCACTTCGGACATGTGCCTTCCACAAAACGATCGGCGAGGAAGGACTCATGCTTCTCGCAGTACGGCTGTGTGGTTGTGCGCTCCTCGAGAAATCCATTCTTGTGGAGCTTTAAGAAGATATCTTGTGCGATTACAGTCTGTTGCTCTGTTGTTGTGCGGCCGAAATAATCAAAACCAATCTCGAACCAATCGTACACGTCTTTGTGCTTTTTGTGGAATTCGTCGCAGAGTTCTTTCGGTGTTTGGCCCGTCTCGAGTGCTTTCGTTTCCGTCGCGGTACCGTACTCGTCCGTCCCGCATATGTAGAGAGTTGGTCTATCTCTCAATTTGCTGAATCTCGAATAGACGTCGGCACTCAGCACACTGCCGACCACATTTCCCAAATGAGGGACATTGTTAACATATGGCAGAGCGCTGGTGATGAGAATATTATTTTTTCCCTTCTCGGGCAGTATGATCTTCGGGGCCGCCATGGCGTAAAAGATCCAACAAGGTTTTTCCAATTACGTGTAATATGATAACCTAAAGCCGCGAGGGTTGTTGTTTGCGATGTGAGGGCATCGCGGGGCACTTTGAGTCAGAAGCGCGAACCCTGCGCAAATCGCTGGGCCGCATAAACTTCGGTTCCAAACCGGTTTCTGTCAGGTGATCGTAATTATTTGCGACAGCGCCCACCCGCCCAAAAAGTTTGGGAGAATTCAAGCAGAGCGTGTCACGATGCCGAACGAGACCTTCGATGAGATCCTTGGGCTCGAGGAATCTTTCTATGCTGACGGGTACCAAAACGGACTCGATGATGGCATTGTAGCGGGTCGTATAGAGGGAAGAAAATTTGGTCTAGAAAAGGGCTTTGAAAAATACGTCGAAGGTGCGAAACTTTATGGGAAGTCACTGGTCTGGGCCAATCGAGTTCCCCAACTTCAAACAACAGTCTCGAAGCAGGTTGAAGAATCAGAGAAACCCTCCGAGCAAACTCGAGATGAGTTGTCGATTGCTCCACTGCAGCTCCCATCGGTGTCCAACAACCAACGTCTGGTTAAGCATCTGCAAGTGTTACATGCTTTAGCTGAGTCGGAGAGTCTATCAACTGAAAACACCGAGGACGCCGTGTCTGATTTCGACGATCGGTACAAGAGAGCCCAAGCAAAAGCAAAAATTATAGAGGGAATGGTTGGTGAACCGCAACGCGAGACGGAGGTTTCTGGCAAGGTGTTGCCGAGGGGAGATTCGAATATCGAGGATGCCAGCATTGGAAAGCGTATGGATTGAAAGGACAGTAGAAAGTAATTCAGCATATTACTCTACTCGCTGAGGCGCAACCGTTTGCTAAGAGCGGCAAAGGGTATGTGCTTGTCACTCTCCTGGGTTGTGGCAGACAACATTTCAGGACGCGGCCATCCTAATAGCCAAAGAAATCCGCCAGATGCTCGTCAAGAGACTGTCCCAAGCACCAACTACCGTGAGTTGGAGTCGTAGGATTTTGAGGCTTTGATCAAGCAGAATGGTGCTTTTCTGTGTCCTGATACATGGCTCGCCAACAACTAACAATCTTGGGAGATTTCGATGGTCATTCACAGTTTGGATGGAATTGGTCGTTGTCAGAGATCCACATCATAGCAGTGAGTCAGCTAGAAAAGCTTTGTCGATGGATGATTCATTTGTCTTGCCTCCTACCACGGCTCTTATTTCCTGCTTAGTATTACTCCCTGGCTACCTGGAATACTCGCTACTTGATGATTCATTGTTCAGATCGAAGCCACTACTCAACTGGCAGTACACGTTGATTTGATTGACGTTCAAATGAAATATATGTTTCCGAGCATTCGCCTTTGATCAAGATTGTTTTGGGGAGTATAATAAGGTTAGTGGTATGCGTTAAAGTGAAAGTAACCTTGGAAGTCTGTCACCATTGCATTGCAAGCCTAGGGGGCCACCCCCTTACGGTAGAATAATGCTATTCTGCCCTGTCCGTTTTGGTTGCCTTTTAGTTGACATAAAATAATGTCTTCATTGAAAAGGCTAAATATGCCTCCCAACGTCGGCGTGTTGATAAGTTCTCTGCTGAATTATTGTACTTCTTGCACTGGTGCATCGGTCCGTGTTCGCAGAGGACAGAACAAATAGCAGAACCTTCTCACTACAGTCCTAACGTAAAGTATGATATAAGCTTCACTCGTGATTTTATTCTAAGAGCGTGTTGAAAGTTTTATTTACTAAAAACAGTCGACGAAATATCGTACATTTCGTCAACTGTCCGGAGCAAATATCTTGTTTCGATAGCCACTTATATTGTCCACGGCGGGCTGGTACAGCAAAGATGAACGAATGGTGTAAGCTACTTAGGTAGGCGTTGGCTAGGTATTGTGCTAAAAAAAACGTTTTGCAGTCATAGCAGCCGCAACTGGCGTGGAGTACCGACTTTAAGGAACCGTCCCTGCCTACCTAGGTACCTCCTGCTCTCGAATTCACCTTCCGCACGATCTCGATCTAGGTTAACCTTATTACCTCCTTCGCAATTTCTGCTCATCAACTACGTCGCATTGCGTTTGTAAACCGACATCCGGTACAAGCACGTCTGGCAATCGACTCTTCTCCATCCACGAAAACGTCTGATGCCTTTCTCAGTTCTAGACCTCCAGATCGATCAACATGGTATATCACGTGACTACTACCCAGATTTTCCCGGCCGCCCCCAGCGACTCGAATACCGCGCTTTTGGTCTGGTCGAGCGCAGATCCAGTACAAGTACCGCCCACGAACGCACTCGACTTGGAAGTGGACGCTGTTATCGGTGAAGGAGCTGTCAGTAAACTCAATGCGACAGCGATGACTTCACCGGATTCTATGACCATGGCCGCTGCCGCGGAGGCCATGACCAATGGCGACGACAACCCGCGTCGGGCATCATTGTCGCAATCACCACACCGAAACGACAGCGAGCTCGCGCAAACTCAGAACGCAGTGGAGGAGACCCTGCCGGGTGGGGGGATTGTATCTTTTGCTGCATCACCGACCAGAGACCTCGATGGCGGACCTGAGCCATTAGAGGATGCCACCTCTGTCGTCATGGAGAGCGAACAAACCGCAGATGTGCCTTCAAACTCTGGACCGGTTTTGCCAGAAGTCGCTCACGTCGCTTTCGATGCCCCTCTAAACCACGATACCGTCCCAATTCCACAGAATGTAGCTGAGAACCTCGCCGATTGGTCTGAAGCGCAAGTTCCAGAGACAAGTCTCATACTTCCCGAAGGCGAGCTTCTTGACCAGAATCTTATCAGTTCGTACGAAAACGACCACGCACAAAATTTGCTGGCCTTGCAGAACGGGGGAGACATGAACATGGGCATGGCGATGCAGATGGGAATTGGTATGGACATGGGGATGGGGATGGGACTAGGATTGGGATCACAGCTTGCAGCACCATATCTTGAGCCGTCGCCTCAGGTTTATGAGGAACTACAGAGCAGCAGAGTCTCGGCATACGCCAAGCTAGTATTTGACGACGGGGAGTTTTACATGAACACATATTCGATTGTTTTAGGCCGGGATGTGAATGCAGCCAAAAATGCACTTCGGCGGGAGAAAGAGGAGGAGCGCGCACGATTAGAATCAGAAGCCTCTGCGCGAGCACCCATTCCGCATACGCCGAGATTGAAGAAGGAAGGCAGTCGTTATACGAAGTCAATTGTCAGTGAGAGTGGGGGTATATTGCGAGACGGAAATGATTCGGATGATGAAGAGGATCGGAGGAGACGAAAGAGCCGTAGATCAAAGAAAGCCAGCAAGAGGTCCAAGTCCAGTGAATCATCCCAACACCTGTCAAGAAGGAATTCACTCGCACATTTGGGAGGTCAAGTTGTATACAATACCTACGCCCAGGCTCCAGCCAAACGTGCCGCCTTAGATACCGCCGTCCCAGTCGACCCAGAGACTCTGAAGCCGTCTCCGCATGATTGTCCCTTAGTGGGAATTCATCCTGCGGCAAAAGACGGCGTGCATGCTCCTCATAGCGCCTACAAGTCTATTTCGCGGAGGCATGTCAAGATTGCCTATAACATTCGGAAGAATTACTGGGAAGCGGAGATTCTTGGGCGAAATGGTACTTTCATCGACGATAAATTCTGTCACTATGAGCAAGTTATTTGTCTTAACAGCGGTAGTGTCCTTCAAGTTGGTGGCGTTGTAGTTACGTTTCTTCTTCCGGATATCCCAATTGGAAAGACAGGAGCCGAAAAGCCAGAGTTCGAAGACAATGTCAGTGCTATTCGGCATTCTATAGGAGGCAAAGAGATGAGCTTTGACTTCGAAGACGATCCTCGTGAAGGTGGCATAGGCGATTCTAGCGAAGGCGAGGTTGAAGGTCGATCTGCGGACATTGAAAGCGACGATGAGGATGAGAGAGAGCGAAACGGAGATAGTGTCGATGATCAAGAGGCGCAAGACGATGAGGAAGATGAGGATGAGGGAGAAGAAGCCAGCTATCAATCTATCCCTATGGACACGGATGAGGCCATGTTACATACACCACAACAGCAAGGCGACCTGGTTGCGATGCCCCCAAAGAAAAGGGGACCTGGGAGACCACCTAAAAACGGCATCATGTCTAAGCGAGAACAACAATTGGCCAAAAAGGAGGCATTGGCACGTGAGAGAGAGGGGGAAATGGATAAGTCTGCAAAACCCGCGAACGGCCAGCCTACAGTTCCTGGAAAAAACAAGGTCGGCCGCCCCCGCAAGCATCCAAGGCCAGATACCCCCCCAGAACCGCGCGAGAAAAGAAAATACACCAAGCGAAAGCCAAAGGAGCCTAAAGAGGGAGACGCTATTAAGCAGGATGGTTCCGGTGGCGAAGAGGCACCTGCCAAAGAGAAGAAAGAGAAGAAACCACCTAAGCCTGAAAGATCCCCGTCTCCAACCTTCGTTGAGTCGGAACTTACAGAACAGCAGCTTGCAAAACCTCAAGCCAATTATGTCACACTCATATATGAGGCTTTACACGAGTCCAAAAATGGACAAATGTCGTTGCCCCAGATATATCGTGCTATTCAGCGGAAATATCCCTACTTTGTTCTCAAGGTTCCGACAAATGGGTGGCAAAGCAGTGTACGACATAATTTATCACAGCATCATGCTTTCCGCAAGATTGAACGAGATGGTAAGGGCTGGATGTGGGGTATAGTCCCTGGAGTATCTATCGAAAAGGAAAAGAAGAAGAGGGCGTCGCCGCCTCCTCAGTCACATCCAGGTTTGTTACCTCAACAACAAGCTTTCTATCAACCTGGACATCCGCCTCACATTATGCCGTTTGGACAACACGGTACAATGGGTCCACCTCCCGGTTATCCAATGCAGCATCAACTACCACCAAATTATGGTCAAGGACAATACCCCGGGCAGCCTCCTCTTCAGCATCCGCAGTATATACCGCAACCACCTCATATGAATGGTCACTCAATCGCTCCCGGGCCTAATCATCAGGTGCATCCAATGCACATTAACGCACAACACGCACCGCCATTTATGCCTCCAGTCGCACCTCAGCTAATGGCAAACACTGGTGGCACTTACAGCTCACCATATGGGCCAAAGCCGACACAAACGGATTCTCCAAAACCACCGCAACCTCAGATGTCTGAACAAAAACCGCCTCCTGTCATCACATCGCCGCCTAAAAATGCCGACCAACCTGTAGCGCCTACTCCACCTGCGCCTGTTGAGAAGGAATCTCCATCTTCTGAGGATTTCCGATCTGCCATCGAGGGCAGTGTCGAGCTCAATGCTGCTGTTGAGAGATTCAAAACGAATCTGATTGATTCTCTGAAAATCACCAAGACCTTGGATCCTGAAAAAATTGTTAATTCTGCAATTAACAGAGTCCTAGGTCGTGCCACGGTAACCTCCGTTCCCGGTGATTCGGAGGCTTTGATCACTAGAGCTTTCAAAAACATGCTAGTTACCAACATGTCAACGCTCAAGTATACACCAAACCGTTCATATGTTGCGGATCCTCCACGGGACCAAGAAAGGAAACATAGCTCGCCTCAACCTCTGGCGAATCAAAACGGAACACAAACTAATGCAGCTCAACATACTACAGCAACTACTGCTCGTCCAATTATTATGCGCCCTACTTTCAGCAGGTACGGACCAAATCGCTCGGGGCCAACATCTATTCCGCGGCCTCCAATGACAACACCTGGTATTAGAAGGACCGAATCTGGTAGTCCAGCTACTACATCTGTTATGCCAAGAGTCCCATCTTCAGCATCTCCCGTTCCTTCTGCATCACATTTATCTACGAGTGGAGCCAGCGCATTGCAACCCGCAGCAGATGAAGCACCTCCGGTCGTTGCAAGCGTGCCGTGCGAAGCACTTCCAGCTGCGGGTGTGAAGAAGGAACAGTTAGTTGACGAGCAAGCTGTAAATGCGGCACAAGACTCTAGACCATTCAATCCATCTGAAAGTTCCCTATCCGGGACGCAGATCATTGGTCAAAAACGGGAACGTGAGCCAGACATGGACGAGATGCCAGATGCCAAAAAACTTGCTATCTCCGCTCCGCCGGAACTTACTGCGTAGGACGAGAATATCTATATCTTTTGAAATACAGCACTTCGAGTGTATGTATGTGGTCAGGTGGGTTAATAAGGGGCAGTTGGACTGGGAAACTTATCTTATCTGTGGCGAATGGCATTTTTGATAAGTGTTGATGCAACTTGCACATGCTTGGTAGGCGTTTGCGGGTACACGTATGTTATTGGGAATTTAACATATTGGTGTGATAAATTTACCATTGTATATATCTACAATCGATATTTGTGGATATTATTCCGTGAATATTATTCCGTGAATATTATTCCGTGAATATTATTCCGTGAATATTAGATTTCATTGATCAGAAGAAGTCAGAAGTATTGTTTTTGTCCCCTATGACATCTCTGATAGTTATCTTCATGTGGGGTTTCTTGAATTGCCTTGATCACGTTTGAGGTAACTGAATATTCATAATAAATACTGTCCAGATGCACCAGGGAAGAAAGTTTCTCAACTTGGTCTCTTTGGATTGGTAAGTACAAATATGATGATATCTCTGCCTTCGTGAGATTCGGTTTTAGTTACTAGCTGAAATCAGCGAACTTCGCGTGAAGCATCATAGATATTATGTTTGTTCATCTAGTTCTGTGCAGAAATTGTTACATCGTGGCCTGGACTCCTGGCAGAGAATTTGTCATGCCCATCGGAATAGAAAATGTATTCCTTTTGCCCCTAATTTGCAGGAGTTGTTTACCAATATTTGCATTTGAGATACTTTTGGTCTATCACTTTCATGTTATGACATGTTGGTTTTCAAGACATGTAATTCTAGACAAGATGGACCCGTTAGGCCAATTTCCCAATTAACGAAACTCAAGGCTATACATACCGTTTTCCACTTGCATATTGCGTCTGGTATTTCTGTACTACAGCGAACAGATTAGTGTAATCTACAAAACCTCTGAAAATGTGAGTTTTTCCACCATCCTAAATTATCACTAGGAAGAAAACGTCGTAAAATCTCATCATATCATCTTATAGGCTGCAAACTTGACATGCTTTATTCTTCATATAGTGTTCATTGGCTGATTTACTGCTCCGGTGTTGATGAATACAAATTCAAATATAGTTGAGTCCAACATGTTTACACTAATCGATATTTCAAGATACTTTAACTGAGAGTTAGCAATCAAGCCTTTTGCATCTAGTCTAATAGCAGCTTGGCCAAAATCTAGCGACTCTATACTGTAAATTAAGAACAACCTTTTACTCATATGCCCAGAACTACGGATGTGTAAGTGCCAATGAACGTGGATGGTGTTTTACAGAAATGCATGAACTAACCCTGGTAATAGCTGTTGTATTAACTGATGTCTGAGTTGAATATGATGTGCTACGAGAAGTAAAAAGAATAAAAAATGAACCGAGCGCTTGAAAGTGTCTCTCTCACCTGGAGACATGCTACGTGATTAACGATTTCTTGTGATCATTGAAATCAACCACCCTTCGAACATAACTACAAAAATTTCTACTACGTGGTGAAGAGTATCGAAACGCAACTAATTGTCATGTCGATTACGTGCGTCACAGGGGTTTTGATTCCTACACGTTTTGTTAGAGGCACTTCCACCTATCAGATGGTCAGCCCCATTAAGGCTTTCGGCCTACTTCAACGACCATTGACATCGACGCCTCTTGTCTGTCCCAAGGCCCACAGTTGTATTGACTGAAAGGGTAAATTAAAAAGACTTGTTATGCATTTGAAGGTTGGCAATACGTGGATGGCTGACCGCAAAATGCACTGGGCGTGGAATAAGCCAACTGACTCGAGCTAAATGTGTTTTGTGCATGACAATGGTTATCTATATACAATCGATGATACGACGAACAGAGGACTCTGGCATGAGCGCTACACCGCTCCTATCTCAGGTGAGAACCCTCCGATTTTAGCTACGTGATGGATTCCACCTTATAAAACCCACAATCATTCTGTTCGATTTGGCTCTCCAGCATATTAAGGCGTAAAGAGATGCCATCCCCATGCAAGTCTCTTACTTTGCGCTCACCGACTGCTGTCATTTCAGATTTAAAGATCTTCCCCTCCTGAAACTCTATATCTTTATGGTTTTACAGAAGTCCACCTCACAATAATACTTGGAACAGCCAGATGGATATCTAGAAACATGTCCAATCAAGAATTAATCAGATACTGGATACCGAGTTTCGAGATCAATAGAAAAGTGATCACACAGGAGTTGCAATATCACCTCGGTCCCGAGGCAACAATAAGACCGTACACTCAAATGGTACCGCCAACCTATTTTTTGTATTATAGCTTACTTACTCCAAATTATAGGGACAAGATGGCTATCTCATTTCGTCGCCAGGACCTTGTCTTACAGACGTACGTACGAGAGTTTTCCATTCGGCCGTACTATTCGGGTTGCGCTCCTACTGATATGGTTGTTTGAAGGAGCAAATAGACGATATCTGCCTCAAGAGCAGAGAAGTGTGGGAGAAGCAAGCAGCGGCCAGGTCAAAGAATGGACCAAACAAGGATCTTAAGAGGCCACTGCACCAGCCAGTGATTATCTCTCGAGGGTCAAGCTCAAAACCTGGTCCACCAGAATCGAGACATCGGCATCTAGGCGATCGTGGCGAGGAACCTTCGAGACGCAGTGTAGGCGAACAAAGAAGGGTAGACTCCTCCCACCGGCGGTAAAAATGGACATTGATAATTCAACACCTTTGAGTCTTCTCCTAGTACCGGGCGGTCAGGGTTGTGATGGATTTTTGGCATGGCATGGCAAGATGGTATTTGGACCATTGCGTCGGCTAAGTCTGCTTTGGCGCTCCTAGGTCAAACCTTGCCACTGATCAGACTGCTCTGCAATTTGATCTATGACACGGCCGGTTGCAAAGGAGTCATCGCCCTATGTCTCTCGTACCTGGTCTCGAGGACTGCTTTGGTCGCGAGGGGTGTTTGTGACGTCGTATGATAATTCCATAAAACCATCACTACATTTTCTCAATACCAATGAAGCAATGTACGATGCCATAATATAAGTCGGGAGCTGCAAAGGGTGCTTTCCTTGTACACGTGCTGCGACCCTCACCACAGTGAGAATTGCTTATAGTTGCCAAGCAGTGCAAAGCGTAACGGACTTGGTTAGGACCGACTAAGTAGGGTCTCTCCCCGTCTTTGTGTCTATCTCACAAAGTTTGTCGCGCCTTTGCTGATCAAGACTCTTTTCGTAGCCGTGTAAATCGAAGGATCCTGCGGACCATAGCAATAGGGCCTGAACATAGACCACTGTGATTTCTGGGAGAGTTCGATGGGCTGAGCGCACAGCAGTGATATAGCCGATCACATTGACCCATTCCCCAACTCGGGAATGACCAGCGCTCATTGTTCGGAGGAGAAGCTTCACGTCTACGTGGACTTGAACGGAACTATCCTTGGGATACTTGTGTTCCAGGATGCATGTCGCCGATGTGCTTGAATAATCTTGGATGCTGTATGTATGGGGCATCAGCACTTTTGGATTTGGATTTGGGTGAGCTATATGCTGGAGATACCAGCATTGATGTTGCTTATATGATGGTAATTCTCATTGAAGGTAACTGACCAGCCTAAAAAGCGGACCTTGTCACCTACCGCGAGATGTGGGAGATCAGAGAGCAGCATGAGGTTGGTCGGAAGTGGTCCATTATGAAGTCCGGCCATTTTGGCGACGTGAACCAAACTTGCTGTCTTCATGGAACAATGATTCGGAATCATCTACTACATACCTATGTAGGTAGTAGGCACCTAAGCAGTCGACGAGAGGTTGCGAGGTGATACATGTCAACGCGCGTCAAGACGAGGGCAGTTGTTATCACGTGATCAGATCGTATTCACGCTTCAGCGCGATTCGACAAACGGTACGGTCACCTAGATGTTCGCTTGATACGAGTAGCGTCATGGCTCCAGGTCATCCACCGTTGGCTTGTGTAGGCTCCGAACCAAACAGCATCAAAGTCAAAAAACAACCCAGCTCCAGCCACCACTCTTCACGAGAACCTGCCATATCGTTGCGACTCGATTTCCGGATCGCCAGCGACGCCTTCCTACAATCACTCCCTCCACGGCTCTCTTTGTCTCTCCAAGGCTCCTCGGCAACCCCCACCAAACCCACCTGTCCGATAACGTATTTCCCATTGCACGCGGCCTCGAAAGTGCTCACAATAGCGGGTGTGCGTTGAAGGGCCCTACAAGCCGACTATCTGCCCAGGTACCATCGTAACAGTCCCAGAATCACCTCTACAAGATGTCCGGCGTCTGGGGTTGGTTCGGGGGGCAGGGCTCTCAGAAGAAGAAGGACTCCCCGAAAAATGCCATCCTCGGGCTCAGATCCCAGCTGGAGATGTTGCAAAAGAGAGAGCGACACCTGCAGAATCAGATGGATGAGCAGGATGCAATAGCGAGAAAGAACGTAAGCACGAACAAAAACGGTATGTATGTGCCATAATGACAGTGCCGGGCGAGTTGCCTGCGAATGTCATTCAACAAAATGCCATTTCAGTGACCGGCAGACACTTCCTGAGCATGGCTGACATGATGAGACAGCTGCGAAAGCCGCCCTCCGCCGCAAGAAGCAGCATGAGCACACTCTCGAGCAGACTACGGCGCAGATTGCAACACTAGAACAACAGGTGTACTCGATCGAGGCGGCAAATATCAACAGGGAAACGCTCATGGCTATGGAGAAGGCCGGTAAGGCAATGGCAGATATACACGGTAATCTCAATATTGATAAAGTGGACGAGACAATGTATGTGGATTTATTTCCTGGGCATCTATCAAGAGACTGGTTGCTGACTTTGCTGCGTACAGGGAGAAACTCCGGGAACAACACGCTCTGGGAGAGGAGATTGCCAATGCAATCACAAGCACACCTATGGGCGAGCCTATTGACGACGACGAGTTGAACGAGGAATTAGAAAATTTGGAACAAGAACAACTTGACAACGCGATGATTGGGACCGGCCATGTACCGGTATCCGACCAAGTACACCGATTGCCTGCCGCGCCTAATACAGAGAGTAAGTTCGGTTTTGGTGTTTTAGTGCGCGTCTTTAGTAACACTAGCTTTAGCCAAATCGAAAGCTCCGGCACAAGAGGACGACGAAGAGGAAGAGCTTCGAAAGCTTCAGGCAGAGATGGCTATGTGACGGTATTCCTGTTTTCGTGAACATTGGGTCATCAGAATAGATCTCCTAGGATTCATCTTTTAGCTGCGGGTATTTGCATATTCCGGGTGGTCGTTTATCTGGATAGGAAGCTGAGACAGCCGATATAGAGCTTCCTCGGCCGACCTACACTACACTCTATGACGGCGTTTTAGGATCTGCTCTTTATGTTAATACCAAATCTTAGTTTGTTCAATCACTTCACTGTCGCTCTCACACGCTAAAGGAATTGGCATCGAACACACTATGTGATCTCTGTGTGAAGGATTATATGTCTTTCAATCTTTGTCAATGGCAAGACTACAGCAACCGCTGAAGGTCGGTTCCATAATGAGCCATATTTAACGCTGCAACAAGACATATGCAGGAGTCGCCTAACTGCGACGATAATGTGAAATACGATAGAGCCTCCCCAGTCCTCCGTCGATAGATTTCCGACAAGTAAACAATCGACACTGCTCTATAGACTGCTGCAAAACTAGTCTTCGAAAGTATCCATTGGGTATGGTTGGATCACATAGAGTGACAGCCCGCTCGTTCTATATCTCTGAGATATAAGTCGGCTATTCGACGACGTCTACAATGTATAGTACGTTGCATATAAAAGACTCGAAAACTTGCTTGCTGCTGTTGAAACGAATGCAGTCAAGTCAACTACATACCTAAGGAAGGTAGTTTGTCGGTTAGGACACTATCGACCCGACGATGGACGGATTTTCGAGACAAGAACCAGGTAAGGCTCGTCAGGACCATAGATCAAATATGAGATTGCTCTTGACTTGATCAAGGAGATATCGTGTTTCGACTGCCGCTTATCTATTGCGGACGAAAAAGCCCGTCGAACACGTAGCACTACTGAGCCGGGCTGCACGAAATCCGCGGGATGACGGGACGTGGTTATTGGGCTGCTAATATCGTTGGGCCGCATTCGGGAGCGACGTCGCTTAAATTTCGTCGCTGCCCTTCCCCTTCTCCATCACCACCACCACCACGCTTGGGAGCTCAGTGCAATGTGGCTGCGGTGCACCATTAACTCGCATGGGTTACCAAGCACGACAGCGGTCATTTGGACGACTGATTTTCCCAGGCCGTGGGGTGATTCTGCTTCGTAGAAACCTTGCAAGCTTCCAAAGCAAAGAAGGAGGTGCGTTAGCTTTGCTCGTTGCGGTGTTTATATTCAATTCCTTCTACTAACAACGTCTGGATTACCCTTTCCGGTTTTTTTATACTTCAACGACTGAGATTCGTCAATATACACCAAGAAGCCCAGTTTCGGCACCCTTATCGGAATAGCAATGATACTTGCGAGTCCACTCACAGCCAGATTGTCCTAAGGATACCTTAAGATATCTCCGGCGAGGTAGGAAGCATCAAGAAGATTTGTCCGTTTCTGCGCCCTCTTTCTTGGATGCACGCAGATATCGGACAGTGCCATGGAACACGTTTCCTTCTGTCCGTACCGGATTGGCATCAACTTCAACTGGTCATCGGTTCAGCAAACCGAGCACACAGCGCCAGTCTTCTTTACCGGCAAGCCAAGAGATGTGAATGTTGCCGAGGTTTGTAAGGAAGTTGAGGAGAAAAGCAAGGCAGTTGAACCTCAAAGTATAGTATAACAGTCAGCCATCTTTACTCGGTCCTGACCTTGCGTCGTAGAAGAAGACGAATCATCGCCGGAAGCCAGCATCGAGATTGTCACGGAAGATGTCCAAGACCCAGAGCCGCAGGCGGTAGACCAAGATGAATCATGTGTAGATGAGGAGCCTGCCGTCGATGAGGCCCCCTCTCCTGGCCAGGAAGCTTCCGAAGACCTACACCACGCAAACCACAGCATTGAGCCAGAAGTCGTGCCAGAAGCGAAATCAGAGCCTGAAGAGACCCCAGAAGGACTGGCTGCGGAGGAATCTGCGTGTGATGAGATAACGCATCCTGCTGAATCGATCGAACCCTGCCCCGAGACCCTTACAAAAGAAGAGACATCACGCGCGGATGGATCCCTAACGGATGAAGATCTAGCCCCCACATCTGACGAAACATTATCAGCAGCAGTCGAAGCGCCATTATCTATTGACGCCTCTCCCCCACCAATTGAGGGCCAAGAGCATTCGACTGAGGATAGTATAATAGCCGAGGGCACATCTACAACAGTTGCCGAAGAGCCACTACCGTTACCCGAGAATGCTGCACACCATGGAACTGAAGAAACTCCTGTACCGCCAGCCGAAGAGTTATCAGTACTGGTAGCTGAAGCTTCTGCACAACCTGTGGAAGAGCCACCGCTGCACTGTGAGAACACTGTAGCAGCAGCCGTCGGAGAGGTCTCTGCGCCACCTATCGAGGAAGCAGTACCTCATTCTGACGAAACAATAACGCAGGGAACTGAAGCATCTTCTGCGGCGCCGTCAACCGAAGAGGCTAACTCCGCAATAGATGAAGCTGCTCCTACACCAGTCGAGGAACAGCCATCTTCTCCCGAATCTGCGGTGACTCAGGGGATTGAAGTATCTCCCGCGCCGCCAGCTGAAGAATCTACGTTACCGGTAGATAAAGCCTCTCCAACGCCAATTGGGGACCAAGTATTTACTCCTGAGGATACTCTAGCAATAGTAACAGAAGAAACTGCTGCGCCTATTGCTGAGGAAATAGTACTGCTGGTGGCAGAGCCAGTTCAGCCGCATGAGGAGGTAGCGACGATTGCCGTTGAAGAAGTATCCACATCTTTGGTTGAAGGTGCAGTATCCGTGGCCGTAGAACAAGCAATTCCTGTCGAGACATCAGCAGCATTCATAAATGAAGAAGCAACCCCCCATCCAGCCGAAGATTCGACCAGTCCAATCGAGATTGCCATAGTGTCACCAACTGAAGAAGCAGTTCCACCACCTGTCGAGGAATTAGTAAATAAAAACGCAAATGTTACCGTACCAGCAACTGACGCACCATCGCCGCCGCCAGTCGAAGAGACCACTATCCCACCAGAGGAAACCGCGGAAGCTCCGCCTCCAGCGGAAGTACAAGCAACACCACCCGAAGATATTGTAAGGCCGGCTGTAGAAGAAGGCTCCCAATTACCAGTTGCCGAACCAGTGCCAACCGAAGAGTCCTTCGTACAGCCAGCAGAAGAGCCAAAACTAACAAAGCATTTATCCTCGCATTCAGTACATTTCGAGGAAGGGCTGAAACAGCCAGATGACGCAGGTCCGAAAGTCAGTACCGAGGCAAATACAAGAAAAAACGACAAGGAAAGGGATAACTCCTCAAAGCATGAAAAACAACACGGAAAGAAGACAACCGGCAAAGATCTATCGAAGATCCTGGTCAAGAAGTCAAAGAAAGGCGACATGAAAGCTTCGGAGAAGAAAGATCCCGAAAAGCTGCACTTGCTTTCTAAAGTGGAAAATCTGAAAATTCAAAAGGGCAATAGCGCAGTGAAGAGCGACAAGATGGCGAAGAGAGATAGCAAGGAAGTGAAGAGGGACAGCAAGGAAGTAAAGAGAGCTGAGGAGAAGAAGGCGAAGGGAAAGAGGGAAGCAAAAATGCCTGAAAGTGGTAAAGTAGATCATGACCCAAAACCCCAGAAGAATGAGAGCGTGAAGGAGAAAGTCTCGAACGAGGCAAAAGAAAAGAGGAAGGAGGAAAAGAAAATTCTCAAAGAAACAAAAGTAAAAGAGGTCAGAGAAAGGAAGGAAAGTGAGGATAGGCTCAAACAGGAGGAGAAAAGGAAGCAAGGAAGGAAGAAGGAAGAAAAGAAGCAAACGGAAAATAAAGAGGTGAATGACCCCAAGAAGAAAACGAAGAGAGTGACAAAATCGGAAGACATGGAGGAAAAGGGGACTGAAGAGGGTATTGATGTCAAAAAGAAAACAAAAAAAGTGATGAAATCAGAAGAGAAGGACGAAAAGGGAGATAAACCAAAGCCAGAGACGACAGAAATCAAGATGAAATCAGAGAGTCCCGAAGAAGTAAAGGGGAAAATCAAGAGCAAATCTCGAACCAAGGGCTTCTTTTTCCTGTAAGCATTGATGGCCTTGTACAATAAATGTAAGCGGGGTCGAAGGAAAAGTTCCTCACAGGAATATTCGAAATTGATAGGAAAATTTCGAAAGGAGTTGTGGCTCACTTTTAGCTAATTGCATCACCTCGCGAGGCTTTCGAGTCCACTCATTGTTGAGTCTTGTGAATCGTGAGCCCTACACAGTCGATTACTGACGACTGAACTATGGAGTATCATCTGTTCAAACCGACCATGCATAATTACCCATAGGCTCCTTAGCCTGAGAACCTCGTAATCAGATATTGGGTTACTCTTTCGCGCCCCCCTCTTCCTGAACAACCTCTACATCATTTCCCTTGGTAGCATCTTTGGCACTATCATCGATGTCCAAAGCACCCTCCTTATTCTCCCAGCTTCTAGGTCTCACGACTTTCAGAGCAACACCACAGCCCTTAGCATATATTCGGAGACCGACGACGGCGACAGCATTCCAAGGATCAGCCTCAAATTCGTCTTCACTCTCCTCCACTTGTGGATTCTGCATAGCACGCTCGTCGGCTTCTTCCTTGGCCTGTAAGGCTCGGTGATGGTTCAACTCAATCATGTCTTCGGCAGCAAATGTCGAAACAGTAGATACGGTGGAAGATATTGATTCGAGATCTGAATCGCTGTCCGTGGCGTCTTCTTGGGCGTTTGGAGCAATAGCTGTTGATTCCATTTGAGCGGCTGCTTGGTCGTTGTGATCATCGTGAACTTCTGCGCTTGTAAGCACGGGATTCTGTTCCGACTTGGATGTTGAAGAATCATCCTCGACTATCTCATTTGTAGGCTCAGGGGTTTCATCGGATATCGAGGTTGAGGATTCTTCAGTTGGCTTGGCATCGAGTCCCACGCTGGCTGGCAAGTTCCTTGCCTTCTTTGACTCGGCCTTTGCTTTTCGTTTGAGCGCAGCCGCTCGTCGTCTCCGAGCCTGTCGATTTTCTCTAATTTCACACATCAGCTAATCTTCTCGCTAACGGAGTTAATTGCAATAACTGATATTACCTGTGACGATCCCTCTGTTTATGAGTGAACATAACCTTCTTCATCCGTTTGATGACTTCCGTTTTTTCTGCCTGTCGGGCTTGTTGCTTAGCTTTTTTTTCCTCTTCTGTTTCGAATATAACTCCTTTAGCGTGTGCCATGTCGTAGGAAAGACCAACTCGCAACACCTTCTCACGGCGGCCTTTTACGTTGTCCCGAAGAACATCCTCGGGCGGAGAAAGCTCTGAATACTTTTCTGCCTCCACTTTCATGAGAACATGATATTCGCCAGCTTCAAGCGTAAGCTCAGCGGAGACGGACCTATTCAAATTAACATTTAGGTCAACTCTTGTCCTGCTCTAGGACGGTCACAAGTAATCTGAATTTTCGGCGAACACTTACCTCTGCATACGATAAATGCTCCGACTGCGAACAATATAATCCTCTTTCCCAGCCCTGTGTACTCGAAAAGCGAGCCAGAACCTGTACTGGCCCTCCAGGCCACAAAAATATCGATCATCCAACTGCCCTTCCAGTTAGCCGGGGTGGTCAAATCTTGCTCAGTCTGACGCGACGTAAATCACTTACTTGAGAGAGAACTATCACAACCGAAGCCTCCCTTTCAATCGTGAATGAAACTAGACGGAAGGAAATCAGCTTTTGTCTATCTCTACCGGAACGGTTCTCTCTGAGTTATCATATAGCCCCATTAGAGCAGACACTTGTCATCCAAAAAAATGGGCTTTGAGCTTTGCTAAAGTGCAAACCAGAGCCCAGGGCCATGGGCGCTTCTACCTCAAAGCAGGTGTTTTCCGGGTTCCCACTCGAATATTCCTCCTCAGGGTGTGACCCAAGAACTTTCACAAACGCTTCACTACTTTTGTACTTACACTTCGTCTCATTGTAATCCACAGACCAGGGGACTGTGAGGGAGGTCCATTGCTGGGTGACCTTCCATTCTTCTGAAAACAGACGAGTGCGGTCAAATATCTGGTAGGTCCTGAGAAGGTCCTCGTACGTCATCCAGAATTGGCCGTCGTCACCAAAACGATGTTCTAACTTCTGGATCCAATACGGTGTCCACTCCTTGCTACCATCACCTACAAAATTTAGTGAACCAGTGTGAGCTGTTAGGCCAAATTACTAACTCCATGCTCCAGTCCATTCTTTCTGACCCCATGGGTTTCGAATAAGGCAGAAACGTTTGCCGTCCGCTTCTACACACCTCATGATCGAGTAGGCATGCCCCTCAAGGACACTGGAACAAGTCAGCATACTTTTCTTCTCAATTAACCTAGATCCGAGATCCGAGGCCAATGAACAAACTTCCCCCTGGCTACTCAAAATGGGGGCCTGAAAAGGAAAATAATGGGAAAAGCTGTATACCCCTTTCGATCCCCACGCCCAGCGAATTGGCCACCAAAGATGCCGCTGGCACACCCAAAAAGGAACTCCTCGTTGACTTTCAACAGTTCCTCTCTCCAAAAATAATCTGTATCTAATATATCCGTTGTATAGACTTCGCTAGTGACTCCTCCTGTCAGATCCTCCAACCCTTCACCCGTGAAACCACCTGATATTGCGGAGAAATCCTAATACAGAGTTATTTCAATATAATCGAGGAAACAGGTTTATTGTTGAATGGGCTCCTTACACCATGAGCTTTTGCATAAGCCTGCGTTAAGAATGCTGTATTAGTATATATGAATAGATAAAGCATTGAGACTGAGCGGGATAGGAGTGCATGTTATTTTGAAGACTTTGGTCTTTAATGATGAAACATCCTCGACGAACGTGACATGTTATGAAGGATCAACTCTACCTTTTCAAGCAACGGAAGCCAAGTTTCGTTAGGATCACTGCATTGTGCAAAATAGAGTGCTTTTGAGTTCGTCTATTGCTGTTAATTAAGCACATCCACTAGGAATTAGAGGGTTCGAAAAGAAATGTTACAAACATGATAAGTTTTGCGATAGAGTTCTTGGCCGTCGACAAAGCTATGCTCATCGATGAATTCTCGCGTCAAGTTGCTTTCAGTGTAGCTACATTTATGTATCTCAGTGTTAGCAGTGTCGTCTGGGGTAGAGTGCGCGGTGAAAAACGAAGGAGTTTATCTTTGCCACAACACGAAGCAAATTGATGAATAGTAATCCCTATGAAAGTGACATACTCGGGTTTAATGAGATAGAGTTTGTCGTCAATGATCTCGGAGATCCATTCGCCGTCTCTGTGGAAAACGAATCCATCTAGTGCACCACTACTCAGCAATTTTTCATTCCGAATATTACATATCTGGTATCGCAAGATTATGGGAGGCAGAGTGACTTGTATACAAGCAAAAGACTTGTTTGGCAAAATAGGAGAAGGGTCCCTTACACACTGCAAAATATTATTAGTACACATTTCCTTTTATTAGCTTTGAGACATGGATCCATGTCCAAACTCCGATTATGCTCCAAGCCACTGAGGTAGGAGCTTACAGTAGAGATAGAAGGGAAATATTACGTGCCTCCAACTTTTTCGTCCCTTGCGACACAAACTTTTTCGATAAGCCCTGGCTTGTTCCCTAATGTGCCCAAAGCAGCCACTACAAAGCATTCATCAGTCAGTCAATGTCAAAAAAAGAGCCCCAAATAGCGCCATACAAAGCCAACAGTCACCATCTCTTCCTTGACGTATGTCACTTGCAGTAGGGCCGTCACTAAAAAATTTCGGGCTTTCGAAGATGTCGGTGACCCTTTTTGTTGAGAGTGGTGTGTAGTTGCACTCGTTGTCGTTCAAACTCCTTAAACAGTCCCGCTGCCCAGCTTTGAGGTCGAATTCAATGTTGAAATGATTATCCGAATATTTTTGGTTGACCCGCCGGCATTCTTTGACTATCTTAGCCACCTTGTCTCTGCAGGTTCCGGCGGCCGCTTCGTAAGATGATACAGCATCTTCACCTTGAACGACACCCTTTGGTGCATTTTCTCTGGCCTTCTCTGCATACAAATTCTTAGGCAGTAAAGCATACGCTTATCTTTTTTTTAGCAAAAGTACACCAGTGACCGAGTGAATTTACTGAAATATACCTTTTCCGGGGGTTTTTGAATCGAACTTAGCCCAAAACTCGTCAACTGTTTGCTGTGGTGCCAAATGTTTTGCTTTCTTCGACCCCATAATGGCTGGAACAAGCATTATAGGTTTATCGCGACCATCCAGCGAGTCCGCCTGGCCGTACATAGGAGCCGATACCCCGGTGCATTGGTCGTTATCCTCATTATCTGCCATTTTTATTTCAGGAGGTCTATTGTTGTGGATGCTTGGGAAAAGTCGTATGCTTTCGTGTTTGTCTTAAATGGAGGGCCAGCAAATTTGTATTTCACTGTGACAGCAGAGGAAGATGGCTAGGATGGGCAATATCATGCGGTGACCATTATGGAAAGTAGCCCTGCAGTAAGCGCGCCATTTTGATCCCAATGGTCTAGCGCTGAGGATAACATTGCGGCTGAGAATATCTCATCTGCAGTTGTCCGGTTACCATGCTATATGATCAGCCAATGGAAGCATTGTTTGCAACCACTGCTGATTGGCGGACCTCTCAATCACTGCATAAATAACCGCTCGGCGCTCTGGCTTCGGTGGATTACTTCAGGGGGAGAAATCTCGTCTTTTTCCTGGAAATAATAGGTGAAGCCGCGTACGTTGCCCATCGCGAGAGCTTGCTAAAACCTCAAGTGCAAGGACATTATGAAAATGCCATCGGTGTTCCGGGTAAGCCCATGTGGTTGCTCGAGCTTACTCCGTATGCCACAAGCGACCCCTCTATTCCCGTATCATTTCGGATTTGTCACGTGTTTATGTATCCTATACTTTCCGCGACAACTCTAATAAAAGCAGGATCATGGTATTTAGCGTAGCTAAACTTGCTGTAGCGTAGTCTACAATAAGGACCAAACGATGCATGATAAGTATGTGGTACGACAGAGCAGTGCAATGCGCACGTGACAGACGACCCTTTGTGACAAGAGTGGATATGAGATCATTGACCGTTTGAGCCAGTCTTAGTGAGACAACTACCAACCAGGAGAACAAGAATATGGTTTTTATACTCTATTTCTTCGCTTGCTTGGGCCTCGCGGCAGCTGCCTCTGAGCCCGAGCCTGGGAATTACCAGCATCAATCATTTCTGAAGAACGACGACCCATTCCAACAAAATTTCGTTGCCACCACAGTATTTGGCCGGAGGCTCATCGACGCGGAACTTGCTGAACCACTGGCATTACTTCCTCCCAGATTCTCAAGCAGGAAGTTTGATGACGATTATCCTTATGAAGGCATTGGAACCTTTGCTCATCTCGAGTATGTGGAGTGCACAGAATCGAAATTTGATATTGGAATAGTGGGCCATCCCTTCGATTTGGGCGTATCCTATCGGCCTGGGGCAAGATTCGGGCCCAATGGTGGTCGTAATGGAGCACGACGATTAAGTCCAGCTGCTGGTTGGGAGTACGTGACCTGTATCGATACCGTACCTGAAAATTTGCTGATGTTCATCCTTCTCCAAGTATGGATCATAATGGTGTAAATCCATTTCGGAGCTGGGCTAAAGTGGTGGATTGCGGCGATATATACAATACACCTTTTGACAAACTCGTTGCAATCCACGAATTGGAGCGAGGTATGAAGGCCCTCGGCAAGCAAACGCCCCAAAATACATCAGCGGCAGATGCAGTCCGGCTTATCGCTATTGGAGGCGATCATACCATTAGTGGGTTTAGATATTCCCGCTTAGGACTCTGAGAAGCTGACCTCTTCAGCCCTCCCGATTCTTCGAGCTTTGCACTCTACGTGGGGCCGAGTTGCTGTTCTCCATTTCGACAGTCATCTGGTACGTTGAAACAGGTCAGAGGAGGTTTAGCCTCCCCTCTGTCAATCGACAATGGGATTGACTGTGTCGATATGAGGACCTCCAGCAATACCAATTACTCATTAGTGCAGAATAATTGACTCTTCGTATGTAGGACACGTGGGATCCGAAGCAACTGGGTGGAGGTTTAACCAGACACGCGGAAGTTAATCACGGGACGATGTTGCACATTGCCCACGAAGAGGGTCTTCTATCGAACCATAGTAACATGCATCTTGGTTCTCGCTCCAGTCTTTTTGATGAGCATTATGATCTCAACAACGATCTGCGGTGCGGCTTCAGCTACATACGTGCGAGAGCTCTGGACCAGATGGGTGTTGATAAAGTGGTCCAGAAAATTATCGAGACGGTGGGCACGGAATATGTTTACTTGAGTGTAGATATCGATGTTCTGGACCCTGCGTTTGCCCCGGCCACTGGCACCATTGAACCTGGGGGTTGGACCACAAGAGAGGTATGTAAACATCAACACCCACGAGCGTGCACCAGATTCGGTGTTGACTCCTGACCCAGCTTCTCGCGATCATCAAAGGGCTCTCTGACGCCAAGCTACCGATTATCGGTTCCGACGTGGTTGAGTTTACGCCGATTTACGACAATGCCGCCGAGACGACGGGCATTGCCGTGAGCCAGATCATCCTTGAGATCCTCCATTGGATGGTAAGTTCAAATGCTTCGGAGCTTGGGGAGTGCTCTGCCACAACTAGAAGGTGATTTGACGTGTTTAGGTCCATGTGCCAGTGAAAAAACCGCAGGCATGATCCGAGTGGGCATTCTGCAGGACCTAGGCAGTGTTGCCTACTCTGTGATCCATTCTATACCACGTAGTAGGAGGTACGTAGTAAGAGGGACGTGGTAGGATTTGAGACATATAATCAAGAGATACATAACGGCCTGGTTTGCGCACGGAATCGCTGTCAGTTCTGGGACGTAGTCGAGCTCCGGCGCAGGCCGCACTCCAGAAAACACTTCCTTCCTCGCTGCTGCCACTGCATTGCAGGTCGTGGATAAGGAGATAGATACAATGAGGATGTAGGATAATTTCGTTGGGTCTTGGTAAATTTTACCTGACAGTATGGGGTGAATAACCTGTCCTTGGCATTTTCGAAGGCAGTATAAACTGCATACCTAGGTAAGGTACCTAGGTAATCGATGCTGCCCCACAAGCTCGGCACGACCTGAATGTCTCTATGTGAAGGTGAAGCTCGCCGTCTTTTTCGAGCTACATAGCTACTTAGCTACTTCGCTACATTCCAAAACACCGACAGATCTATTCATGATGTTTATTTCCATCGTCCCTTCTATTGTGCCATAATCGCAACTAGGTCGCTTCCAGTCAAACATGGCACCGGCGTCCGTTCTTCTTCCTGGCTGGAATTTGCCAGACAGATCTCTTCAACCTGGCCTTCTGTGCGGGATCATCATCACCACCGTGGCCGCGTCGCTGGCAGTGGCCGTGAGGGCGTGGGTTCGCTTTAAGATCGTCCGCGGAGCTAGTTGGGATGATTATTTGATTTTGATCGCAATGGTTCTCACCTCTCCACGTGCCCTACACTCGTCGTCGCTGACATGCACAAGTGTCTGTCACTCTTCGGTGCTGCATGTACGCTCACCATGACCTACCTGGGCCTGGGTCGCCACGTTCACTATGCCGCACAAGAGCACGGCCAGCATGGAATGCGAGTACAGTTGGAATTGGGACTGGCAGCTCAGATCATCTACATCTATGCGATCGGGTTCGTGAAACTCAGTATCGGAGTTGCCCTGCTGCGGTTTACTGTGTACACACTGTATCGATACGTGATTCTTACCTTTATGGGACTCGTTGGTCTTTACACAGTCGTCACCACAGGTGAGTACAGAAGCTTCGCAAGAATTTAACATAGGGTGGTTACCCCAAGAACTTACTGAAACCTATGAACAGGATGGTTGTTGCAACAGTGTCAACCAGTAGCAAGGACTTTAGACGGTGTCGTCGCAGGCTCATGTTATGCATTTTATATGACAAGGATAATTATCTTTACGATCTCTGGTGCGTATATTATCTTTGATGGTGTCGAAACCTGACCAGAGTAATTTCAGGATGCAACATATTGACGGACTTCGCATTTGCCGCCCTCCCATTTCCTCTACTATGGAATCTCAACATCAGCATTCGGACGAAGGCCTCTCTACTTGCTTGTTTGTCGCTTGGAGTATTGTAAGTTGCCCATGCTTGGGGGTTGAATGTTCTGACAAAGGGTTCATCCAGCGCGGCACTAATATCAATTGTTAAATTTGGACAGATGGCCACGTACTACGGTATCGCGAAAGCATGGGTACACCCAGCGGGTCTAGATTTCGAAGGGTACACAGACTTCAGGTACATGAACTCGACATTACTGGCATGTGGTTTTGCTAATCGTGTGAATTAGCTGGGTGAATACCAAGCTTCAAAAATGGATGACGGTTGAAGCGAATGTGTCAATAACCGCAGCCTCGATCCCAGCCATGAGGCCTTTGCTTCGAACGTACTGCAGGAACACCTCAAAGCTTACAGGTCTTCCCGGATCAAATTCCAAATCTCCCAATCTCCAGTATACTCCATCTCGTAGACAAAACACCAACGATTGGAACACGATAGGCAGCATCATTTCTGGGTCAAAAAGCATAGACAATGACCCATATACAGTAAATTGTACCGGGAAAAGAGATGAGAAAGACGAAGGCTTGATTGCGGTGAAAAATGGAGAAATCATGGTTACCACCGTCGTGGAAATTACGTATGAAGATAATAGGAGTATTCAGAGCCGGCTAGGCGAATTATGATTCTTTAGCCCGAACTACAGCCAAGCAAGAAATGTCTTCCCCATCTGGGCTGAGTAGTTGTTGGACGCTGGTACATCTGAGCCTGCTGCGCGAAAGGTCGAAGTGATTGGAAGTGCCCCCAGTTATTCCTAAACGTCTTGTGGGGGGACGTCTCTTGCGAATTTTCTGACTTTGTATCATCCAATAGTCTTCCGCTATAATCAGTGTTGTAGTTTACTGCTAAACCGACCCCAATAAACTACAACCTCCAATATCTCATGATCACTCAGGCACAGCTGGAGTGCTCTGTCAGCGTCTGCTTCTCTGTGAGTAAAACAAGAATGGATTCAACCTTGTATCTTATGATGGGTGAAAGTTCTGACGCTAAAACCCATTCCGTGTAATATATCTGAATTCGGCTCCAAATTTAAGCGAGATGGTGTCATGTTGGAACTGTGATTGTGTGTCATCGAATGTAGCACATCAGCAAAGGATTCAGACATCATTTAGAATGCGGTAGCCGTCGTCTGGATGATGAGCATACCGGAATTTGTTACTTCTGCACTTTGGTACACTAATAAGATGGCTCTTTTTCAAGTATAGTTATTGAATAATTAATACAACACGACGAAATAATATACTTTTACTGATAACTAGACTAGATACCTTTAATTTGAGAAACCATACTTTCATACCTGGATGAGTGATTGTTGGGGGGGAGGGTTGCTTGAGACAGCTTGCTATGATTCCTACAAGCGGTGAGATATCGCTTGCCTGCAAGTCTCCATTCTCCTTTCAACTGGATCAGCAACACAAAAGGCCACTAAGTAGCCAGGTTTTAAAGCCTAAGAATTAAGTTTTAGCCATGAGTCTCCGGCAGAGTAAGCCTAGTAATGGGCATGGCTTCGGGTGAGGACAAGTGATAATGGTGAACACTCTTACCTCACTTGTATCACTGATCCGGATACTTCGAGAGAAGGGGTAGCCGGTAGCAAGACATAGTAACATCTGACAACACCATCTTATCAATGCTGCAATGCTGTCAATTTGCTTAAAAAGCATCTAATCAATTAGTCTAAATTTCTGCGACCCCAACATCGGTTTTGGGTATAGAGAACCTAGTCCTGCAACTAGCTTATAAGAAAATACCCAAGAGGTAAGGAGTGAGCAAACTCACTGTGAAAAATAACTTAGCTATGACAAAAAGTGCACATCAAGGTTGAAACCGGCTTCTCCGAAGCCTATGAAGTGACGATTTCCCTGCAAAACTTGTAACAATACTGTTACTTTGTATCAACCATAAGTTTGCTAAACGATACTACGCTCGACTTTATCAGGCTCATTAAAATAGCAGGATGACTGGTTAAAAATGTTTCAATATCATCAGTCACTGACTGACGGATCAGCATTGTACGCGCCAAGTATCCACGACTAGAGCGGCGGCGCCTTCGGAAGTTCCTCGGGTCTGTTCTCGGGACCCAACCCGACCCCGACACAGTGGTTACGTTCTACCCGGAATGCCGGACCCCGAAGCTCTGTCAAACGACCTTGCCCTTGCACAGTCCAACCAAAGCCAATATCTTCAAAACCAACGTCTTCCATTTATACCACAAAACACATTCTGCGACACAACTGTGCTAGTCGGGAAAAGTTCTCAATCAGCTCCTAATAGACGTGATCGTTTGACCGCTTCTATTCGAATCTCGGCCTCGAGCCCCTGTCAATACTACCCCAATGTCTTGACGCTGTTGTGATGGCCGCTCTGACAAGCCACTTTGCGCCAGTCGTAAACTTACGTCTGGTGGCTATCTGGATGGGTCAAGGTACAGTCTCGTTTCGCGACCACCAACGTACTTCGGCACGCATTTAGATTCGAAAGTTGTTGGTGTTTGGAGTAGGAAGAGGCTATTTCCCGCCGCCAACAGTATCGCCTTCGTATGTTGGAACAGGCCTACGACAATACCTCAGATATTTCGTTAACGTAAAGGTACAGTTGCTCGGTTCTAACGGCCATTGGGGCTGACGCGAAGTTGCATAACTCGCAATTTTCTATTTGTCGATTTCTTGAGGTTCCAACCAACATCATGGCTGACAAGTTACCAACCTTATGAGTTGATGTGATTGTCTTCGTAAGTATGCCAATTTACGATCCTTCTTCACGCCCATTGCGCCCCATCGTGCGGTTGGTTTTGAATACAGGCCTCCAACCAAACGGACTATGCTATTTCGCTCTATCTTGGTTCGTATTGTTGTCTAGGAAGCAACTTGATGGGCGCTGCAACCTCCTATGTGCCACTAGGACTCTCTTCGCATAAGCCTTCCGGCGCGCTCAAAGGATTCAACCCTGGCTATGAGCAGAATGTGGTAGTTCCCTAGGTGTTTCTTAATATATAAAGCCATGCCCTCGCTGGGCGTTGTGGTTAACTAGTTACCCTTTTGCCACTCAACAAATTCCAAACCCGAGCGTAAACCGTTCTGATCATTACTCTGGAGCTAAGCTTCTCCCACTCATTCGAATCTGGTCCTCGCAAGTTACCAACCAAAAATCCCGCCTGCCAAGAAATGCTCCAACTATGGGCACACTGTGTCTTGTTCTTATTACTTTGGAAGGCTGATGCCGAGGTGCAGGAGCTGAGGTTTGTCTCGTCTAGAGATTTGGGTCTGGTTCGTAGGGATGGGAAAACGTCCGATCGACATTTAAAGGATGCTGTAAGCACTTTCTTCAAATCCCCGGCTGGGCAAAACGAATGTAGGTTCTATCCACTTGCTGCGCGCTTTATCTGAAAGATGAAGAATGTCTGACTTGTTGCAACCACTACAGCTTCGGTTCTGGTCAATGTCACACTGGGAACTGGGGAAAATGTGAAGGTCCTTGCCATGGATCACTTCGAGATTGATATAGAGAAAAAGACTTGCGGTGATGGGAAGTTATCTTTGACCTTCAGAGACGAGGAGACGTACGAAGATGCGGTAGATGACTGGGAGTGGGTCAATAAGAATACCGTCCGAAACTTCGCAATGCTTGTTAGTGGATGCCCAGAACCAGATTCGGATCTACAGAAATGGCTCATATCTAATACCACCTTCGACCGCGCTCATCTTACGGTCGATTTCAATGCCCAGGAGATGACATGGCATGATATGCCTCTCAATTACACACTTCAGTGGGGCACGATGTCTCAAGATGCACCAAGAAATAGTATACCCGCCAACGAACAAGCCACTCAGGCACGAGTACCGCGCGGCCTTTTTGGGTTTGGGAAGATTTTCCCTCGTATTTTTGGTCTTGATATTGATAACCCTTTGGAAGATGTCGGTTCTCTTGTTAACGATGTCGTCGCACCCGCAACGTCTGCAATCGTTAACAATGTAGTTGCACCAGTAACATCCGCGATTGCTCCTATAATAACGCCGATTATTGATACCTTGAGCGGAAAAGCTATGGAAGAGTCCTTTCAGATTCCCATGAGGGTCCCGTTTCCAGAAGAGCTTATTAAAAAAGAAACAACTGACGGCTTCGAGTTTGGCGCCAGCTGCAAGGATTGCGGCTTGAAGGGCGAACTCAAGGTTTCTGGTCATTTGATGATGGACATGTCCAAGGAAAATCCTATTCAAGAATTTTGGCTGGATGTGTCTCCGGGAGGGTTGGAAATGAAAGCTGCATTTGCTATTGATGGTTTGAATCCTTTATTTTGACTGGAGCTTCTCGACTAACCCGTGGTAGTTGGGGGGACTCTTGCTGGCAAAACCCCATTCGAGAAGATGGTTGCGCTACCAGAAATAACGATTCCAGCATTTGGGATAAAAGGTAAGAGGGTCTTTAGATCTGAAATGCTTGAATATGGCACTGTTGAATCAATTCTTTCTGTTCAGCATTATCGTATGCTTTGTCGCCCACGACTATGCTTACTTTGCGTAGGTCTTGCGTCTATAAATCCTAGCATCGCTCCGAAGGTTATCGTTTCAGCGGCGGATATCCAAGGTGCAGGTAGTATTAGTGCTGGCATCTCAGCAAAATTTAAAGACGACGCAAAGGCGAGGCTTGCCCTGAATACAAATACTCCTGGCTCAGACGACCCAACAAACTGGGAGCCTGACGTCTCGCAAGAAAAGCTTACTGTTGACAGTCAGATCGAGGGATTGATATCACTTTCTATGGAGGTTGACGTAGTCATACAAGCAACTCTGCTGAAGCCTCCTTTCAACGTTCCAGGTACGTGAAATGGATTCATTACATATTTCCAGAACACGACCGAACTTCTGTTGGTATATTTGAATAAGAACTGTCTATTTGACAAGTTAGATTCGTCCTTTGGTCGGTGAAACTTCGAAATATATCATATCATCTAACCTGGCGGTTGTAGTACTAAGTGCTGGGCTCAAGAAAATTGGAATGGAAGTCGGGGTTGGATTCAGTTTCAAAGTTCCAATTGTCAACTACAGTGCCACATCAATGATGAGTATGTTAGTCCATAACCGATATACTTTAGGCTAACCACGCTTAGATTACGATGGAGCATGTGGTAATGTTGAGCTTCCATACGGAACAGAACTCACAGGAGATGTCTCTGTTGAGATCGGGGCCAAAGCGTATAACATTATTCTTAATAAGCCGGAGAATGAGTTCTGGACAAAGGATATATTTAAGAAGAAAGTGAAGGAACTTCCTAAGATGTGTAAAGATTTTAAGGCAGGGCCATCCCCACCATTTAGCATGACAACCCTGTAAGTTATGTCCGCGTCCTTTATATACCATCTTTGATTGATTTGTCTTTAAGTGGTTCGGATCCTACGACGACCGAGGAAACTACAGTCCCGGAAAGTACAGGAGTAGAGGAAGACGCCACGGAGCCAGCTCAAACAGAAGAATCCTCGGCCTCTGTGACTGGTGAAACGCGACCGGAAACAACTAATACAGAAGACCCCGATGAAGACACATCGACCGAAACGGACCCTGGTGATGGCAAGAGTGAAGACCCTATTGAAGATACAGAAGACCTCGATGAAGACACATCGACCGAAACGGGCTCTGGTGATGGTGAGAACGAGCAAGCGTCGCAGCCCGATTCTACGGGCGAACCACTCTCAGAAACTGCAGCCACCGACGAATCAATACCCGAGGAAACGATTGAGTCAAACGGAGCAGGTGGTTCTGAACCCGAGGAAGTCGACGAAGCAGCTGAACCGGAGGACGCAGCTGAACCTGACGAAGCAGCTAATTTATAGGAGACAGTGAAGGATAAGCCTGATACTGATGAGTAGACCGGAATAGTACTACTGCTAGCTTTTTAGAATAGTATTTAGAACTTATCGGAATCAAATACGACTAATAATTGCTTACTCTAAGTCAAGTTCTCGTTTGAATTATATAATGACAAGATGTTATATTATCATTACACTAGATATTATAAAAATTTCTATCTACTGCTAGTTTACCAAGTCTGGTCCGAGTGTTTCCGCTTGAATGTACGTTACGTCGTACTTGAGTGGATTAGGTCTAGCGAAACGAGCGCGTTTAGATGATGTATGTATTAAACAGAGCCCAGGGAGGATTCCTAAGAGACTGTGCATATTTTGCAGTACGTACAGCCAAAGCCAACGAACAGATCTAACAAAACCACACAAACCTAGGGTCTCCCACATCATCTTCTTTAAATTTTTAAGCAATTCAACAGCCGGATCGGTAAGCGCCGCCCACTTATCGTGTCTCCCAAACCATTCGCCGCAAGAACCTGAAATGCGCACGTCATGTCCGAAAGACGCGAAAAAAGCCTTGTGGTAGTCTTCAAGCAGCCACTTCAATAAACTTCCTCGAAGCTCATTCTTGTTGGATGCAGAGATGCCAGACATCCCGTTCAGCTTTTGAGATGTTTCCCGTTCGACAGATATTATCAAACTACCACATTTATAGCAATCACTAAGTAGCCAGTCTACATGTGTGTTTCTTGATCTTTGGTTCTGCTTAGATGGATGCTGATACAGAAGAAGATTATAGTTTTCTCATTCATCTATACGGCAACTTCCAAAAGACATTTAAAGGAAATGGAGCCATCGAAGTTAAAGGTGATTGCGGCTCATATTGCGAATATTACGGCTTCCCATAGCTGGCCTGGCGAAAGTCCCGACTTTTCGTTCTGCGAGATGAGCAATATCGAACAGTCTTTAAGTGGCCAAGCAAGAAATTGAACTTATGCCCCTACCCGAAGAGGGATTTACAATAATCACATACCCAATAATCACATGCCCGGCATATACTTATTTACTTACAGTCCCTAGTGAGTATTACCAGATGGCCGTTCCTTCCCATGTTGCATAGCTGGTAATAAGCTGGAAACTGTGTAACAATCTAGGCTTGGTACAATCTCACATTTGTGCCAAGGACGGGTGAGGGTGAAAGAATCTACTGTGTTCGAACGGGAGTCTGCTTGCGATGGAAAGACGAGAAGAACAGGCGCTGTCGGCAATGTCCGTGAACCAATTATACATGGCCGAGACAGACTAATGTCCGCTCACTATTTGCAGATAACAGCGTTTCCTATACTCGAGGAATGAAAAAAAACATGCTCCCAATTAAAGGAAAGGGCCAATCACATCGCACCTCACAAACCCACAGTGGCCAGATCGAGGTCGATGTAACTCCACAAAACGTACGATAAATAATCTGCTCTGAGATTTCTCTTTTGCCACTTCATCTAATTACGAAGTCCGCAAAATACCATGCCATAAACAAACCAGAACGCTCTCACCACGTTTTTACTATACCTATCTCACTATTTTCAGAACTTAGAAGTTAGCACGCACTCACACGGAAAAGCTCGAAAATGCCGCCCAAGAAAGGAGGCACGAACGACGTGGCCACAAATGTGGTGGCATTTGGTCGCGTGAGGAAGAATCTGAAGATGGGATGTGTCGGCTTGCCGAACGTGGGAAAGAGCTCACTGTTTAATTTGTTGACGGAGCAGAATGCAGCAGCGGAGAATTATCCATTTTGTACCATCGAGCCGAATGAGGCGAGGTGTGCGGTGCCTGATGTGCGATATGTGAGTCTTTTGGTTTTTTGTTTCAATCTAACTGAGTTAGAGTCGGTCTCTTGCTCAGGGAGAGAAGAGAGGGGGGAAAGGTATTGTGTATTGTTAGTTGATTTTTCTAAAAAAAAAAAAAAAAAAAAAGGACGGTGGGCGATAAGTCACTGGCGGGCAGAGATATTAACCTCAGATAACTATATGGATTACTCTTTTCTCGAGGTCATATCATTCATTGGATTGTATATCATTTCATTGCACGAAACTCAAGCCATCCGGTACTAATACGTAGACTCGTAGGATTTCCTCTGCGACCTCTGGAAGCCCCCGTCGATGTACCCTGCCTACTTGCAGGTAACAGATATCGCAGGTCTCATCAAAGGAGCCTCCCAGGGCGAAGGGCTGGGAAACTCATTCTTATCGCACATCCAAGCGGTCGATGGAATGTATCACATCGTTCGAGCGTTTGACAACGACGAGGTTCTTCACGTAGATGATTCCATTGACCCTGTTAGGGATTTAAGTAATAGCTCCATCATCTCGCGTGTGATTGGATGATCAAGTGAGAGTAGGTGTTAACGGTTTGATTGGCAGATACAATTCAGAGCGAGCTATGTAAAAAGGATTTGGGTCAGTTGAGATTTGTGAGATCTTTAAGTTAAACTAACAATGTGAAGATATTCTCGCTAAGACTATCATCTCGGAGGAGGCAGTGGTGCGGAAAGCAGGTGGGAAATTCAAGATGAATCCACTTTTCCCTAGCACAGTCGAGAAGATCAGGGCTGTTTGTCTCCCATCTCTCCCCTAACTTTGAGCGAATAATTGAGCCAAAAATGTAGATGCTGGAACAAGACCACCCGGTTCGGGACGGAGCCTGGTTAACTGCGGAGATTGAGCTTATTAACGAAAAGGCAACCCAACCCATTCCCCTATCTCATTTATAAACCGTGTCTAATAAATTGAAGATGTCATTGATAACTACGAAACCAATCATCTATCTGGTAAATCTAACCATGAAAGACTACCTGCGACAGAAATCCAAATATCTCCCTCTGATCGCTAAATGGGTCACCACTCACGGCGGCTTACCTCGTGATATCATTCCATTCTCGGTGGAGTTCGAGGAAAACGTGTACAAGATGAAGAAAGAAGGCAATGAGGAGGGGATGATCAGGTTTTTGGAGGAGAGTAAGGTAAAGAGTCGATTGGAGAAAATTGTTACCGAAGGTTCGTACTTCTCGGTTCCATAATCCTGGGAACAGCATAAAACAAGGAAAATTGGGATAGGAGCGAAATCAGGAGATGTGCTGACAGTACGCTGGGAGTAGGTTTTACCAAATTAGGTTTGCAATACTACTTTACAGCAGGCGAGAAGGAAATCAGGTGCTGGACAGTTCCTCGAGGATGTTTGGCTCCTCAAGCTGGTACGTGTCAATTCAGTCTCTTTCTTCATCCATAATGCTACTACAGTCCTCAGGACATCTGGGAACTGAATTTGATATCTAATGTGAGATACAAACTATAGCTGGCGCGATCCACGGTGACTTCGAGCGCGGCTTCATCAAAGCCGAAGTCTGCAGCTATCAAGACTTTCACGACCTGTGTGAGGGTGGGAAGAGTATGGGACCGATTAAGGCGGCGGGTAAGTATCGACAGGAAGGCAAGACATATGTCGTGCAAGATGGAGATATTATTCACTTTCAATTTAGTAAGCAAATTAATCTCTACTGTCTACCTTCATACTTTACTTTCAGGCTAATTTAGTTACGAAAGATGTTACATCTAAGAAATAGATTTAATAAAATTAAATATAGAAGTGCATATAATGCGTAAAATAATAGTTAGCCATAATGGCTATTATTTACAAACTTTATAAATTTTAGATTATATATTTAAAAAAGCAAAGTAAGTAAAGTTAGATCAAAGAAGCTAATCATTCTATTATTTCGCTCGAAGTTCTGGAGCTGCTCCGTAATGCAGAGTCTTTTTCGGTGGTCAAGCAGCGCACTTTGGAAGCTGTGCAATTCCAACCTTTAAGTTTGATGATACCTTCACTAGATGAAATTGACTCTTCTAGACCGTTGAGTCACTGTGGAAAAGTCTCGATTATCGCAGTAGTAAGTAAGCACTCATTTGTGGTTTCTCTCACATATCTAAACCATCTTCAATGGAGAAGAGAAATTGGATCGTTATTGAGATTAAAGTTACGGTGCCGGTACTTGAGCTACTTGGGAATGCGAGTTTTTTTTAATCCTGCAAAATCGATCATGCGACAGACGGTGATTTTAAAGACATTTAAGAAACTCAAAAGTTGAGTACGTTGTTGGGAAATACTTCGTCTAGAGTGGTGTTTCCTAGTGGTGTTCGTGGGGAAGTATGCCTCACAGCTGTAAAAGAGTCGGCGGCAGCCAAATTCTTTGAAAATTTGATTCCGTTGGAGGGGGGCATCAAACCGGCAGGCTTTTTGAGAGATGAAAGGCCCAATTCTAGACATTTAGAAATAACTTCGTTGACAATGGACAATTTCAAAAGCTTCCGCCATTAACATCTACACGCGGCAACGTCTTTTATAGGCTAAATACTTATATACATCAGCCTAAATAAGCCTATCGTCGGAGATGCTACTTTTAAGAAAGCGTTCTGTATACAAAATTTAACACCGTTGTTTAGGTGGCACCGTTGCAGATACGTAAAAGTTCTATTAGCTAGCTAGGTTTCTGGAAAATTTATCGTCGAGGATATTGGAATGTCAGAAACTCCTTTGATAACAACGCCATATACGGTAGCTCCGCTTAGATTTTTTTCAGCCTCCTTAATATATCTTGTCTTGAAAGAAGATATGAAGCTCAGAAGCTTGGGCGAAATCTCAATACTGGATGTGTTCTTGAAGCACTCTCCATCTGAGGATCTCAATTGTCCAGGTCCACCTTTTAAAAACCCATCTTCACTCTGATTGTCAGCCAGCTGTTGTGGTTGATCAAAAGCCGATTCCGTATTCTGAGTTGCAGCCTTAAGACGTGGTTTGAGATCCCAGCTGTTTAGGCGACAAAAGGTAAAGTATCCAGGCTCTCCCTAGTTTGAGACTTCTTCGGGGGCATGGCTTAGAAGAACTTCCTCTAGGCCCTTGAAAATCGCGAGCTCCTTCCTTAAAATGGGACCGTTGCCATGAGGACTTACCAAAAGTTCGTCATAATCAGCCCATCCACCTGTATATTTATATGCGAGCCGCGTGACGCGCTCTAAGTCTGCAATGACTTCTGGTGCTGGGTATATCACCACATCAGAGGTCTCTCGTTCTACCCATCCCCACAACTTTCCTGCTCGACCTAGCAGTCCGTCGTAAGCCGTGCTGAAGTACAACACATCGATTTCCAGGTCCGCGTATATATTTGTTGTGCCAAAGCACAATCGATACCGTTTTAAGCAACATAGCGTGACTCACGGCAAACGTCCAGAGCAGCGGGTTTCATAGCCTGGTGATGTCTCGGAAAGTATAGACTTGTCTGACTATAAATAACCTGACTATTAGGTGGAGGTTGGTCAAATGTTCCATAAGCCAAAGAACTCCTTCTCGTATATGTCTCTCTCTCAGGCTCTGGCGGATCCCTAGGACAAAGCATTCTGGAGCCAGGTAACGAATATTCCCATATTTCGGTACGAATTTCGAGTGGCAAAATATTGAAATAAAGAAAGCGTCTAATTGAATCAAGTCGTCTCCTGTGGTTGATTTTAGGTCGACGTAGATCTTTATGTTTGCCTCCAATCGGTGATTTTCTCTCCTTATCGGGCATTGTAATAAGTTAGGGTGTTAGGCGTTCGCAAAAGCTAGAAGATAGAAGGCCTCGGTACTAATAGACCTATAGTCTTTTGTAGTTTGTAGATAATCTCGGCGTCTGTTTATTCTAAACGTAATTTGTTTCTTATCCTCGTAGCATCTAACAGGCTAAATTTAATAGGTTTAGCTCTATATTTAGAATAAATATACGCTACTAGTATTTCGCTATTCGTAAAGCCGTATAAGTAGGAGTTAAGGTATAGTAGGTAAATTATCTATATTATAGACTTTTAAAATCTAGATCTAGTTAAAATATACTATTTTTAATATTATTATAAGAGATATCTAGTATAGTATAGATATAGAGAGTATATATATAAGAGTCTCTTATTCTATCTATAAACTAGAGGTCTAGTTACTACTCTATAAAATCTACTAATCTCTTTATTTTAAGTAATTACTACTTTAACTTAGTAGAGTCTTATTAGTAGTAAAGAGGTCTATAGTTTAGTACTTCTCTCTAGTCTTTTAAAAGTAATAGACTCTTAGTAGAGTACTATCTAAAAATTAAAGATATACTATAATCTATAATTAGATAGTTTTATAATCTTTTTAAAATCTAGACTAAGTATAAGCTTATTAAGTACTTAAAGTTACTTAGATATATCTATAGAATTAAGTTAATACTTAATTTAATTAATAAGAGAAAAATCTTTTAATTAACTAAGAGAATAATAAGTAACTAGAGAGAAATCTTAAAAGTCTATATACTTAATAAAAAAAGTATTAGATTAGAAGGTATATATATATATAATATAGGGAGAATAGCGGTAATTATCGTAGTCGCGAGACTTAAGGTTTAAATATAAAAGACTTAAATTACTTAGAGAGAGAAGCTATCTACTTAGAACTAAAGAACCCTTATATAGTAGAAACCTTAACTCTAGAAGATTCTATTTATTAGAAATTAACTAGTTACTATTATTAATATTAATAAGAATATTAGTAATATTTTATTCTAGAATATTCGCTTAGAAATCGAATTTACTATCTAGGTAATATATCTTTCTAGAATATTCTATACTTACTATAGACTCTTTATAAGTACTATAGTATAATATACTATATAATATAAGTATTTATTATCTAATACTTATACGCCCTCTTAATAACTACTTATATTCTTTAGTTATTTTTAAAGTATCTTAGATATCTTATTTTCTTAGATATTAGAAAACCTTAGTTTTCTTAGTTTTCTTAAATCTTACAACTAAAGTGTTTAAGATATTTCTTAAATTTAACTTTATCTAAAGGCTTAGTAAATCCGTCTACCTTTTAATCCTTAGTAGGTATATAGATTAAGTCTATTATACCTTCTAATATAAGATTTCTTATATAGTAGTATTTAACCGCTATATATTTAGTACGTTCGTAGTATATAGGACTATACTCTAATAGTAAAGCCCCGTTATTATTAGTATATAAAGAGAACTTATTTTATTTATAAAAGCCTAGTTCTTTAACTAAGGCTATTATATATATAGCTTCTCTAGAGGTAGTATTTATAGCTATATACTCGGCCTTAGTAGTACTTTAGGCTACTATAGACTATAATTTAGATTTCTAGCTTATAGGCCCTTCGCCTAAATAGAATATATATCCGGTAGTAGATTTAGAGGTATATATATCCCCGGCGTAGTTAGAATTATAATAGCTACTAAGATAAGGATTAGATTTAGTATAAGTAATACTATAATCTATAGTACCCTTTAGATATCTTAGTATTTTCTTAATAGCTATAAAGTATTCTTTACTAGGATTACTAGCGAATCTAGCTAGTTTAATAGTAGAATAAGCTATATCCGGTCTAGTACCTAGTACTATATATAATAGGCTACCTATAATACCTTAAAATAGCTTAGTATCTTCTTTAGTAGCTATTTCGGTATTTAGGATTATTTTTAACTTAGAATCTATAGGTGTATATATAGAGTAACAATTAGCTATATTATATTTTTCTAAGACCTTAGTTATATATTTACTTTAACTTAGTTTTAGGGAATTCTTAGTTCGAGTAATATCGATTTCTAAGTAATTCTTTATTAAACCTAATTCTTTAATAGTAAAGTATTTTTTAATACTATTAATAAGATCTTGTATATTGTTTATTATATAGTATATAGGTAGAGTAAAGGTTTAGTATATTAAAATAAGTCTAACTCCTTAGGTTTAGGATAGCTAAGTATCTAATATATATAGTCCTATGCTTAGTACGTACTAGTAAGTAGCCTAAGCTACTCCCTTATAGCGTACCTAAACTATATTGCCTACGTAACTAACCTAGTCTACGATATTATAATAATTCGGTTCTACTCGGGGTAGACTAGGGTTATCGTAAGGTTAGTATATTAAGAGGTAGGCGTAAGATTATTACTTATAGATTCGGAGATCTATTTATTATAATAAGAGTAAGTTAAATAGATAATATACTATTACTATAGTAAGTTAAGTATAAAGCTCCTATCTAAGAAAACTATAATTACTATATAGAACTTTCTTTTCTTAAGTTTAATAGGTTCGCTAGTCGAACTCGTTAAACTTCTAGCTAGTTTAATAGGTTTGTCTAGTAAACTTATTAAACTTCTATTATTACGTAATAGTACCCTAAACTAGGGCCTATCTACTAATATAATTATTACTAATATTAACTAAATTAAGCTATTAGATAGCGGTCCTAAGAACTACTCGATTCTCGTAACCTCGCCTAATCCTAAGACCTTTAGTCCTAGAAGTATTACGACGCTAAGGCCGACGCTATTCGTAATACTATCCCTTATTTAGACTAGCGGGTCTATATACTTAAGTACGACTAAGAAATACGTCGGTTAAAGACTATAGACTTCTTTTCTTTCTAATATACTACCCGACTATACTATAAAATGTTCTAATATTATAGTCTTTAGTAAATAAATTAATTTAACTAGAAAGAAGATAGCGCCTTACTCTTACTATAAAAAGGTAAGAAAAGAGTATATAGTCTCTCGGGACTTAAAATATAGTTACTATAGTATATATATATCTACTAGAAAATCGTATAATATTAAAGAGATAAATTAAATACTCTTAGTTTATAACTAAAAGAGTATTAAGGTTTAAGAAGAGAAACTCTTTCTAGAGAATAAGTAGACTAAGGCCTAGATTTAAGAGATACTAGCTCGCCGTACTTATATCTACTAGTAGTAAAAGTTCTTATAAGAACGAAAATAAAAGATAATCTTAGTAGATCTTAACTCGCTAGACAAGTTAGATAAGTTGGAGAAAAAAGAGTAGTAAGAAGAAGAGAAGAAGAGAAAGAAAGAGAAGAGAAAAGTAGAAGTAGAACGACTACTAGCCTACCCTACCTCGCCCGACGACTTCTCCGCTTATAATCTATTACTACTTAATTCGAATTTCGATCCTAGGTCTTTCTAGAAGGCCCTAGATACTAGTAGTAGAACTTTTTAAGCTACTTAGGGTAGTTAAGGTTATTTATTAGTTTTTATATATTCTCTAATTATAAGTAGTTCTTCTACTTTATTAGATAACGTAGTTTCTTTCTAATAAGTTTATAGTCTAAGATTTTCTTAACTTTATACTTAGTATTAGGGTTTACTAGTTCTATTTCTATAACTAGAGCTAGTAGCGCTCTAAGTAATACTAGCTTAAGAAAAGATATATAGAATACTAGAAAGATATTTATACTCTTAAGTAGAGCTAATTTATAGTTTAAGCGTCTTTTAAGTACTTTAATTTTAAATAGTTCTAATTTCTTATTATCTAGTTTATTACTTAGTTATTTTATTTAAATATTACGTCTAATTAAATAAACTCTATCTCTCTTCTATAGTATAGGCTTTTAATTATAGCCTTTATTATAGTAGTATACGTTCTTTTTAATAATAAACTTAAGTTTTTTAATAAGTTTATTATAAAGAGAGAAAAGATTATTAACAAGAATTCTTTCTACTTAGTTATTAACTTTTATATTATAGGGTTTCTAGAACGTAGTCTTCTTATAACTAAAGTTAGCTTTAAATAGTAATACCTATATTATTTCTATAGGCGTACTATTATATATAAACTAGGCTATAGGTAGTAGTACGACCTAATTATCTTATTTATAGTTTATATAATACCTTAAGTATACTTTAACTATTTAGTTTATTCTCTTATTTTCTCTATTTATTTATAGATAGAATAAGGTTAATAGCTTCTTCTTTATTTCTATATATACTATTACGGCCGTCTAGAGTTTAGATATAAATAGTTTATCTCGATTAGAGACTATTCCTTCTAGAGTACTATAATCTACGAATATATATTAGATAAAGGTATAGACTAATTCCTTAGTAGTACTAGATTCCTTATATAGTATTAGGATTATATACTTAGTAAGTCTTTCTATTATAACTATAATTAAGTTATACTTAATACTAGTTATTAGGTCTCTTAATAGTAGAAGTTTAATAATAAAGTTCTATAATATTATTTTCTATAGTCGTTTAGAAATTAGTATTTTTCCTATAAGTCTATATAGGCTATAGTATACGGGTTTATTCTAGATATAGGTATTATAGCCGGTTACTATATCTTTTACTAGGGATTAAAGCTTATCGATATAGTATTACTATTAGATTCTCTAGAGAGTTCTTCTTATTTCTTAATAGCCGTATTTCGGGGCCTTATAGAACCTCTAGATAAATTCCTTAGTATATAAGTCGGGTACTTTTAATTTACTATCTTTATATCTAGATATTTCTTCTAAAGTATTAGATTCTTTATTCTAAGTAGCTATAATTTCGTTATACTATAGGCTATAAATCTTTATAAGAGTAGTAATTATCTTAGTATTAAGGATAAGGTTTCTATTCTTATCTTCTTTTAGAATAGCTTACTTCTTATATACCTTATTATCCTTATACTTAGACTATCGACTTAGAGTATTAGCTCTAGAGTTATCTTTTTTAGCGATATATT